AATGAATGAACGAATGACGAATATATCTTTCTTCCTGATTGATAATGATATGATATGCGATAAGATATGATGAGATAAAGAATATCTGTCCGCTGTCGTGGACTCGTGGACTCGTGGTACGACGTTGCTACCGCAAGGGTAATTAATTAGCACTTCCAATTCTCGATGGAGCGTACTCCGTACCTAATGGACGTTCCATCCCCAAGACCCAAGTCACTTGGATACCTAATCTATGACATGACACGGGTCAGTCACGTGTATGGATAATAATCCATCTCATCATCTCATGTATGTAGATGGAGGCTCCTTCGTGGTTTCCTTATCAAGTTTTGGTCATAAGAGAATGGTATCGGCAGTATTTAGCACCAACAATATAATATCCCATGCTGAATAATTTCTCCTTTTTTTTTTTTAAGAAAAAGCAACCACTGAAACAAACTTACTAATACAGAGCTTTGCAGCTCTCTCCCTGTTACTTTCACTTATTACTACATTACTGTAAACATTCGACTACGGTTAAATAAAGAACAAGGAGAAAGAAAGGAAGTTGGTCCTTGCACAATGAGGCATTGACATTAATTAATGCTAATAATCAGTCCTGCAAGAATCTCTATGATATGGCTGATAGTGGAAAAAAAGAAGAGGAGAAAAAAGAGAGTAAGAGAGAGAGAGAGAGAAACAAAAGGAGATTATCGAGGTGAATCAATGTGTGAGAGAGCTAATGGTAATGTTCGCTCAGAGTTAAACCATGAAACAGGCAGAAAAATCGAGTTCCCCTGACTCGTATAACAAGACAAAACAGAAGGGAGACAAAAATGAAGTCCGCTACAGAGAACGCCATATACAAAATTTCCAGGCCGCTTGCTCCGTTGATAATAAAAACAAGGCAAACAAAGACAACAAAAGAAAAGAAAAGAAAATGCAAAGGAAGGAATATAATCCGCCATCGCCAACAAGACAAATGGGGTGACGGTGGAATAATAGATAGTTATTTGTACAATGCAAATCCACGCAAACCATGCCTGCTCTTTCATTTCTGTTCCTCTTCAGTGTCACTCGTCTCGGTCTCCGCCATCTGGCGTTGACTCTTGCGCTTGTTCACTATCTCTTCGAGAACATCCAGCCGCTCACGAGTTACGCGAATGGCCTGGTCCACCTCGCGCTCTGACATCCTCGCTTCATTCAACCTGGCGGCCAGGTCCTTGCTGCGCAGCCTCTGGCGTCGCTGACGCTGACGTGCCTGGGACTCATGTCTCTGATCTGCAACTGGAAAGCTGTAGCCGTCCATGCCGACCCGCTCTTCCAACCAGTTCCACAGCTCAGTCTCTTCCCTCCACCACATCTCTTCATAAGCAGCAAGTCGCTGAGGCATCGTCAATCCTCGATACCCGATCTCAGGAGACATCGTAGACGACGGAGCAGGGCCCCGAGAGTAGATCGTAAACAACAGTAGCCCAATAATTCCAAGTGCAACGTGTGCGCTCCAGAGGGGTTTGAGGACACTGACAATGGGCCCAAGAGGTTCCCGAAGAGGCTCCAGAACACCCCATGATTGCGCTTCACGTTTGCTGGCCTCAAGCGCTGCACTGGCGGCGGCCGCAGCAGCCGCAGCAGTTTCACCTGAAGTAGCTGCACCTCCTTTCTTTCGTCGACCCTTGCCTGCCTTGCCACCCTTTGCGCCATCAGTACGACTGCGGGGAGCCACAGCCGCCTTCAGAGCTTTCACCAGGTCATTGCCAAAACTGGTCTGACCTTCAATGGCGCCCTTTTCGATCGGTCCTTTGAGCCAGCTCTTCCCCGACCACTCAATCGCGCAAGACATAAAGAATCGGGTCTGATTCCCCGCCGCCCACGTGAAGAGATATTTCGTTTTCACGCAGAATACATTGCCGCTGGGGACATCAGGCGTCTGGGTCGCCAGCGTCACGAGAACGGCCTTTTCCAGATCGAAAAAGTCCAGTGTCTCCGTGCTGATACACTTGGTCTGTTTCGGACCAATTGATCCATTCAGAGGTTTGATGTAGGAATACTGCCGGGTTTTATTTTCGTTGTTTAGACCTTTCTTGTCATCCTCAAATTGCAACTCGGTGGACTTCTGCTCCTCCACGAGAAACTTGGTCATGAAAGCACCAGAGGCGGGTCCAAAGACCATGTTGTATACCTTGCCTAGCGGAGCGGGAATGATGTCGTCCTTGACGACCTTGTCATAACGCCCGGCAGGGTCGTTCAACTCGGTGGGCGGATGGGTTGCTGGTCCCGGGAAATCATTGTTCGCATCGCCCCCGGCTGTCCCATTCTTGTCGCCATTTCTAGCATCCGCTGTGGAAGGAAGTGCCGGCGTTGATGCCGATGCCGCACCTAAGCCGTTGCCTGTGAGTGCCGACGTCTTTCGGCTGAGGGGCTTGACCGATTCGGCCGTTTCGCTTCCGACAAGGCTTCCCTCCCCGGCGTCTTCCACGCTACCCATACCATCGTTATCCTCGTCCTCGTCGTAGATCTCGTCATCCTCGTCAGCTCCGTCACTGGCCGCGTCGCTTTCATCCGCCTTTTCGGTCTTATCACCGAGGCCGTTATCGATACGGACACCGTTAACGTAGCTCTTCAAGGACGGATGGTTGATCTTCCAGATGTTGACCATCAAGTCATAGGTGGCTTCGCGACTGAGCAGACTGCGGAACGTATGTCGCGCGTGGAGGGTCTGAATTGCAATGGCATTGGGGAAAACCATCGCCGTGTTCTCCTTCTCAATGGCAACAATCTCGTCGAAACTGATGACGAGCGTCGTGACCCAGCCCAAGATATTACTCGAGAAGCAGATATGACCCTCGGAGATGTAGATGCGACCAGCGAGAATGATCTCTCGCTGCAGGGCACAGCTGTAATCCTCGATCAGAAAGTCATCCTCTGGCACACTCCGGAATAGTTGATGGAAGTCTCGATTGCGTTTCTTGCTGGCTACAGCAAAGCCCGTCAGGCGCGGAACGCTCGTATTGGCGCCCGGCATACCCAGCGACATGGCACTCATTCCAATGGCACCAATGGTGGAACCGGTGGCGCCTGAGGAGCCACGATGACGACGCTTAGCTAGACGACTGCGCACACTACCCGTCCGTTTCATGTTTCCACCAGTCTCTCCCTCGAAGACGCTCCCATTGGGTGTCTGTTCTCCGCTGGGTTCCTTGCTCAAAGGAGCCCCGGAGGAACGGGCGTCGGCGCCGCCGTCCTCCATCCCGGAGACTGGGGGAGTTGCAGAACGATCGGAAGACTTCTCGTAGGCCATGGAGACAGCCCTTGCGGCTCGCATATCCTCGATCCGCGCGGACATTTCGTCCCTTCGCGCAGCAACGCTGGATATACGACTCTCGACTGACAGATCCGGTTTCGTGATGACAACGCCATCCTTGGTGGTAACGACGCCGCTCGCAGGGGCATCAATGTTAAGGTGGCTAAAATTCAAGTCCCCGCTGCCGAGGGTATTGACTGCGAGTTCCTTCTTCTGCTCGTCACCATTGTCTGACTCCGGTTGCGAGGACGAAGCGCCTGGCTGACCATCTGCAGCGCCATCCGTGGATTGTTTCCCCATGTCGGATGGCTGTGTCACGCTGCGATTTTTGGCTGGAGCGCCAAGACTGCTGCTGATTGTTGAAGCAGCGTTCTGGGCGGCGGAGAAGACTGACGAGAAGAATCCACTCTGACTCGCCGATGGCATCCGCGAGCCGGAAGCTCGAGACTCTTCCGTTGTTGGAGAAATGGTAGTCGCCTGCGACAACTTGCTTGGAGTATTGCCAGTGGCAGATGCGGAGCGCGCACGACGGTGAGAGATCATGTTGCCCGAGGGGCTCACAACTGTCCCAGGGGGCAAGTTGTCTGAAACCTTCCCCTTGATCGACTCTGGAGAACTTGTGAGATCCGAAGTGAACACTTTGTTCAGGGCTGCGCTGCGCGGCTCCGTTGGGGTCGGCGGAGTCACGGTAGTGGTGACCACTGTCGGTACGCTAGTCGCCGGAGGAGTCCTCAGGGAACGTGGTGCTGGCTTCTCATCGGCCTTGGTTGGTGTAGTAACGACCTTGAGAGGCTTTGGCAGAGGCGGCGGCGGGCTGTCGGCGCGTTTAGTCGCCCGGCTCTCCGCAAGACTGTTCCGTCGACTGCCCAAGAGGCTGCGCCTGTGACTTCCGGATGACTGAGACGATCTGCGGTCGGGACTGACACCGGGACTCTTCTTGTCCTGGGAAGAGGTGAGGGCATCCTTCAATCTTCTCGCGGGAGATACGCCTCTTTTCTTCGAATTGTCGGGTAATGGGGGACCAGATGCCGTTGCTGTAGTCCCGAGAAAACCCGGAAAGGCTTCTGGCGCGGAGTCGCTGTGGCGCCGGGATGGAGACTTAGCGTCTATATCTGTTGCGGCCTCCTCGGTGATGTCCACCGTTGTAGTGGTGATGAGCGGAGAGGACCCAGTCATATGTTCAGCATGGGAGTCAGACGAGACAAGCGCCGGGGTTCTAGATAAAACATTCTTCATTAGCTTCGATGCAGTTCCAGCATACTGTCCCTCCTACTTACTGATCCGGCTCTGAATCATCCATCAAGAGATTGACACTGTCGCCCGAGTGCTCCTGCGCATTCACGCTTCCATTGGCAGAGGACTCCGACGCGGGGGCGTCCTCTGGGGATGGCGAAGCGCCGCCATCGGCACTCAGCTGGCTGGACGAGTCTGCAGAGGCAGTAGACGCCGTCAGCTTGTTGTTATTGTTATTCTTTTTCTTGCGACGGTTGGCCAGCAGCTTGGTGATGCGCTTGGTCGCGTCTTCAGGCCCAAGGTCTCCGCTACTCGTCTTGGGTCGGGGCACTTCCGGGGTCGAATCGACGGAGGAGCGTCCATTGCTGCGACTGGAGCTGGTGAGGCTCTCGAAATCCTGACTCGGGGTGGTTAGACTGCGATTGGAGCGTGAGAAGACCTTCTTGAAACCGCCAGCGGGGGAAGGGTTGGACGAAGATTCCTGAACGCCGTCCATCGGGTGCTGTTCCACCCCGCGCGGAGGCGTGTCGAATCGTCACGGGATCTCTCCAATGCAGCCCGCAGAAAACGAGCGTCTACAGGTGCTGGATTGGCGGGCGGGGGTTACATCGATCGAGCATGGAGGGGGGGGCAAGAACAGAGCGAGTCAGCACAGCTGCACGCTGGGAGATCAGGGAGGGAGTGAACGACTGCGTGCGGGAGTATTCAGAAGAGCGGTGCGGCAATCAACAGACACGGTAGAGAAGCCACGGGCGGCATTGTCCTGGGCGGCCAGAGAGGGTGCAGACCGGGAGATGGGCTCAGAGAGGGGACGAGATGGAAGGGATCCCTGCAGAGGGCAGACAGCTGAGGCCGTAGCTCGCACGATATTTAGCAGTCGGAGGGTGGTGGACTAGTTGCTGGACGGGGCTCTGGGGGGACGGGGCGCCGGCGGTGACTTAGTCCCGTTCCGGCCTAGGCAGGCGGTTAGAGAGCCGCGGAGGCAGGTGCAGTCGGCGTGGGAAAGAGCCACCCCGATAGCGGGTCGCCTCAAAGAGGAAGCGGCGGTCTGGAATCACATCACTACGCAGTACGGAGTAACCCCTGGCCAAGGGCTTGACTACACAGTGCTAAAGTGAAAGGACAATTGCTATGCCTCGTATTTGATATGGATGCAGTTAATAATAGCAATGATGGCGGTCTCGCGCACTAAACGCCGTGTGCTGCCCTGGTAAACAGTTTCAGGCAACCAACCCCCGTCACATGTGACCGCCTGAGTGGACGCCTCAGAAAACTAATGCCTGTCTCTGGACAGAGATCACCTGCCCGTCCAACCACCAGAGATAAACTGTTTTATTCCAGTCTCACCGGTTACGATTAGTGCATATGGTATTGCTAATCTGCATACATCCTGGCATTAATCATCACAGCTGAGAACCGTCATAGTTGCTCTGTGTATTCCAGTGTGACTGCGACATGACGGAGTGACGGATTCGGCACTCCCTGTCCCCCGCGTCATCTTTCCACTACACCGGTACTCGACTCCATCATCAGTGTCGGTGTCCTCCTTTTCTCCTGATATTCTCCCTCAACGGCAGCTGTGTCGCAGTTCAAAGAGGGCAGCCCAGTGTTGGTCGAAGCATCGCTTAAGGTCTGGCAGCATGGAGGCGGTTCCCTTGACCTTGGTATGGGAACTTCTGTTGGATCATCATAAAAACAAATATTCTAACACAAAATGAACGGTATCAGGCACATACACACGCACGTAATGCTGTCTTGGAGACTCGCAAGTCGAACCCCGTTGCAGCCAGCGAGGAGCATGATCTCGCTGCCGGCGAATTTGCAGCCGCCGCCCAAAACTGCTCTGATCACTACGTACGCCTCTCTTTTACTCATCTATATATCTAGATACAAGACTTTCCTCTGCTGACAATCCATTCTTCCACGGAGCAGGCCTTGCGCACTCTCCAGCTGCTCGAACTGGAGCACAAGCGACTAGCGGCGGTCCTCCGCTCCCAGCACGAGCATCCTGCCACCAGCGCTCCCGCAGAGCCGTCGACGACCTCTCCGCCGCCCGCGTCCCACCCGCGAACCCCCTAATCCCGCCCCTTCCAAGACTGCTCCCGCCCCTGCAACAGATCCCCAGCAGCATCCTCCCCGACTGCCAGGGCACAGCCGCTCACTCCAGAGGGACACGTCGTCGATCGCTAGTAACCTAGCGTCTGCGCGAGGCATCCCCGCCCACCCGCGTCGTGGCTCTCCTGCCTCTCCGACCCTATCCACTCACCATGCGGGAGCGCAGATGACCGAATCTCCCGGGCGGGCGAAGACGGGAGATACTCGACCCCGAGAGCTACAATCCCAGGGTACTCGAGACCGCAGCAGCCGCGTCAGCGCGACTCCCAAGCAACCCTGGTCGCCCCCACCAGCCAGTCCGACGGAGATCACTGCGCAACAGATCGTGCCCCCAGATGCCCACGAACCCGAGCGGCCCAGAGGCCGCCTGCTGTCGTCCGATGAACCCTTCCAGCGCTTCTATTCCACCTTTGAGGGCCTTATCTCCAAGCTCTCCGCACCGCTGGCTTTTGCCGGACTGCCCCTGGGAACGGACACATCCGGTCAGGCGGAATTAACTCGTCGGAAGTCTCCGGCCGAGACAAAGGTCGATCGTCAACATGCCACGTCGGATCGCTCCAGTCTCCCGGCGGAGCCGGACATCAATCAGCTCTTTTCACGTGCGGCGCTGAGGGCGATTCGAGATACTAATGGGGGTATACCAGGCAGTGCTGCAGAGTCCTTTTATGTGGTTCCCACAACGGGTGGTACCCTCTCCTACGCTGGAATCCTGTCTCGTGCGGAGAAGGAAGCCCAACGAAATAGTCTGGATGAGGGCGGTGAGGACGACTTTGTTGACGCCCGTGAGACGCCTTCGTCACCGGAAATGCTGCAGAGTCTCTCTGGGGCCAAAGGAAAAGCGGGCCGCAGCCCTGACAAGAACAATAAGACGCTGGAAGAGCTCCAGATGGAGAACCAAGCTCTAAGACACCTGTCTGACACGCTGTCGAAGCGACTTCACATGTGGGAAGTCAACGCGCAATCGTCATCCATGGCGCTTCAGCAGTCGCTGAAGGCGATACATCAGCAGAACACAGCGTCCCCGACTGCCTCTTCCGCAATTCCTCCTTCCCACGCACCAGCACCGGGGACCGCACCTGGAATAACAGCTGAAACGGATCGAAAAATCAAAGAGCTCGAAGAGATGGTCCGACGCAGCGAGAAGGAACTGGATCGGGTCAACCGCGAGAATGAGAAGCTGAAAACGGTGCTCGGAAGGTACCGCGAAAGGTGGGAGAAGCTGAAAGAAGGAGCCAAAACGCGGAGAAACGCCGAGGCGGCGGCGGCTGCTGCTGCTGGGGGAAAAAAGCCGGAGGCAGCTACACAACGACAGGAAGATGACTCTCCTACGACCCCTGTAGAGACGCCGAAAGAAACTCCGAAGGAGACTCCGAAGAAGGCCTCAAAAGATACGAGTAAAGATGCTGAAAGTGTAGAAGAGACATAGGAAATTAAAAAAATACTAGCTCATAATCCTGCTCAATGAAAACCAGTTCATTCCTCTCTTATCACCTAGGTAGCTAACTATGTCTAAACTTGACAAAATACTCCGTAGATTGGAAGCAAAAGATAGAAAGGAGTAACCAATAAGAAAAACTGATACGATATGATATGATATGCGTTTGGTTGTAGGTTGTTCCTTACAGCATCCCAGGGTTTCAAACTAAGATACCGTCAGGTAACGATATATATTTAAGATTTTTGTACCAACCACTTTATAGGTTTTTTCTCAACCGTCTTTTTATATATATTTTTTTTAAAAAAAAAGTCTAAAAAATAGTTATTTGATGGTCTTTTTATTACAAAACGTTAGATCTTTTACGGAGTATAAAAGGTTAGATTTTAGGGAAAAAAACATCAGATTTTTTTTTAAAAAAGATGTCAGGTTTTGGCAGCCACCAAAGTACAGTATATATGGCTTCATAATGAATATCTCTTAACTAACTAAAAATCCTCGAGAATTAGATACCTAGCTTAGATAGCCTAGTTAGATTAGTATAGAATTTTTTTTAAAAAAAACTCATTTTCTTCCTAAAAAGTAATTAGAAGCTGTAGTTTAGTTTGAATCCAGCTGGCCCTTGTCAAATAAATCCTTTGTTGTAGAAAAATTAGTGGTCATAAGCTACCTAGTTAGTGGTCAAATCTTAGTCATAAAAATAAGAAAACAGTTATATTTTTTTAGACGTCTTTTTTTTCCCTACGATCAATAGACCGTCGATCGACGGTAGTTCAAAACCCCCGGGATCCCGTATGGTTGTTGTTGTTGCATTCAATTTATAGTCAGATCTAGTCCGCAGGCGGGATTCGTTGAGCTTGATCGTTGCTGTTGATTGACCATTGAGAGTCATAACCCCAAGCTTCATCAATATCATGGTTAGGTAGCCCAATACCATCGCGTCGCAGTCTTTATTGCACCTGACGTCATTGCCTCTAGAAATGTAATCACGCCTGTTTGGGTTTTCGCTGCATTGTGACTTGTTAACATCGAGGTATTCCTTCGCCAATGCAGTCAACACATCCATGATCTGGGCTATCGTATTCTTCCGACGACTATTGAGCTGTGCTATTTTCAACAATCAGCAGACACACTTCGAGTAGCTATAGAGATTGTTTTTTTTTTCTCGGACTGACTGACCAACGACCTGTGCCGGTATGGGCAGGCCTGGAGCATTAAATGAAAATTGCGAGTCCAGGAGCCACGAGCGGCTCATTGTCTGAAATTTCTGTGGCAGATCGAAAACCCAACTGATACAGAGCCATGTTTTGAGATCTTCAACGGTGATTGTCGGCATGCGTATGCCGTTTACCCAACCATTAATAAAATAGTGCACGGTCTCGTGGAGAGAATACTTGTCGACAAGAATCGCAATGCGTTTCAGCGTGTTGAAGTCAACAACTGCAGAGACGCTGTAAAACTTGCCATGGATGATACGCATCAAGATCAACATTGCTTCTTGGTCATCATCATCCAATTTGATTGTGACAGACCCCGAGGTTCGTAGAGTCTCGCTCTCGGCGAATCTGCCGGTGAGCATGGCTTTGAAGACGCGTGATGCAAGGCTCAGATGACGGGATGAAACTTAAATGTTCATGGGCGAGGACCCTGCAGATTGAGGCAGGGCTAAAACGACATCGCCATCAGGATCGATAACTTCGGTTTTGACCTGCGTATCGGATCAGAACTCATTGTGGGTTTTTTTCCCCCAAGTTGTTGAAATCGCATAATATGCAAAAGATTAAAAGATTTAAAAAAGTTAGTTAATGTATATTGAGGAATATATAGGCGAGGAGCCCGCCTGGGAAGTAGATTGCCTCAGAGATAGCAGAAAGTCCTTGGCATAACCAGGTATTTTCTCTTCAAAGAAGTCGAGCGAATTGAGACCTGAACCAAGCTAGGTCGACAAACTATTTTGGTAGGTCGAGTGACCTGTATTCACAAGGCTTGTTTTACTTAAGATGCTAAAAGCCGCGTTGGACGCGTACCGTGAATTGCATTTGTATATATACACAAGAATATATGTCTATTTGTGTGTCCTTGTAAACCTTGGTATATGTGGCTGAGTATGCATACTGTGTCGGCGTACTAGGATAGCTCCTTCAAGACACATAAAACGTCGCATTTCCCCTGATGTCCGCCGAACTACTTCCAACCAGGACGATAAACGCCCCCGGCTCGACGACGTAGTTCATATTGACGTCCCACAGGCCCAGGTCGCTGACCTGAAGTGGAATCTGCACGGTCTTCGTCTGACCAGCGGGGATGAACACCTTGTCAAACCCTTTTAGCTGCCGATTCGGCACCACGACCGAGGCGTACTCGTCGACGACATAGACCTGGACGACCTCAGTGCCGTCGCGGGACGGATGTGTATTGGTCACGTCGACGCTGACGGTAACTGTGTCGCTGGCGGACACATTCGTGCGATCCAGCGAGACGGCACCGTACTCGAAAGTCGAGTAGCTCTTCCCGTAGCCAAACTCGTACCACGGCAGCGGCGACCCGATTACGTACTGGTGTCCGAAGACTATAGTGTCGTTCTCCCTGATAATATACCCAGAATCGGTGATCGACCGGCCCGAATTGAGGTAATCATAGTAGATGGGCAGGGCGCCAACGGATCGAGGGAAGCTTACCGACAATTTGCCGGACGGGTTGTAGTCGCCGAAGAGGACATCCGCGAGGGCATTACCGCCTTGTTCGGATGGGTAGAACTGCTGGACCAGAGCGGCGGTCGAGTTCGAGATCCAGGGTTCCGTGATGGGCTTTCCGGAGGAAAAGACGACGACGGTAGGAACGCCAGTGTCGGCGATGGCTTTGATGAGTGGTGCTTGGGCACCGACGAGTCGAAGATCGTTCTCGTCGACGTGCTCACCGGTGCTGCAGTACAATATATAGTATTAGCCAATATGTTACTCTATCCAGTGCCAATTGGGAGAAACTGTCATGGAAAATGGACGCCGACTTACGTCGCATTTAACCCTTCCCATAGCTCCGTTTGATCTCGCGACCACGTTCCAACGATGACGATGGCCACGTCCGACTTCTTCGCGGCAGCAATTGCTTCGGGGAATCCAGACTGATCATTGCTCCAGCGCTCGCAGCCTTGTGCGTAGTTGATGGTTGTGGTGTTGCCGACTGCGGCTTTGATGCCATCAAGAGGCGTTACTCCACGGTATTGGCTTTTGTAAACGACGTAGTCGCCATACTAGAGAAAATCCCATAAGCCTGATTCATCGTTATGAAACGGGGATGGCATTCTTGAAAGACCTACGTTCATAAATCCGTGAGCCATAGGTCCAATAACTGCGATGCTCCCGCCCTTTTTGAGTGGAAGCGTGTTGTTGTGGTTTTCCAACAACACGATCGATTCGCGGTCCAACTCCCGGGCCACCTGCAGTGCCTCGGGGGTATGGATGAGACTGCTCCATTCACTTTGCGGTGCTCCGGGATAGGGGTTCTCGAAGAGGCCCATCTCGAACTTGGCGCGGAGAAGTCTTGAGACGGCGGTGTCCACAGTTTTGATGTCGAGTTTTCCTGACTGAACTAATTGGGGGATTGTCTTGAAGTTGCTATCAAAAAAAAATTAGTAGTTTCCGGTCTCTTCATGCTGTGGAAGACTCACAATGAACCACCTCCCATTTCCACATCATTTCCAGCCGGCAGCGCCTTCAGCGTGATGGCTTCCGAGTCGATGGGAGAGCTTTGGCAGAGCTTGAAGGCCGTGCAGAGTCTGTCAGTGCCGCCTGCGTCGCTGGTGACCCAGTACTTGTATCCCCATTCGTCCCGCAGTATGTCCGTGAGAGTGTGGTGGTCTGCAACTGCAGGAATACCGTCGTAACTGAGCAGGAGCAACAAGTCAACAGTTAAACTCGTAAAACAATAGAGGAACCCATAGAAGACAGTAGATATAAGCTTACCTATGATATGCACTCATGATACTCCACGCTCCGGCATCAATAATGGCTCGTTTGTAGGATGGGGCCCATCTATCAAACCATGAATTAGTCAGATAATCAGACACAAGTGGCTCTAGTCTTTAGCCCAGGGGAATATGAATAAATAAAGAAAACTTACGTCGTTCGCAGCTCCCGCTCCCCTCCATGAACCGGCCCCGTGTTGAGACCCTGCTCTGGATTGCTAAAACCCATGAAATGTTTGACCGTTGCGGAAACATTCAGGCTCTGCAATCCCTTGATGTAATTATACGTGATTTCACCGGCTAGGTATGGATCTTCGGAGGTTGTCTCTTCAACCTTCCCTCCTATTAGCAATTGACGTAAAATCGGTAGACTAAAAATCAGATCATCTTACTCGACCAAATCGCAACTCGCGAGCAAGATCTGCGAGAGGAGCAAAAAGCTGAGTGACGCCCAGTGCGCGAGCCTCCTGTGCGATGATCTGTCCCATCTTCCTGACAAGCTATCATTCATTTAGTTTGATTTGATTACTTGACAGACGATTCTACTTACGTCGCGGTTCCAGGACGATCCGTAGCCAATTGGAGAGTTGAAGATGGTTGCATTGCCGATTAGAAATCCGTGAATACCTGGACGCGTTATCAGAATGAGTCTATGGATATATTCCTCTCACGTTTAGTACGAACCTTCCGTCTGCACTAGGGCAGGAATGCCTAGTGTTGTGTTCTCGAGCAGGTAGTTTTGCGCTCTCTGGATGTTGGTTGTGAGCCAGTCCCAAGGGACAGGATATCCAACTGCAAGAACAACGCGACAGTTGTTAGTATTTCCAGCCACTAGTCGCCTCCAGCCGGGTTCCAGTTCGGAGTAGCTTCAAAAAGCTCCGATCTTTTTTAGAGCGTTTCCGTACCGTAAAACATTCCCGCCTTCGTCTGCATATTCTCCACGAGACCGCTATAGTTGAAGGCGCCCGTCGTAGCATTCATCCAGTTGGTGATGTCGCCTGTGCAGGTTCAACCAGAGGTTAGCTACCCTGTCGATTAATAGCTGTTGTTCGTCCTCCGACAGCGTCATACGCACCCTGCATCAATTGAGCCATTTTGTCTTCGAGGGTCATCCGGCTCAGCAAGTCTGCAACTCTCTGCTCCACCGGGAGATGAGGATTCTTGTATGCCGGTGATGCGGTGCTGTTGTTGCGAGCCTGGACACCGGCCAAAAACAGATTCAAAAGCAGGAGCGCGTGAGATACAGCCATGATGACCGCCATTGTGCTGGTGGTCCGATTTGAAGCTCACGATCAGATGTCACTTCAATCCAATCCGGTTGCGAGCGATCAATTGATCAATCATTAATTTCCTTTCCTCTACAATTCGGCAAGCGAAAAGCAGCAGAAAAAAGAATGACAGGATGGAAGACGACAAAAGCATCCAACTGAATTTCTGAGATCAAGAAAAGCATGGTAATAAAGACGGCGCACAGATACACATTCTGATCAGCAGGCACGGAAAATTTCCTGATCTCGACAGAAAGTGGATACAAGCTAGTCACATAAGTCCGCGACATAGCTGGCCCCGAACACTTAGCGAGCTGCTGCAAAGAGGAATGCATTTCGGGAAATAAATCGCCCGAGATGAGCGTTGGCTCGTTACCTACCTAAGTGAGGTAGGTAAGTTGTCGAGAACGGTGAGGGGAAGAAGATGGATGTCCGGAGGAGGTCATTATTGCGGGGTCAGTCATCTAATTACCTACCTAGGTAGGTAGGTACGCAGCCAATTGCAACAGAGAAGGAAGGAACGACATTGAATATTCTGTAGATTCGCGGAATATCGGGACAAAAAAATACATTTCTGTAGCAAGGGAATAATAAATAGCCTTGGAACTTTAATAGCAATAGCATGTGTACTCCGTACTAGCGAGCTTAAATGCATCTCTGCATTCCCGAGATGCATATTGATGCGGGGAAAGCATTAAGCTAAAATAAACATTTCTCCGTCTTGCCCTAAACAGGTTACTCGGAGGCAGCACGGATTATTACAGCTGTCCAGGGATTTCTTTTTTTTCCCCCCAGGACCAAAAAATTCCAAAGAATTATTATTAATAAAATCAAAATAGAGCTCTAGAATGCTGCTATTTATATACGGAGTATATAAATCGACAGTAAAACACTGGTCCGGATACCTAGTAGTAGACTACTAGTAGTAACGGTCTAGACTGTGGGGAACGTCTACTTGGCATTCGTTTCAGATTGATAAGGGGAATAAACAATTCGTAAGCGTTTTAACGTTTATAGGAACATACGTAAGTTGTTTTAAACAGTACTAAATTAAATTAAATTAATTCTTGACTGTGTTCTGGAATCAGCTGATGAATGGGTCATGCATGGTTATGCATAGTCTAGTTCTTCAACATTCGAAACAGAGAGATTACAGATCTGGAGAGGAGAAAAAGTATTTAAATCTGGAAGAGATCCTCCTTCTCCCAAGGTTTGATTTCTACAGATTGATACCAGAGGTCTTTCTTTGTCTCTCTCCTCTATCTAAATACTTAGATAGCAACATTCATGCTATTCCCTTCACTCAAAATGAAGTCCTTCCTCGCCGTAACTCTGTCCCTATCCCTCGCAAGCCTCACCACCGCCGCCCCAACCCCAACCAAAACCCTCGAAAAGCGGGCCGACTTCTGCGGACAATGGGACTCGACCGTCACAGGCAGCTACACCGTCTACAACAACCTCTGGGGGGAATCCAGCGCGTCGTCCGGATCGCAGTGCACGGGCGTCGACTCGCTCAACGGGAACACGCTCGCCTGGCACACCTCGTGGACCTGGGAGGGCGGGGCGTCCAGTGTCAAGAGCTTCGCCAATGCCGCGTATGCGTTCACGGCGACGCAGCTGAGCCAGATTAGCAGTATTCCGACGACGTGGCAGTGGAGGTATGAATGACACTTCCTTTTCTGCCTCTCTGTCTATGTACTTGCTGCTGACACGTACAGCTACACCGGCACCTCCATCGACGCCGACGTCGCGTACGACCTATTCACGAGTTCCAGCCCCAGCGGCAGCAACGAGTACGAGGTTATGATCTGGCTGGCCGCGCTCGGGGGCGCATTCCCCATCTCGTCGACGGGCACGACGCCCATCGCGACGCCCACCATCGGCGGCATCTCATGGAATCTGTACAGCGGGCCCAACGGCGCGACGACGGTGTACAGCTTCGTAGCGTCGAGAGAGCAGACGGACTTTTCGGGCGACATCAACGATTTTCTGACCTATCTCCAGCAGAACGAGGGCCTCAGCTCGAGCCAGTACCTGCTGTCCATCCAGGCGGGCACGGAGCCGTTTACGGGGGAGAATGCGGAGCTGAAGACGACGGCGTATAGTGTCAGTGTATCAACCTCGTGAGCGATTTTTGGTCATATTTGCCTTGCGTCTGAAGATTGGGCCGTAGGTGAATTAGGAACAATAGGAGCAATGTGCAGGGCAAGGAATAATTTTATCACCAGATCAGTTTCCCCCTTTTTTTTAAAAAAAAAATCTTTTTCTTTCTGAATGCATTTGCGCTTCTTAAGCATGCCATATTCCGTATATTCTCAGTAATGAAGTATCCATAATTTCTCCTTCTTTCGTTGGTGGAAAAACTTAGTATAAATTAAGGTTATCTAACTACTCCGTACATGCCATGCACGACGCCAAACTAATCCCTGCATAACAACCTTATGCAATCAGTCATGTGCCCTTCCTTCATCCGTTCATTTATGTTACCTCAATACATAGGGACCTAGGTAGGTAGTAGACATGTGGGCTTAAATGGAATATACATCTCGCAGCATGGCTTGTCAGCGCCCAGCCTAGACCTAAGCATAGGGCTAGCGTACCGCGGAGGCACCTTGCCCGCCTTCCTCCGCAATTATGTCTTGAGGACAACACTAGAAAGCAAACACAAAATACTACCTGTAACCGCACTAGTATCAAATATAATTAATTCAAATATAATTAATTATCACAATTATGCTATGCTATGCTATGCCATGCTGTGTTATGGATATATCTGTGTATGTTGCAATCGTAAACATTTCTCAACCCTCCAGATGGACATATACATACAGACAGCCTTACCGATCCGCTACCTACCAACCTACCTACCGATGCAAGAAATGATATCAATATGTAGCTAGTAGCTAGGAGAGGTAAATGAATATAGGATAAATAAGTATACGAAGATGAGCAAAGAAAAGAGCCTCACAGTCACACGTCATGGCTACCTCTATGGCTCCACTGCCTATGTTTGTTCCTCTCCGTCCCCGTCACCGTCACTGTCTCTGTTCTCTGCGCCGGACTGATTTTTGGAGGATTGTTCGTCGTCGGCTTGTGCCTGACCGGCGAAGTGTCCCTCCCAACCAAGATAACCCTCCGCTCCACGAGTCACTGAGACTCCGCACCCGCGTCATCGCGCCACTCCCGCCATCCTTGTTTGCGGCTGTCTCCGCCTCTATATTCGCTCTCGTTGGAACCTCCCCCGATGAATTCTTCCGGGACGCACCAGGCGTAGATGTAACGGCACCAGAACTGTGATATTGACCGTCGTCGGCACTCACTTCGGTCTCATACTCGGTCTCCCCGGCCTCGCCATCTCCATCATGGTGCGAATCCCCGCCAATGGCTGGAACGATGCTCTTTCTCCTCCGCGCCAAGGACTTGACTCGCCGATGTCGTCCCGGACTACCTTCGCCACGTCTCAGGGACTCGGCCACCACAGCGTTGAGGGTAGAAGAGATAGGAGGGAGCAGAGGAGCGGGCGTAAACCGTAATGTCAGGGAATTCCGTGAGCTCGACTGCGGCGTGTGGGGAGTTCCGTGTTGTCGCCGCTCAGGAGTTCTGGGATCCGCTGTCGGCTGAATCGAAACGTCCGCATCGCCCTGTTCTTCACCATTTGTTGCAGGAGCCGGCTCGTCCGAGGTGGGTGCGGCTGGGAATCGGAAAAGGAGGTGTGGTGGCTGGGGTTCATGACTGGACTGGTCTGAAGGAGTAGAGGGCACAGTCTCGTAGACCGCCTGGTTTGACATCGATGCTTTGATAGTCCGTTCAGGAGAGGCAGCCCAAGGATTTTCTGTAAGAGATGCAGGACGAGGAGGGGAAGAAGCCGGGTCCCGGTAAGACGGCGAAAGAGAACCGTCTGACAACGAACCTTCGCGAGAAGACGGGGCCGGTGAAAGAACGCCCCGCGGGGTACGTAGGGCATCTTCGTGGTCATCCACACTCAGGAGCGATCCACGAGGAGAACGAGACAGATCCTGCTGTCCAGTTGTAGTCCGCCCTGACTTGTCTATCCGCCGATCCGGGCCTGAGGGGGACACGTCCACACTGTCTTCATATGGTTCTCCTTGCAGCAAGCCCATAGCTTCTTCTTCGTCTCCTTCTTCGGAATATTCGTCCTCGCCGCGGTCTCGACCGCTGGTAATCAGATAGACGCCGAGGAAAGTCATGAAACAACCTCCAACGAACTTGCCCGCCTGGGAAGCCGTTGTGGATTCGAAATCGCGATAAAGAATCGCACTGCCAATAATCACAGACAGAGTGAATAGGACAAACTGTGTAGGAATCACCTGAGTGGAGTCAAAGCGCTGCAGGGCACGGTTAACATAGCGGATCTGCATCAGGGCAGTCACGACGAGGATGGCGACCAGAAGATACGTGATGGGAAACGTAATGACATGCCATAAGGTGAACGAGAGCAGAGAAGCAACACCTTTGGTAGATAAAGCAGTGTAACTGCCTGGAGAAAACACCGTCAGGACAATGCAAATGCAAATGCCAAGTACGATCGGTTCACATACCAAATAGCCCAACCAAGCCAAGATCAATCAAGATTGTACGACCACCATACTTCCGACTGAGGGACATGAGCGTCACAATCAATACGGCGGTAAGTCCCAGATACAGTTCAAACTCCCACCGAGTGATCATGACCCAGATATCGTGCGGTCCGAGTTTGGTCTCGGAGGTCTTTGCACTCAACACCACCACCACCGCGCCTGCAATCGCGATCAGCACACCCCAGAAATCGCGTTTGCGGAATTCCTCCTTCAGCATAAAGGGCGCAATCACGCAGTTCGAGATCAGCGCGACAACGCCCAGCGGAGACACAATCGATGCCGGGGCGAATCCATAGGCGAGAAAGTTGCCAGCCTCCCCGAGCGTCATCAGGACTAACCCCAACCACCAGTATGGGGAGCGCAAGTAGCTTGTGCGATCCACCGGAACCAGGCCTCTCCGCCCGGATTTCATAGTCCGGTCAGAAAGAAAGGACTCCTGCAGGCGGTCGTGCTCGAGGGACTCTTCGTCCTCATCGCCGTATAAGATGCGGGTGCTTCGAGAACGGAGCGATCCATTGAGTCCTGGCCGTCCTCTCTCCCCCGTCGCATCATCTCTGTCCGGGGCACTGACGGAACCATACGTGCTGGAGGTACGTCGCCTCCTCAGTCCTAAGCGGACTCTTTCGCCTTCGGCTTCCCGTTCAATCCGGATATGCGCGTAGCGTTGGATGTTGAGTGCAAACGAGATCAGGATGTTCCCACAGATGGCGGTGACAATGCCGATGAAGGACGACCATCTCTGACTGGATCCATCCCTTCCACCACCATCCTCTCCATCCTGGGCCCGTATAACCGAGGCGAGAAGCTCGTAGGTAGTCGGAAGAAAGGATGCAGCGGTCGGCTCGGACATTACCGACGACACCAGCGTCGCAAGCAGTCTTGCTGCCGAAGGATCCGGAGTGCTCTCCATTTATTTGTTCTCGACGACAGCGTCGATGTCGGCGGGGATGGATGACAGCAGGGTTGACGATGACTTCTGCTCGATCGATCGATCCTCTGCCTCACGTCCCGATGTCCAACGTCCACTGCCCCTCGTATTCTGCGGGTCTACTTAAAGACGTGACGGTTCCAATCCCGATAGTATCGTTGTCGGCCGCATCATGGCCTCAATCTTCATTCGAACGTGCTTCTTCTCTGTCCTTTCGGTTTCGCTCTGACGCTTCGCTGGGAGAGCGAACTTCCCTGCTGGAGCTTCCCGTCAGGAGTCTCCGTCTGACGACTCTTGTCCAGCACAACGACCGGAATAACGTGGAAGCAATCGCAGGAAAGAGGCCTCTCTATTTTTTTTTTAGAGGCGTGCGTGTCTGGTAATGAAAGTGAGACTGTGCAAAGCGCGGAATGCAAGTCGGAGAGGGGGTAGTAGGCCACACGAGCGGACGCCGCGAGCAAGCGACTTGCGCAACCTGGCCTGTCGCTGAGAAAAGCCGCCGGCGGCTCTCCAATTTGCGAAGACGCTAAGGCTGCCAGCTAAAGCGACTAATGAGCAGGCGCTGGGATCGCTGCTACTTGCTAGATCGTAGGTAGCGTCGGTTCGAACTTCGGGAGGCCATAGCGGGCGCAGGGCGGCTTGGGTCATGCTCCACAGCCTTAAAGTCGGCCGCAGCGACTGGTCGCGCGTGCTGTCTTGCTGCAGCGCGGACGTCACCATGCCTACTGATCTACATCGACACGGTCATACGGTTCATATTACGGATGCTGAGGTGGGGAGAGATGGAGACATTAGGCCTGGGTATCTATTATTCATTTCTTGAGCCATATAGCGGAATCTTCTGGTATCTAACCCTTCTGCCGTTCTAGAAGAAGTCAAACAACAATGTAAAAAAGACTAAGGTATGATACAATACGAACAAGCAGCCACCAACGCCAGTGTAAACCACCCAACGACCAAGTTACCATTACCAAGAAATAGAAGTATATATGCCCACATGCCAGTAGAGAACAAGCCATCACCGTTTCACCTTCTTCTTATCCGGACCCTCCTCGTCATCGCTGATCTCCGCATAAATAGGCTTCGGTTGGGTCATCTGCCACGCCTTGGTGAAGATAGGTTCCTTCTCCGCCTTCTCGGCGTATTTGAGCAACGCCTCGCGAGGATCTTCGTCCCGCATTGAACTCAGCGGGATGTTCTCACGAATATGTCGCTCATCAGGCGTAGACTTGGCAAATGGCGTCTGCGCCGGCAGATGTGGGCGACGAGGGTCTCGAGAACGACCCGACACCGTAAGTCCGACGGTAGGATGTCGTGCAGACCAGCTGGCTGCCGCCGGCTGCGGAACACCGTTGGGACCGATGACGATGGAGTCGCCTGAGAATCCCTCCGAGAGATCGGTCGTAAGATTCGGGTCATCATCGACATGCCGGCGCTTGGGAGCCTTGGACATGACCAAGGCAGCGCCCTTGGTGGACATGTTGGGGTTGTAGAGCACGTGGGTCTGCGCGTTGGCAGAGCCCGTCAGGATCTGATTCAACTTTTCGTGCCACAGGACGGTGATGACAGGAGAGCCTGGCGTGATGGGGGTGACGAGTTCCGGTTTTAATGTCGCCGGGTTCAGGATATGAAGATGACCCGTCTCGGAGCCGGTGAGTATGTTGGCAGATGTAGGCGAGAATTTGATGTTGGAGGTCGGGTAGTGGCTCGAGGAGGAAGTGTGTTGCACCGTCGTGATGGGTTGTTTGAACTTTCTCGTATCCCAGAGCTTGATAGTATCATCGCCCCCCTTGGTCACAACCAATCTACCATCAGCGCTGATATCCATCCCGCTCGTCCATGTATCCCGCGTATGGGCGTCTCGGATCTCAGCAGTCGGTCTCGTAAAGGGTCCATTGCCGCTCCACATGATAAGACTGCCATCAAGGGCCGCTGCGACCAGCACATTGGGCCCTCCTTGCTTGGGAGACCCCCAGGCGATGGCCGTCATCCTGCTTCTCCCCGCAGCCCCAGACGCCTTGGACTTGTGTACAATGACCTCCTTCTGGGAACGTCCCACATTGACGTCCCATATCCGCACCGTACTATCGGTACCGGCGGTCGCGCAGATGTTGTAATCGGTCGGACTCCAAGCGCCACTCGTCACCTCCGAGATATGGCCCTTGGTGTTGTGCATGTCGCGCAGGTACATGTCACCTTTGACGAACTCGGTCAGGACGTTGCCATCGCGGTCAAGAATCTTGGGCTGGGGAGTCGCCGGCACAACGAGCACCTGGCTGGGTGAGATAGGATTGAACTCGACATGGTGGACCGGCTGCGTCTCCTGCGCAGCGGACTGCTTCTTCGCGCTGGGGTCGACCGATTTGAACGCGCGGAGAGTCGTGGGCGTCATGGAGGCAAAGTCATGAAATTTGAGCGTGCAGTCGGTCGAGCCGGAGATGAGACGGGCTCCAGATGAGTCTACCGTCAATGTTGTCACGGCGCGTTCGTGTGTCTTGAGCACGAGCTCGTGCGACACGGGGAACTCATCTTCGTCGTCGTCGTCATCATCATCATCATCATCATCATCGTCATCGTCGTCATTGTCATCTTTATCTTCATCCTTTGACGCTTTATCGCGATCGTCATCCTCATGCTTCAATTTCTGTTCCCCATCCTCCTCCTTATCGCGATCCGTGCCATCCTCCTCGCCACGGGGTTCCTCCGGCAGCTTCACCTTCACCTCCGCCCGCTTGGTGCGGTCGATCTGAGCGCTGATATTGGCTTTGCGTTCCTGCTTCCCAAAACTGGTGGGGAAGAATTTCTTGAACGCCTCTTCATCAAACCCGTCCATGTTGCGGTGTGTTGAGAGTTGTAAGTATCTCCATTCTGGGGTACTTTTGGGCTTTTGCATGACATAGGAAGATAGCGGGACTGTTTGCAACGTTTGCATCCCGGAAGACCCGTAACAGGCTAACAGCCCAACTTCATTGCAGCTCAGCATCCAACAGCTTAAACTCCATTGATAGGTCTAGGTAGCGAAGTAAGCCTTGAAGAAACTAATATAGACACTGCCGATCGCCATTTATACCTGCAGAATTCGCTACAAGTCTCGTCTATTTTTTTTCCCCCTCTTAGAGTGCTATGTTTCTATGGAGATAGACGCAGACGATCGCCCCGCAAATACCCAAAAGTCACTTATAATAGTATACATACCTGGGTAACTTCCCAGGAAGTGTTCGTTTCAGATCCCGTAGCACGGGATTTCAGTCAAAAGGTATACTGTGGGACGCTACAAGCCCTCACAGCACGATTGACAAGCAATATCAGGAGATGCTGCATTAACCAATCCCTCCAAGATTGACTTCCTATTCAGTTCCCCCTTCTCCGCCATTGGCTTCGGCCTCTTTATTCGGCTTGTTGATCAATTCACCACCGAAGAGCTCCCGTGCTTCTCTTTCCCTTCGCTCGCGCTCGAGTTTTCGTTTCTTGGCCATCCGTTCCATCTCACTTTCTGAAATACCTTCGTTTCCTGCAGCAGGAAGATTGCCAGATGCGCGCTTTTGTCCGCTCGGTCCAGCAGGATCCAGCTTTTCGATCTGCTGGCACTGGTAAACCTTCTTGGCGATGCCCTTGAGACGTTTTCTCTTTTCCGGGTCTGAAGACACCGGCGCATATGACTCTAGTAACTTCGCACAATCCGACAAGGTGTTCAACAGTTTCATCCGGATCAATGCCAGCGGGTTTGTCGGATCCGCGTTTGTGGGTTCGACCCCCGGGGGGATTTTGATATCAATGTAGAATTGGGCGAGAGGTTGGTCAGCAAGAAGGAGGGCGGAAAGCCAGATCTGGGACGGTGTGTAGAAAAAATAGGCGTCCGTCATCTGGGCCGCCGTTTTGAGAATCTCACGAGCCTTGCTGTGCGCATTGGCAATGCGCGTCGATATCGACACTGGTCGATCCGCCTGAGAGGCGAGCGGGGGTATTGAATGTAATGCTTGTTTTAAGCTCTCAGGCGTCTGGCCCGTGTGATGCGGGCCTGGCTTCCCTTCGCCCTGTGCAATAGCCTGCAGTTCCATCACTCCGCCTTCGAGGCCCCGAAATGGATGGCGCACGTCGAAGGTGAACCGGAGGCCTTGCGTCAACGTAAATTCGGGAGCAATCACCTCCTCTGGTTTGGTGATCCCTGGCACGCCGTTTGCGAAGTCCCGCAGGGACATGTAGTAATTATCCGTCTTGGTAGCAAGGAAGAGAGCACACGGCATGATCGACTTGGGGTGGTAGGTCATGACAGAATTTGTTAGGTAAAAGCGACGGAGATATTGGATAGCTGTCGCCTGTAAGAAGCCAGATTAGTTATGTAAGAGATTATCTGTGGTTAAAGAACTGCAGAATCGTCCACGTACCCTCACCATGGTCGGCAAAGGCGGCTTATACGTATCACCCAGCTCCAGGGTCTGCTCGCAGTAGTATCTCACAAACTCCACCTCTTCCTCCGGCGTCAGACACTCGACATCCTTCTCAAGAACCGCTTCCGCTTTTCCTTCCACATCGCTGGGATTTGGTGTCGAGTTCTCGGCGGTCGACGGCGTGGCGGAGCGATGGGCCTCGCGTGCCCGCTTCTGTGCAGCCCGGATACGCTCGCTGGCAAGGGCGTTCGTGTTGGCACGCAACGAGTTCAACGAGTCCTTGGTAAAGGACCAGAGACGGTATTGCGTCGAAGACCGGTAGATCTCATCCTCGATCATGGTGGATGTGCTCACAGGACTTTGTTCTCTGGTTCGTGCAGGTCAGTCGCGGCCTAGGTTCGTCTCCAAGACGTCGTGATTGCTCCTCGCGCCGTTGACCCAGGAGGAACTGGCAACCGTCATAACTTTGAAGATGCTTTATCTGCCAGGTTGGATTTTAAGACGGCCGCATTGTGGTTTCGTCTGCCCTTCCGGTCGCTTTCACGGGCGCCAAAGTTGGGGTTTGTCTAAAGTGAGAGAGCTTTGTAAGGAATGTGCTTATCGATAGGCACGGGCCCGGAGCTTAGCTTAGTCCAGCCCGCCTCCGGCACCTGCCAGCCTACGGAGTACAAGCACGCTCTTCTACCCTCGACGCATCTACGACAGTCGACTTACAAAAACATATAATTAAGACCGAATTACATTCAAGGCTAGAGTGTTGTTTCCAGTCGCAGACGACCGGCGTAAAGGGAGAGTGAAAGATTGCGTTTATATGCTGCACACGCGATGCATGAAACCCAAAGGCATCTGCCCTGTAACTAGCCAACTATTGACACCCCAAATGATATAGACAAAACCAAACAAAAAGCCATGTTTCGCCAGGCACCGTACTCTCAACCCGTTTCCAGCAGCCTCGTAGATCTGGATGCCGATGCAAATGTCATTACTGCGTCAATCATGCTTCTCCTAAAAGCCGGGCAGTGATATCGCCCATATATGCCTCCTCCAACTCGTAATCTTGGCCTCCCATGCGGTCGATTCCAACGTACTTGAAAGCGGCCACGACACGGTCCACATCGAAGCCCATACTACAAAAGCGGTCAACGAGATCCTTATTGTATCCATCGTACCTAAGAGTCACGATCAGTATCAGGATTCGAGTCTCTTCGCATATGGCTGGGTCTGGGGCGTATCATACGCAGCCAGAGAATCACGCTCCTCGTCTTCCTTCGCCTTGCGTTCCTGCTCCCGAATAGATTCTTCAGTGGCACCACCGCTGCCCTCCCCGACCTGGTTGTTGGGTGCACCAGCGAAGACGATGGCCCACTCCCGGGCAACACGCTCGAACTCCTTGGGCTTCCGGAGAAGCATATTGGCCACCTCTGCATCCTGAGGGTCCTTGGGCTCCGGCGTGCTCAGCAGAGACTGTAACGAGAGGAGAGCGGATTTGATCGTGAGAACAGGCGACCACGCCGTAGAGAGTGTGTCAAGGCAAATAGCACCCTGTGCCACCGTTAGCATCATTTCTGAAGTCGGAGAGATTCCCACCACTGACCGTTTGGCTGCTGACATTGGGATGCCAGACTTTGGTCTCGAACTTCATGATGGGCGGCCGGAAAGGATATTCGTTGGGTATCCTGATGTCAACATAATAGGTACCACCCTCGTAGGGAGTCCCAGGAGGACCGCGAAACGAGCCTCGCAGATGGGTGAGGTCATCACCACCGCCAACCGGCTCGGCAGTCACTTGTGAATGGGGATCCGCATGGATATCCGCAATCTCTTTGGCAATGCGGCGGGCACGGTTCGAAGCCATGACGACAGCTGCCCGATGGAGTCGTGGGCGTAGAATCAGTCAGGATTGAACGATCTATGTACAAGAATACGACGGAAACAGCGGTTTAGCAGAATCGAGAGCAAGTCGAGTAGACGATCGGGTGGGGGAGGAGGGGGGTCGATTGAGGTATGTACAAGCGACGGCTAGCACCGTATGTTCTAGGCTGTAGAGGCCGCTAAGCAAGCGTGTCAGGCAGCAAAAGCAAGATAATTATATTCCAACGCCCTGCAGGGCCAATCTGGGCAAGCGATATGCGTGGAATGTGGAAAGCTGCAGAATACGAAGAGAACCAGGCCGGCCTGTGGCTCGACTGTGGTTGGGATTCGAGCTCAGAAGCTCCCCAGGCTATTTAATTTGAGTCACGAAGAGCTGCAGAGGGAAAGGACTTCCAACCGTTAGTCATTGGCGATGACAGGCGTGGAGGCTGGACTGGCGACTCCTCAGGTGAGCTGGCGCAGCCTGCTGTGACGCAGCCTTGGCGGCCGGGGTCGTCATTGCTGGAGAGTGCCTGCCGCTTTCCTGACGTGGACCGCGCTGACTGGCGGCCGCCTCACGTGACTTGCGCTGCACAGCTCGGCGGCTGCGTTAGTCAGCAGCGCGATGGCGACAAGCTGCTGGACAGCTTCTGAACCAGCGCGACCTTCTTCCCAGCTCCAACCACCGCCTTGTCGGCATCTTGCCTGATCGAAGACAGGCGGGAATCTCTCCTGACAGACTTCATCTGTTTCAACCCCTAGCCTGTGTTTTGTTAATCGTTTCAGCCCGCGACCATGGTAGGTATTCTGGCCCCTGCTTGTTGTGCACCTGCTGAGCTCTGCGACAACAGGGTAATCAACAATCCAGTTTCGGTGGTGCTGGAGGGGGCGATGGAAGAGACGAGAAGAGCAAAAAGGTATGCGATTTGGAAATAAACACGATTCTCCTTGTGTTCTTGGTGATCGCTGTTGCTGACGAAGCGCTCTGCTTCAGGACAAGCCCAAGTACGAGCCGCCGCCCCAGCCGACCACTCGTGTCGGACGCAAGAAGCGCAAGGCCGCTGGCCCCAATGCAGCACAGAAGCTCCCTACCATCGTCCCGAATTCGCGATGTAAATTACGATATTTACGAATGCAGCGAATCCACGACCATCTGCTTCTCGAGGAGGAGTATGTCGAGAACCAGGAACGTATCCGGAAGGCGAAGGCTCAGGCGAGCCAGGCACCCTCTGCGACCGGTGAGCTGGACGCCCTGGACAGAAACGCGGATGAGAGGAGTCGAGTAGACGACATGAGAGGCAGCCCGATGGGCGTCGGGAATCTGGAGGAAATGATCGATGATGACCACGCCATCGTGTCCAGCGCTACGGGCCCCGAGTACTACGTCTCGATCATGTCCTTCGTGGACAAGGATCTGCTGGAGCCAGGAGCCAGCGTCCTTCTCCACCACAAGTCTGTGTCGGTGGTCGGCGTGTTGACCGATGACACAGACCCCTTGGTATCAGTGATGAAGCTCGATAAGGCGCCCACAGAGTCCTACGCGGATATCGGAGGCCTGGAGTCACAGATCCAGGAGGTCCGAGAGGCGGTCGAGCTGCCGTTGCTGCATCCCGAGTTGTACGAGGAGATGGGAATCAAACCGCCGAAGGGTGTCATCCTGTACGGCAGTCCGGGAACGGGCAAGACGCTTCTTGCCAAGGCGGTGGCCAACCAGACGAGTGCTACCTTCCTTCGCATCGTGGGTAGTGAGCTGATCCAGAAATACCTGGGTGACGGTCCTCGGTTGGTGCGGCAGATCTTCCAGGTCGCCGCCGAGCACGCACCGTCGATCGTGTTCATCGACGAAATCGACGCGATCGGAACCAAGCGGTACGACTCGACATCTGGTGGTGAGCGAGAGATCCAGCGGACGATGTTGGAGCTTCTGAACCAGCTGGATGGTTTCGACGACCGTGGCGACGTCAAGGTTATCATGGCGACCAACAAGATTGAGAGTCTGGACCCGGCGCTGATCCGTCCTGGACGGATTGACCGGAAGATTCTCTTTGAAAATCCTGATCGTAAGTTTATCTTTTTTAGTCACAGTGTGATTCGCGACTAACATGTCTTTTCTAGAAAACACGAAGAAGAAGATTTTCACGCTGCACACGTCGAAGATGTCACTCAGCGACGACGTGGACCTGGACGAGTTCATCAACCAGAAGGACGACCTGTCGGGGGCGGACATCAAGGCGATCTGTTCGGAGGCGGGTCTGATGGCACTGCGCGAGCGGCGGATGCGGGTGCAGATGGACGATTTCCGGGCGGCGAGAGAACGAGTGCTGAAGACGAAGAACGAGAGCGAGCCTGAAGGGTTGTATCTGTAGTCGTCTCATCGTTCATCGTTGACCTGACGATGTACTAGTGTACTCTATCATCAACCCTACTAACTGAATAGAGTGGCTCTATTTTAAAAGTATTTGTATCCATTCTTGTTTTAAGAAAGAACCTATTAAATGGGTAGGTAAGCAAAGTAATTACTCCATCTATCCACCTGACCTAACCTGATCTGATCTGATGATTCTCATTCATAATCATAATCTTATCAGATCAGATCAGATCAATATTAATCCAAACCAAATGAAAGAAAGAAAGCGGGAATCTATTCCGTCCTCCCCTACCTGTTCACAGTACAATACCTATCGATTGATATTGATTGATAGTGATGGTCACTATACTAGTAACTATACTACTACTTACTGTATTACTTTATTTATCATTTATTAATCCTTTTTTTTAAATATTTTATTTTATTATTTATCTGTTTATTCACGTGAACCCGATCAGGACGGACAAAATGATAGATAATAAGAGTAGATTCCAAACCAACAAGAAAGAGAATCTCAAATCAGAAGAGAATAAATAAGGAATAAGGAATAATTAATTAATAGGTAACTAAGGTAACTAACAAGAAAGAGAGAAAATTCTATTCCATTCATTATCAACAAAGGACAAAATGACACAAAAGTCTTTTTGGACATGACATAAGTGGTGCCTTGGTTGACCAATGTTGTCGATAATAATAATACTGGTCAACATGATTGATTGATTTATTGATTGATTTGATTTAATGTATTAAAAGTAGGAAGAAGAAGAAATCTTTTTTTTCTTTCTTTCAATCCTCCCCTCCTCCTTTTTCTCCTTTCCCTTTCTTTCCTTACCAAACAACACACACCATAGCTAACATAGTTAATGTAATAGGTCTACTCTAGTAGAGAGTTAAAAAAAAAAAGAAATGAAATGAGATGACATAAAAAGGGGAAAATGTAAAACAAAACACAAATACCATGACCTGGGCAACTGATAGGAGGTAAAGGTAGGCAAGGGGGGGGGAAGAAGATAAAAAAGGTCGTTTCGTTAGTATAGGAAATCTGTATATGCAATAGTTTCTTTCCTGGGAAATCCCCTTCTACATTTTTTTTTTGTTTTCGTTTTTGTTTATAACCTTATTGCTTTTTTTGTTTGTTTCGTCAGACTGCACCCGACTGGACCATCTTCTTGCGGAGGTAGTTCTTGTACTCTCCTATCGTGCCGTCCCACCGGCGGATGGTCTTGTTCTCGCACACCATGATGTCCTTGGCGATCTTGTCCAAGAGTCTGAAAAAAGCGTTAGTAACAGGTTGGTCGAGAGAGAGAGAGAGAGAATGAAATGAAGCTTACCGGAAGTCGTGCGACACGACCACGACACCTCCGTTAAAGTTGTTGATGGCTTCCGCCAGACTGTCGATCGTCGGAATGTCGAGACCGTTGGTCGGCTCGTCCAGAAGCAGCATGTTGGGCGCTTCGATCGCCAACAGCGCAAACACAATACGGCTCTTCTGACCCTCGGACAGCGTGCCCATCAGCGCCGTCTGCGCGTCACCCGTCAGACCGTAGCGACCCAGCTGCTGACGCCAGTACTGGTAGTCCTGGCTCTTGTCGGCAAACTTGTCGCGCACAAACTCCAGCGCCGACTTGGTCAAGTCCAGCTGTTCCGCAGAGTGCTGGCTGTACATGCCCAGCTTCAGGTGGGTGTGCCGGCTGATCCGACCGCTGGTCGGGCTCAACTTGCCGGTCATCAGACGGAGCAGCGTCGACTTGCCGACACCGTTCGGTCCGACCAGGGCCGTCCGAGAGTCCATGTCCACACCGAAATCCAGGTGCTCGTACAACGCGTCTTCCGGCTTGCCCGAGTACGAGAAGGTCACGTCGTCAAACGACAGCACCGGCGGCGGCAGCTTCTCGACGTTGGCAAAGCGGAATGTGAAGACCTTGTCCGGGACAACCGGCTGGATAAATCCCTCGGCCTCCATCTTGTCCAGGATCTTTTGACGGGACTTGGCCTGACGGACCAGGTTGGCGTACGTACCCGCGGAGGCAATGAACTTCTTGATGTGCGCGATTTCCTCCTGCTGCTTGTGGTAGGCCTTCATCTGATTCGTTTCCTGTTCCTTGCGGGTCTTGTAATACGAATCGTAGTTACCACCGTAGTACAGCAGCTTCTTCTGGCGCATATCAATCATGTTGGTGCAGACACCGTTCAGGAAGTCCTGGGAGTGAGACACCAGGACCAGGGTGCGGTCCCATTTCTTGAGGTACTCCTCCAGCCACACACAGGCCTCGAGGTCCAGGTGAGCGGTGGGATCGTCGAGCAGCAGCAGCGATGGTTTGACGAAGAGGGCCTTGCCCAGGGCGACACGCATTCTCCAGCCACCGGACATGTCCTTGGTCTTCTTGGACATGGTGTTCTTGTTGAAACCGAGACCCGTCAAGATCTGAGCCGCACGGGTGTGGAAGGTCGATGGGTCCATCTGTTCCATGCGCTAGCAGCCATGTTAGCAGCTCGTCCGTCACAACAGAGTCTCTTGCAACTTACCTCGTATAGATCTTCCAGCAGAGGGCTCTCTGGTCCATCTCTCTCGAGAATCTCTTCGGCCAGCTTATCCAACCGTTCCATCTCGGTCTCTGCTTCCTTCACGACCCACTCCAGCGCGCCCAGCTCGCTTGGAGGGGCACCTTCATTCAGCAGGTAGATGTCGATGTGCTCGGGGATGGGGAACTCGCGCTTGTCGATGGCCTTGAGGAGGGTCGACTTGCCACAGCCGTTCTCACCCAGCAGACCATAGCGGCGGCCGTAGTTCAGCTCGAGGGTGGTGTCGTTGAACAGCACCTTGCCGTGAAAGACCAGGGACGCCGACGTGATCTTGATATCGCGGGACGAGGGCATGGAGGCGAGCACACCGGTCGTGACGCGATCGGACAGGCCGAACTTGTCCATCTGGGCGGTCAGCTTGTCGACTTCCTTCATCTTCTCCGCCGTCGTGGCGGGCTGGTCGTCGGTGGGCAAGCCGTCATTGTCACCGGCCTCCTGCAGCTTCTCGGGCGTCTCTTGTGTCTCTGGCGTCTCTGGCGTCTCTGGCGTCTCCCCCCCATTGGCAGCCGCCTTCTTTGCTTCCCTCTTGGCTGCCAACTTGGAGGCGCCGGTCTTCTTCTTATCGCCCTCGGCGGCACGCTTGGCCTGGCGAGCAGCCTTGGACGCAGACACCATCTTTGCTAAGGAGCGTGAAAAGAGAGAGTCTCTATAAACTGCTTAAAAGATGGCTGAGAGGGAGATCGAGGGTCCAGGAAAAATGGAGGGGCAGAGGTTGGAAAAGCTAGTTCTAGTGGGGTTTGGTTTGGTGACGCCCTTATCGATAGAATTAATTTAAGGCAGAAAAAAAAAGCACCTAGACAACGGAAAAAGCCCCGCTAATCCAAAAGAGGGCGGACAAAAACACAGGGTATCAGCGAGACCAAAAGCAAGCACAAGAGATCGGCCTCCAGAGGTCGAGCAACACAGGACACGACACAAAGTCGAGGGGACTCTGGTGCTGGATGCAGACAGAGGATGGCGAGTGTTGTGGGGGGCGGAGGGTCGAAACGAGTCCTGCGCAGACGCAATTAATAACTGTTTGCTGCTGAGTTTTCGTGCCGGTGGACCGCTGCCGCCCGCTGACTGGCCGACCGACGTCACCGCCAAGCACGTGAAGTGGCAAGCAGACACTTTTCTGCCTGAGGCAACAAGTCTACTCCAAGAGAACAGTGAGTGACGATTATTACTCTATCTATCTGGAATATTATTATTATTAAATCTTCTTGCTTAGCTCCTCCAGGAATGCCTTCTCCTCCGGACTCAGCGACACCTGGTCCGGCGCCAGCACGGCGCCGCGTCGAACCACCAGCTGCGGTTCATCCCCAGCAGACGACCCCTGGTCCGACGAAGAAGAGGTCGGCGTCAGCTTACTTTCGATATCGACTCCAGCCCCATTGTCGGCTGGTTTGGGTCGGCTGAGGTCCGCCGCAGTCCACCAATATGTCGGAAACCGCCGTTGGATGTTGTTCACGAGCAGGGCGGTGCCGAGCATAAGCGCACACCCGAGCAGCATCACAGGAATCAAATACCATCCGAGCTTCAGCGAATCGTCGTTGGTCACGGCGAGGAGAGCAGTCGCTCCGGCAGGCGGATGGACCGTCTTGGTCAATGCCATCACGGCGGTGGTCGTCGCGCAGGCCAGGGCACCGCCGACCCAGCGGATGGATTCAAAGTGCGGACTCAGGGCGAACAACTTGCAGACGCCCACTCCGATGATGCTCGCGATAACTTGGCCGAAAACGGCGTTTCGAGGTTGCGCGAGGGGTGAGTCGATTGCAAAGAATTCCAACACTGCGGCCGCGCCCTGGTGATATCAGCATCAGCATGCAACCAAAAAAAAGAACTTGAACAATTGTTCTGGTTTCCAAAGTGACCAATTCATGGGATACTTACAAAACTGGCAATGATGATAGGAGCTCCATGCTCCTGAAAAGAATGGACATGACGCGACGCCGCTTCAATGATGAGAATCGCGCAGAACACGCCAATGAATGCCCAGAAGATGGCGACGAGGTTTCCCACGTTCCTAGGCGAGCCCTTTCGGTATCCGAACCAGTAGGATATGGGATAGGGAAGAAATCGCCATGGCGGCGGTGGGATGAACGGGTTGAGGAAGCGATCGATGTCGAAATTCCAGGCGGAGAAGTCAGGGAGTGGCATTGTCGACAGTCATCCGGGTATTGTCCTTTCAATATTCAATAACGAAGATCTTGACTCAGTCAACTAGGGCAAACACCGAAAGAAAGCCCATGCTCCGTGCTGTTTCTTTCTTATATAAGGAGCAGAAAGGTCAATGTCAGCATATCCCCAGTTCTTGACAGGTACATGTATGTACGTGCAGTACATACAATGAGTTCAGAACAAGGAAGTAGTTACTCCATAGCTTACAGCTCTCTCGCCATTCTTTTATTATTTGCCAGTCCCATCATCCTTACCGCGCCAACGACCCCCAGCCCTTTCTCCGCGGAACCAAAAGAAATGAATCAATAAATTCCTCTGCCAGACGAGACCCCCGTTTAAGGAAGCAGCAACCGTCCACTCAGCGCCGATGCAGCGCGTTGCGTTTGGTAATAGAAATCCCGATCCGGTTTAGTGGATAGTTCTGTGGATCGACATTTGCCGCGGAAGACTCGAGAGTCGAAGTATGACGCGATTATGGACTTCCTAGGCATGTGGGACCGTTTCCCTAGTTGATGGTACTGTACAGTACATAAGAGCTGTCAAATGCATGTCTATATGTTTGCCTCGCCAGAGAGCTGGTTGCTCTTTTTTTTTTTGCAGTGGAAGAAAGCTTGGCATGCTGTTCCAGGGATCCATCCAGTCCAAATCTAAATCCAAATACGAAGCCGAATCCGGGGAAGCTCATTAACCAATCGTGTCTTGGAGGTCCTGTCTATACTCGAGTGAGGTTTGTTTGAATTAACAGATGGGAGGTCTTGGAAGCTAGGGATTATATATAGGTACCTATCAGTACCCAGTTTCTCGCTCTGCTTTCTGTTCATATCTTACGCATTCAATACGAGTTCCCTATCTATCTGTTTATATACACTCCGTACGCCGTCATATCGCCATGGGTATTGCACGTATGTACAAGTCGTTTAAACATCCAGAGTCTTGCCCAGCTTGGAGCTCTCCTTGGCCAACTCGATCAGCCGGATAACAGCGCTGGCCTCCTCGCCGCTGGCCGGAAGGTCGCCATCTCCAGCGAGTGCGCGGGCCAGTCTCCGGTAATACTCCACCCAGGTAGAGTTCTCTGTGGGAACGGTCTCTGCTGTGAGCTTGTCGTCCTTGACGGTTGTGAGGGTGCCTGGTGAGTCGCATAGGTTAGTTATATCGTACACTACTATCTCGATAGGTGGATGCCGTACCGTATCTGTCGCTAGGCTCCTTGGCGTATTCTTCGTCGCCCGGCTTCAAACCTTTGATCAACTGTTCCTCCTGGATATCGAGGTGGTACTGGAGCAGTCATGTTAGCTAAATCCTCACTCCCGAAATTAGTCCTGATCCTTGCCTTCTTGAAGCTGCCCTTGTCTCCCCGGACCCAGAATCGCAGCTGCTTCTCTTCTGCGCTGACCACGCTGCACTTCGCCGTGACTAACAGCCCGGAGTTATAGTGCAGCAGCACCGTGAACGAGTCCTCGAACCCGGTCGGGTTGACCTCTCTCTGAGAGCCCACGAATCCCGTCACCCGCTGGGGGAGACCGAACAGATACACGGCTTGGTCCAGCAGGTGCGTGCCGAGATCGTAGACTGCGCCACCGGCCGGCAGCACCTTGTACTTCCAAGAATCGGTGTTAGGGATCACCGGGCGGTAGCGGTCAAAGTGAGTCTCGTATTCGACGACCCGGCCCAGCGTTCCATTCTTGACCAGCTTGGACAGGGTCACGAAGTCAGCGTCCCAGCGGCGGTCTATCGGGCGTTTACGGTCAGCGGGTTGTTCCCACATGTACGCAAAAAAAAAAAAGACAGGATGAATACGCACTCTGATACACGGCCAGCAGCTTGTTCTGCTTCTTAGCCAGGGCAACGAGTTCGTCGGCTTCCTTGTGGGTGGGTGTGAACGGCTTCTCAACCACGACTACAATTCATCTCCAATTAGCCAACCAATTCTCCAACGTTTCCATCTTGGCGCAATAAGAATGCAGAACACTTCGCGAACGGCGGGACTGCCATACCATGCTTTCCTGCCTCCAGCGCCAATTTCGTCAGCGCGACATGGGAGTCTGGCGCGGTGGTCACGACCACCACATCCACGGTCTCATCCTTGACCAAGTCATCGGCGCTGCGGTAGGCCTTGATGCCCGGGTGATCCTTCTCCGCATCGTCATCGGGCTTGGGATGTCGCTGCACAATGGCGTACAGCTTGAAATCGGGGACGGCCTGGATGAAGGGAATGTGGAAGATCTTGGCGCTGAAGCCGTAGCCTATGACACCGACGTTCCAGGTCTTGGGCGCCATTGTCGTGTCGAGTTGAGAGTCGTTCTTGTACTCAAATGTAGTATATGTATCTCTCCGCCGGGAGCTTGGCTGTCTGGGATCAATTGGGGAGCGGCTGGATCTTATATAGATGCCTGTTTTTTTTTTCTGACCCACTGGGAATCACGACAGAACAGCACGGAAATTAAACCACGTGCAGATGCTTCCAGATGGGCAAATACTGGATGCAGTAAAGCACCGCCACCGGAAGCGTGACAGGAGGCAGCATTGCGGCGCGGGGCAGGTCAACCCGCGCACAAGCTTCGGCGGGGCGGGCGGTGGGGTTGCGAACAGCATCCATCTGCTTCTCGCGGCTTCTAAGATATCCACCGTCAAGTGCTTTAAATCTAGTAATTAGTAAGGATATGGCAGAATTATGGCTCAGTTCGAGGAATGGTAAGCCTCCAGATTAGATGTTCACTACATTTACAAGAATATGGCAGGAAGTACACATGTAGACAATAGATTATTTAAGGCTAGTTTCCTAATGTTCGCAACTTCTCCATCTGCCACCCGGCCAAGGAACTCGTAATCCGGACCACGGAATCAGGTTTCCTGGGCCACGGCCACGCATTTCGTGATCTCGACCCCGTCCTGCACAATGGATTAGCCAGCTGATTGCGCGCCCATGGTCGAGTGAACAAACACTTGCCTTTTCCCCGCTGGGTTCGAAGCTCTCGACCAGCCGGCTCTCGTACACCAGATTCGGATTGCCAACCACGTCGAGAGCCGGCTTCTCCTCGCCAACCCGGTGGCTGTACTGCGTTTTGGAGCGTTCCAAGATGCCCTCGAAGTTGTATCCCTTGCCCGCGCCCTCCTTGGCCGCCGCGCGCTTCTGCTCAACGCTGCTGCGCACGTATTCGAGGTAGGGCGGATTACCAGGGAAGAGCACGTTGTCGGCCGCCAGCACGGTCCCGGGCGTGACCAGCCCAAAGTGCTCGCACAGCTTCAGATCCGTCATATAAGCCGGCTTGTAGTGGTCGAGGAACAGGAGGTCGATGTGCGTCAGCTGGCCCTCGTTGTAGAGCCGCTGCAGGGACAGATCACTCCGTCCGATGACGACGCGGACGACGTCCCGGAGTCCAGCCAGGTCGACGAGCATGGTGGCCACGGCGCCAAATTCAGGGTTTCTTTCCAGGCTGAAGTATCTCTTCCCGCCAGCTTCACGGACGGCATTTCCAAACAGGATCGCCGAATAGCCCACGTAGCCCCCCAATTCCACCATGGTTTCGGGCTTGACCTCGGCGATCAGGTCGGTGACGATCTTGCCCTTGTAAGGGCCGACATTCATGAGATAGCCCTTCGTCCTGGCATACTCGTCGATGACATCCAGCACTTTGCGTGGATTGCCCCGGATCTCATCCAGGTTGGGCTGGTTGTACACGTAGTGCAGCAGCTGAATTTCGCGCCCGTCATCAAACTACTGAAAGTCAGCGCTCATATAATGCAATTGATCGACAGAAAATCCGCATGACTGACCCACGGCGTACCGTCGAATTTGCGACGGATATAGGCCCGACTGCTGTCGAATTCGGAGGGGTTCGTAGTGCTTGCCATTGTATTTGGAACCGTGATCAGAATAAGTGATTTGACTAGGTTTGAATTCAATCAATCAGTTGAACTATATATATACACAAGCATATGGGTAAGAATTAATCCCGCGGAGAAGCTTATGGAGAAGCTAATTGGTACTCCCCACAGTCACTCATGAGTAAGGTATCCGCTGTCTAGAACAAATTAATGCGGAATCTTCGGGCCTTTCAAAGTTGAAAGTCTAGATGCTGGAGGAAAAAGCAAGAGAGGACCTTACAATGGTCCTGGCAAAGAAAAAGATTAGATTAAAGGGAGACTGCCTGACAATCGGGGAAAATATATTTATATTTAAAATATCCAACTCTCACGGCAGTATGAGAAACTAAATTTTTGGCCTAAATCATTTCCTATCTTTAGCCTTAGTCTAACAGCCGTTCCTCATTTGTTTCCTGATGTAAAAATATTTAAAAGAGATTTTTATATTCTATGGCAATTTCTATATACTATGGCAATTAAACTCTCATTATTTGATTTCTCTCTATTGCTTCCTGGTGTATACTACCACCCTTTTGCTAGATATGTTTGGTGTTTAATTGTTTTATTTTACTCTACAAAAATCTCGTTGTTTCTCAATTGCAAGCATCTTCGTTTTCATGTCAGGCTCAGACGAAATTCGTCTTCTCAGCATATAAAATGCTTCTTCACGAGTCCAGAGTGAGGCTGCACACAGGCGACAGGTGCGGGTGGGTCATAGAGGGTTCCCACCCAGCGCTGACACGAATTGTGACGAGCATCCATTTCACAGCTTTATCTCAAAAATGGACGTCTCATGGATGTATCATGTCGACGCCCAGGTGGACTCGACGTCGTGGCTGCGAGGGCATCATTGGCCGGTCGGAGGGGCTAATTGGCAAGGGCTGCCAACGCAGCGGTGATCTGGATGGCCCAAGCTCCTCTCTCTCCATCGTCATCCTCTTAAGACACACAGTTGTTATGCACACCCGGCATAAGATAACTGAGCGTTCCACAGCAAATAGAAAGCCATGATGCTATTCGGGCCTTTCACATGCGAAATTTGCTATCTAACGGGCGTCACATAGTCTCAATGGGCTTCTGGAGGCCCCATTCTCCGGCCATCCCGTCCGTGCCGCTGATTCAAGCTGTATGCAGCTATGACGTCCCGTTTCCGGTGGCAGCCAACACAGCAGCTCGGGCAGACGGGCCTCCTACCTGAGGTTATTTTAACTCTCACTTTTGCATTCCGTGGAGAGACTTTCGGTCCTACAACGTTGAAGGAAAGGCAAGGCCTGTATCTTCCGCATACAGATGGAGTGTACCTCGTCACCGGCGGTTCTCAATTCCACCACGCCCGAGGCTTCAGAGATGGCGCCTCGTTCCCCGACACAGGCCATCCGCAAGCTACAAAGCAGTGCTGCCCTCTTCTGCACCGGCTCTGCTTCTGTTGACCTAGCACGTTGCCTCCTTCAGCTTTACGTTTCTTTCCTCGTGCTTCCGCTCGACACCGTTGTCCTCGTCGGCGTTACTGTTTTGGCAGTTCTTCCTCTTCCCGTCAACGAACCGCGGCATCAACGCCGACGCCTGCTCCAAGATGCCCATTTCTATCCGAAAACCGTCCTCATCACCGGCGTGGGAACAGCCCGCGGACTTGTCCTTGCCCGTCAGTTCCACTACGCCGGCCACCGGGTAGTAGGCGGCGACGTAGGCTTACCGCCGATCCGCTCCGGTGGCAGCACGTCCAACGCGTTGAGCGTTTTCTATCGCATCTCCAAAACGCAATATGTCAGCAACCTCATCGATATCATCAACCGAGAGAAGGTCGATATCTGGATCCCATGCTCGGACCGGGCCTCTGCAGCGGAAGATGGTGTCGCCAAGGGAACCATCGAGAGCCGAACGAGCTGCAAGTGCGTCCACTTCGACGCAGAGTTCGCCACCTGTTTTGCTCAGAAAAGCCTGTTCCTCCAGTACGTTTCGGACAAGGGCTTGCCAGTCGCGGAACGACATGACGTGCGGTCGCGCGATTCTATCCACCGGATCCTCAACCGGTCTCCGCACAAGATCTTCCAGATTCGGAAGTTGGGATCCCCGCTGAAAGGAAAAGCAAAGGACGTGATCATCTTGCCAAAGAAGACGCTGAGTCAGACATATTCGGATGTCAGCGAACTGACAGTCACGAAGGAGCATCCCTGGATTCTCAAACAACGCGGCCGGGTTGGCAAGTATTGGGCGGATCTGCTTTTGATCCAAGGCCAGCTGAAGGCGCTGAAGGTTCGCCCGCTTCGTCGTGAAATGAGCTGGGGCCTGTCGCGCCTGGACGAAGGACTGTATGCGGCGATGGAGCAGCTGATGGAAAGATTCGCGGAGAAAGGAGGGACCAGACTGACGGGACATTTGTCCGTCAAGCTCCTGGTGGATGAAGAAGTCAGTGCGCACGCTGTGCGGTATGCCACCTACATTGCTGGCTGTCGACAGGGCACTACGGCTGTCGGTGGTCTTCTGGACAACCCACCGCCTGACCTCTACCAACGGTATTTGGAGGTCTTGAAGCCCGAGACCAACGGAGTCGATTCGAAACCATCAGAGAAGTCGCCAGCCTCCACCGGGCAATTGGCAGTTCAGAGGCCGCTCTGGCTCCCTAACGCGGTAGAATACGCCCTGAAGGAGCTGCGACGGCTACGACAGGCATCTAAAACTGTCGACGTACTGGCCGAGCAGCTGGAACAGCTTCTGCTGGGGGACAACAGTCGGTTCTCACGACTCGATCCTGTGCCATGGTGGTGGCACCGGCACGTTAGTCGGCCGCTGAACGACCTCATCCTCCTCTACGATCGAAACGTCGAGGCGCACGTGAAAAGATTCCCGTGACGAACATGAATCGGATAACAATCCCGCTTTCTATACGTTTGCTGCTACGAGAGACTAACACGCATGGCATGGCGTTTTGGGCTGCACGAGGGTTTCTTGGATAATTTTATTTGCGAAGTGTTTATTTCATATGTGGGATTTCGCACCTATCTGCTGGAATTGTTTGTGCATAACTTCATCGTTTTTGTTTTTGTCCTTCTCATTGTTACTACTCCCAATGCCTGTAGGGCTGAGTGCAGGGATGCATTAAGTGTGGCTAGCCTGTGTGGCTGAGGGGTTTCTATATATAACTGGCATGCGAAGCTGAGCCGCGTCGCCCCTTTGACCGTTTGACGGAGTAATTCCGTAGTGCTGTAACCTTGAGCCCAACGGCATCCGTCACCAGAGAGGGCTCTCTTGGTCCGACCTGGTCGTCGTCGCCCAGGTCGTGACGGCCCTTCGACGAAGAGCACCGTTATTATTTGGAACTCATAACTTTGGGGCCGTTTTCGTCGCTGATAATCAGCTGGTAATTAGGTCGCAGCGATCGATGCCAATCAGAGCCGCGCGACGCCAGCTGCAGCGGCGCAGCCAGTGGCTTGGGTGGGCCGCTAGCATGGGCGGGCAGTGCAGGCAGTGCTAGTAGAGTGCCCAGGCCCTGGCAGCCCGTCAGTTGCCTGGTGAATCGGTCATGGAATCCCATTATCCATACCTGTCCTCCAGCGCGCTGCTGCCATGGTCACCTGCTCCCTCTGTCGCTGACGTAGCCCTTTCTGCCCTCTGTTCTTCTCCCTGAATTATTGTTATTATTACTGTTATTGCCTGTGAACACTTTTTTCCTGGGCCTGCTCTTTTTCTCTCGTGCCTTACCACAGAACTTTTTTTTTTACCTTACTGGTTTCGAGGTTTCGCGGGAGCCTAACAGTGTAAACATCCCACCATTTGCTTCCTGCTGCCCTCCACCTCCTCCAACGTCCATCCCGCGACCACCGAAGCGAGTTTCCACAGAGTAACGTACAGTTATTCAGCACCAGAATTCTTTTCTGGTTGCTTGGCCGTCTATACGTTTCCTTGCTCGTGCGCGAGACAAGGCACGCAGCTTCGCCGTTTCGTTCGACCGTTCGTTGCATATTCCCGATCGACGCTGAGCGAACATGAGGCTGCCGTCCACGAATCCGGCACGGATAAAAAACATCATCCATGCTTTCCAAGCGTTCGCGATTTTCCTGGGGTGGGCGCTCACAATTGCCGTCTTTACCAAGGGTGATGGAATCGATGGTCGCTCGGGGTGGTATTTTGGCCTGGTATGTTGCCAGGCATCGTCAATCAACTTTTTACCTCTTTCGTTTGGCGTGGGAGTATATTGACGACGTTTCTGGTACCTGCAGTGCTGGCTCTCCATCCCCGCGTTGATCTACCTCGTCGCCGTTCCATTATTCCCCCGTGCTCGACGATTTGGCAACGTCTATGCCTTCGCTACCATCGACTGCCTGTTTGTCATCCTATGGTTCAGTGCCTGGGTCGCCGTTGCATCATACGTCGCTGAAGGGAAGAGCAAAGGGGAGGCAGAACAGAGTAACAGCAAAGACCCGAAGACGGGTTGCGACGCATTTGCGTACGGGAGCGCTTCCAAGTGCAAGCTTAGCACGGCAACCGTGATCCTGGGAGTCATCATCTTGTACGTAACAGTGGAGTTGGCTTGCTGGCCTCTTACTGACTTTTCTTCAGCCTTGCCTTTATTGCTACGAGCCTTATCTCCCTCCGCAATGTCGTCCACTTCCGTCGCACAGGGACCTTGCCGGATGCGGTGGCAGACCCAACCTTCGATGCGCAGACGAAAGCCGCATTTTCCTCCAATCCCCCGCAAGATTTTGACGAAGAAGACGAGTTCCGATCCGGGCGGGCGGGCGACGGGCCCTCTCACTATCCTAATGATCGCGATGAGGATTATGCCCTTCTTCAACAGAGCGAGGCGGATGAGATGGGCGGGTCGCACCACAGTGCCGTGCACGGCGCCTATGACCCGACCGCTTCCAATGCTGGGTCAGTCATGCATGACTACGATACCAGCTACGGCGGTGCATATGGGCAACATTACACTCGGCCGTCTGGGACCTACAGTGACACGAGTTATCACCCGGTCGGCGGATACGGTCGCTAAACTGGCAGCAGTACTCTGTTCCAGCACGACTTTGCATGTGTTTCTGGCGAGAAATGTTTACTTCAACTCGTACCCACGGTGCCATTGCTACGGAGGCATGTCTCAATGAATTTGTTATTTTGCATCTGAAATGTCGCGAATGAATGAGGATTTCGAGTCGGTGTTAGTTTGTTTTTATACAAAAATTTTGTTGTCCCTGTTGTCTTTTTTTTTTTAAACTACGCACTTCATTTCTTTCTGCCTGTAATCTATTGATTTGTGACAGGAAGATTATCATCAACGTCCGGTGGACTTTGCAGCGGTTCTGTTCTGTCAATGTTGGTTAGACATGAGGTTCATTAATGAGTTTGATTGATTTGTTTTAGCTCCCCTGGATGCAACTCGTTCCTGCACGTCATGACTCATGCATGCTGCCCCTTGCCCCCTTATGAAGAGATGTGATGCATAATGGATATAATGGATATAATGAATAAAGACTGAGGTGAATACATGAACTGAGGTATGAAGCTTTTTTTTTGTGCCCTTTTCGCATGATATGGTATACTTTTCGACAATGAGGTTAGTTCTGAACTGTCGATTTGGTAGTTAGACAATGGAAAGAGTGTGTACGGAATGACTCGGAGTTGAGTACTTATATCTATGTATCTATCTATTGTAGTCATTGGAGTGCTTGCTGTACCGAGTGGGTGACTCCCGTATGCGTCTACTGACAGCAGAAACGTAAGCCATAGAAGGGAGTGGTTGGCCCACTTGGATTTTTCCTGCTGCCCAGAGTTCTGAATCCGAATACCTTGCACCTCAGCAGTGACTCCTCCTTTGCAAAACAAGACGGCGAGTCAACGTGTGATTGTATGGCATTGATGGGCGGATAGCACTAGCTGTTAGGTACATATGTACTGTACAGATGCCTCCCTCCAAAATGGAAGAAGGTTCAAGGAAAGTTCCGTCAGTGGTAAAGGCTTACTTACCAAAAAGGGTAATTAATATCCAATAGGTGATGGCCAGGGACACAGTGAATATAAATGAAACAAGGCACACAGGGAGGTATCTACCTGTGAATGACAAGCAAGCTGTGCTATACGTATAAAGATTGTACTGTACGCAGGCCATAAGAACTTTTTTTTGAACCTCCTCTGTCCCTCCTTTATTTATTATTCTTGCAAGACTTTTGTATAATTGGGACTCTGGACAGCTACCTGACAATACCTACCTACCTAGGTACCTAACCTACCTACCTAGGTCGCTGTTGAGACAGCAGCTGGGGTTTTTTTCCCCCCCCCCCTCCTCAAATGTCTCAAATGTCAAGTTTATTATTATTTAACGATTACTATCAACAAGAACAATCGTTAAATATTTTTCATTGTTTTACTTACTATCGTGTTTGAAGAGCCTCGTCAGGGAGGGAGCCGGATGCGGTCTGCTCCAGGCCCTTACATTTAATATAGGAAGTGCTTGCAGTGCACGGTCATAAGAAGCAAAAACTTAGCGTCGCACTTGCGATTTTGATGGATCTGTTCCACCAGTGATCTTCGACACTTCGACTAAGTACTGGCCAGCAGATTTCAACAGTCAGGGCAACATTCGACAGTTTCGCAGGCCTGTCTTACCGACAATCTGGCTGATCAAGGACCGCGTACCATATTTTCCAAATCCCTACGACCCGTGCACAGCGATACTGCTACGGCTCATGTGGCACCAGTTGCAGTCATTTTGCACAATTTGTCCCGGACGCCGTAGCAGCCCTCCCAGGGATGCGACTGGCTTTACCTAACATTTGGTACGCACCCAATCCCGGCCCATGCTTTGGTCCTCGACGACATCACATACCATCGGCCAAATGGCCTGGTGTGCCACTGAAACTCAACCAGACGAATGGGCACAGGTACTATTTCCTTCGCCATGGCTCTTGCTCTACGATCTTTGTCGCGTCTGACTCTGATCAAAGAAATGGCCAGCCAAGCCTCTTCTGCTTCCGCTTTCGTTGATGATATTGAACGGGAGGTAACTCCCAGGTGAGTTGATAACCCTCTGTCTCATGTCATTGTTGACAGTGTCTAACAAACTTGAAAATATGCAGAGACCTAGATGCATATATTGATGCACTGCGTCGGAGAGTCTCGGAGTCCGAAGGATTTGCTCAGCAATATTGGCAACTTGTCCTGGATCATTACCTTGCTGTCCAGGCTTCCATGCCGTAAGAGGCTGTCTGTTTGCTAATATTACAACTGCTCTGAACATAACTAACGAATTGGTTTTTTTTTCCCAACTAGACGGATCGATGAAGGAGAGCCCAAGGGTCTGGACAAACAAGTATATCAGCGAATCAAAACATTGAAAGACATTCGCGAACAATTGTCAGCGGATGATCCCCAAATCGCAAACGTCATAGCTATCCTCGAGGCTTACAGAACAAAGAAGCTTCACATTGAAAATGGAAAGGTCTCCTGTTGGTCTGGGGGAAAGCAAGTTACTGAATTGGAGGACCTCAATTGGGACACTATTGCGAGTGTTGCATCAGAGCACTCTGCTGCTACACAAGGCGACTTTTGGGTTGAGGATGTAAGTCTATAGTGAATCCACCATCTTTATACTGACTACTGACGTTAAGTGTCGTACTAGCCGTCTCCAGTATATATATATCAACAGATGTCGTGTCTTAGAGTTTGTTCCTGATCGGTCGCAAATACATCATGTTAGTTAGCCACGACACCAAATTTTCTGTTCTGGGGGAAGGATTTCTTTCTCCTTTGTCTTTTTCCTGTTGACGTTTTTGGTGAGTCTTCGACTTTGAAGATCCAGTGGAAAACCTATCTATCTCAATCTCCCTCTCTAACCGAGGCAAGGACAGGGTCGGCAATTCCCAGGCAAGGGTCTTCTCAGACAGGACAAAACCCACATCAGGATTCAGGGCGGAGGTAAGGATGAGAAGTGGAAGCAACGCTGGTGCAAGGGGCTGAACAGCTGAAGCAATGATGCAATGACAAAATATGGACTGTTTTATTGTGACTATCTGTCTTAGCTGTGACATCACTAGCATCGCTTGTGTTTAAGTTGCAGAGGTAGCTAGCTTCAGTTCTGCAATTCCATTGATTGCTATCTATCTTGGATCAACTTGTTATTTAGTGAGTATACAAACTTCTATTATAGAAGGAATGGATATAATACATGATGTGCTGCACAGCAATCTAGTTACTCTCTGATTACTCCGTACTGTTGCAAAGAAAAACAAGAGAATACAGAGAACTCGAGCAGGGAGAGATGAAGATAGAGCATGCATAGCGGCGCCAAGCAGCAGTAGTGCACTTAACCTGAATTGGACACACTATCCTGCTTCAGGAAAGTCAGCATGTTAACAAATGTTCTGCCACCGCCTTTGTCTCCGCGGAGGCCTGTGGACAGCTGGTCCGGACAGCTCGCAGCAATAGAATCGTCAAACGTCGACTTGCCCTGGCACCTGGTGAATCAATGCATTTTTGTGTCAGGCCATTCATACCATTCTTGAAAGGGAATCATACCTGCCAGTGGAGTTCCACAGTACACAAGAGAGCACGCATCCTGCCTACTGAGTGTCTGCGCAGTCAAGCAGTAAGTGTACCTGCAGCGGTGTGCTTCCTCCAGTGAAATTGAATGATGCTAATTTATGATAATCTAGCCAGATATACAGCATATACACCGATCCTAATTTGCTATCCTAATTTCCTCTACCTTTGGTTGGTCCACCATGGCCTCCGATCTCGACAGCTTCACGCAATACCCATTGCAGCTCGACCCAGCCACCAAAGCCATCTCCCTCGCCACGACGGAAGGCCTATCTTCAAGCCAAGCAGAAGCCATCAATTCGGAACTGCAATCGCTGAACAACCTCCACCGGTCCCTCGTCAGCCTCGACCCGCCAAATGTGCCTCCGCCCCCGCTGCCCATCAACCCCAAGCGTAGCGCACAGGTGACCAAGCTGCGCGACACCGCCAACGCAGCGTTCCGCAAATCCAACTTCGCCGAGGCCGTCAAGCTGTACACCTACGCGATCGACATGGCCCTGGGCCGACCCCCCTGGGAGCCGCTCTCGCTCGTCCGCGACGAGCTCTCGGGCCTGTACGCCAACCGCGCGCAGGCACACATGTCGCAGCAGAACTGGCCCGAGGGCTGGGTCGACGCCAAGAGCAGCGTCGAGTGCAAGCCCGTCGGCAACGTGAAGGGCTGGTGGCGCGGCGGGAAGTGTCTCATCGAGATGGGCCGGTGGGATGAGGCCCGCGCGTGGGTCGAGCAGGCCCTGGGCATCGAGGGCAAGACGGGCGAGGGGGGCAAGGAGTTGCTTGCGTTGATAGAGGAGATTCAGCAGGGTAGTCAGAAGGTATAATATAATATAATACGGCAGGGAAGCAGGTTATATTATAACCTTGCGAGTGGTCGTTCTTTTTTTTTCTCGGATAGCATATATCGATCGACATCCTCATACCCGTTGCATTGCTTTTTTTAATGCTATAATTGCATTCACGCAAGAAAGATGTCGATTTATTTCTCCTTCCCCTGTCAAAGGATAACTTGTGATCGGGGAGAGAAGACCGGTTGTTGACTTGACTGTTATCTTCTGAACTGTTATGTCATGTTATGTTACTGGTTCATGGCGTCTGGCGATGGTTTTGATAGGTGTTTAATCTAGTTTATTTTCAGTTTGATATCAAACTCATCGTTGCACCTCAATTGTTGATAATACAGATGAAGGATACTGTTGGTGGTTATCTCCGAGTCAGGTGGTTTATCTCCACATCACGTGACTTATTTATCTGAGTTCCAAAATAGGCAAGCTTGCGTTGGACTAACCCTCGAAAATCCCAATCTGGAAACTCGCATCTGATTCCAATGTTATTACGCTCTAGTTATCGTATTACACCGCACAATTACCTAACAAGATTCCCCGCACTGAGAAGAACAGGAAGCTGGACGCTGCCTTGGGTCTGATTGCCGCTTATCGAAGGTCGACGCGAACCGCCCGCATCGCCGGCTAAACCCAGATAGGCGACGAATTCCAGTCTCCAGACGAGCTGCTTATCGTTATCGCGATAGCCCTTACTCTGTACATGGGATGCATCACGCACCTGATAAGCGAATAAGGGCCTCCCTGGCCCTCCCATTTAAAGGCCCGTGTATCCCTGCCATGAGGGCAGACAGCAGCATTGTCCTTACCTCCATCGTTTCTTCTGTTGCTTGATCATCGCCATGGTCGACCGTCTCAAACAGCTGACCTCCCAGGTCAGTGGTACCTCCCCCTCTCCCCACCCCTTCGATCCCCTCTCGACCACCGAAATCGACACAGTTGTCGCCCTGGTCCGGGAGAAGTATGGCCCTCTCAGTTTCAATGCTGTCTCCCTGTATGAGCCTCGCAAGGCCGAGATGCTGGCCTGGCTCGCAGACCCTGAAAAGGCACCGCGGCCGGCCCGCTGTGCCGATGTCGTCGCCATTGGACCAAAGGGCAAGGTCTACGACGGCATAGTCAATCTGGATGAGAAGAAGATTGTCGAATGGAAGCACACGGAAGGTGTCCAGCCCATCATCACCCTGGAAGAGCTCCAGGAGGTCGAGCACGTCTGCCGCAAGGACCCCCGGGTCATCGAGCAGTGCGAGATCATCGGCATCCCGAGGGAAGAAATGGACAAGGTATACTGCGATCGTAAGTTTTTCCTGTCCGTCAATTTGGTTTCGTCTACTCAAGTGGTATTCCAGCCTGGACCATCGGCTATGATGAGCGGTTTGGGAGCAACATCCGTCTGCAGCAAGCGCTCATGTATTATCGACCCAACGTGGACGACTCTCAATACGGGTATCCGCTCGACTTTTGCCCCATCTACAATGCAGAGACCAAGGAGATCATTCACATCGATGTGCCCCCGGTGAGACGCCCCATTAGCAGGGCACCGCCCAACAACTACCACCCAGAGTCCGTGGCCAAAGACCTGGGCGGATATCGGACCGACCTCAAGCCCATCCACATCACACAGCCCGAGGGCGTGTCGTTCAAAATGAACGGCCGGATCGTCGAGTGGCAGAACTGGAGCATCCACGTCGGGTTCAATTACCGGGAAGGCATTGTGCTGAACAACATCACCTTCAACGACAAGGGCACCATCCGCCCCATCTTCTACCGTCTGTCGCTGGCCGAGATGGTCGTCCCCTACGGCAACCCGGAGCATCCTCACCAGCGCAAGCATGCCTTTGATCTGGGCGAGTATGGCGGGGGCTACATGACCAACAGTCTGTCACTGGGCTGCGACTGCAAAGGGGCCATCCACTACCTGGATGCCGCCTTTGTCAATCGATCGGGAGCCAGCACTGTTATCAAGAACGCCATTTGTATCCACGAGGAGGATGCAGGCATCCTGTTCAAGCACACCGATTTCCGGGACGACTCGGTGATTGTGACTCGCGGGCGGAAGCTGGTCATCTCGCACATCTTCACGGCGGCCAACTACGAATACTGCGTGTATTGGATCTTCCACCTGGATGGTACGATCCAGCTGGATATCAAGCTGACGGGAATTCTGAATACGTATGCCATGAACCCCGGCGAAGACACCCACGGCTGGGGAACGGAGGTGTACCCGGGAGTCAACGCCCACAACCACCAGCATCTGTTCTGTCTGCGCGTGGATGCCAACATCGACGGACCCAACAACACCGTCTTTCAGGTGGACGCCGCTCAAGGGCCGGGCGAGGTCGGCAGCGCAGAGAACAAGTATGGCAACGCGTTCTATGCCAAGAAGACGAAATACACGACGCCGGCAGAGGCGATGGCCGACTACAATGGCGACACGAGCCGCACGTGGGAGATTGCCAACACGAACAAGCTGAACCCGCACAGCAAGAAGCCTGTGGCTTACAAGCTGGTGAGCCGGGAGGTGCCACGCTTGCTGCCGAAGGAGGGAGGGTTGGTGTGGAAGCGGGCGGGTTTTGCTCGCCATGCGGTCCACGTTACAAAGTGTAAGTCGTCTGATGATATTATTTATCTACAGTTCGTTTCTCACAAGTCACATCTAGATGCCGACGACCAGATCTACCCCGCCGGCCGCCACGTCCCTCAGACGTCAGGCGAGCCATCACAGGGCCTGCCGATGTGGATCGAAGAGACCAAGGACACCTCGATCGAAAACACCGACATCGTGCTATGGCACACCTTCGGCCTGACGCATTTCCCGTCGCCGGAGGACTTCCCCATCATGCCGGCAGAGCCGATGACCGTCCTGTTGCGGCCGCGCAATTTCTTCGACCGCAACCCGGCCCTGGACGTCCCGCCGAGCTATGCGCGAACGCCGTCGCAGGTGGCGGCGGGTTCGAAAGGATGTGGATGCGGAGGGGCGAAGGGGGATGGAAGCAGCGTTTTGGTATAACAGCCATGTTGTGATGATATGTGATGAGAGTTGCAGATGAATTTGTTGGATTTCGGTGTATATATAACGTTTACGATTTTTGACCTACCTACCAACCTTCTACCCATCATCTACTTATACCTCTTGACTACGGAGTGATGAATGATCAATGAATCCATCTCCCACGAACAAAAAAAAAACTAATTCAACTACGAACATTCCGACCCATATTATATCACATATGGCAGTCACAGTCACTCCATCCACTAGATCATACCTACTTAAGGTCTGTGCATATGCTTTCCAGCTCTGCATTTACGTTTGTTTAGGTGGAAAGTCCGTATGAGTGTAAGTTAACTAGATAAATATGTTTATTTATATCGCTGCATTATTGACGAACACGAAATAAAATAGAGTCTGTGGATTCGTTCTAACGGTCTATCTATCGAGTAAGTGTATGTAACTACTGACATCTATCTAGATACCATGCAAAAAACATATAATGTACTCCGTACATACTATATATACGACATTGACCAACCATTTGCTCTGCTCAATACCGAACAGAAAGAACACTTGGACCAATTTACCAACTACTCTGCTAACATCATGCCTGCTCACTCGCAAGACGGCTCCACTTCCGCACTCTCGCCCCCCAGGTAAACAGAATCCACGGAATTGGGATCAGAGCAACGGAAATGAATCCCAGGAGACTGGTGGCCCATTTGTAGGTTAGGCGGGTGTACACTGGACAAATAATATTGTCAGTTTCCATACGCAGCAACCTGACAACTGGAGGGTTTTTTTTTTCACTCACTTTGAATCGTGAACAGAGGAAATGCCGCTGCAAAGATGTACCGCGTAAAAGAGTTGGCGGAGAGCGCTGAGGCGCCGTATTTGGGTCCGTAGCAGTCGACTATGTATATGATTGCGGAGGACTATATGTATCTGCGTCAGAATGCACTCGTCATCAAGACAGAGAGAGAGAGGGAAAGATCTTTACGTACGAAAATACACAAATTCCCCCAGTTGAATGGAACCAGCGCGACCACCGCACTGGCCCAGTGTATGTCCGGCCTTGCCGTCCAGGCAAACCAGAACAAGCCCCCGGCCACCCCCACGCTGCCGATCATCGCAGGGTAGAGGCGATATTCCGGTGGGACCTTCTTCAAGCCCTGATTTTCGAGCTGGCGGCGTTTCTTTTGGTAGATGAGCCCGTCCATCAGCAGACTGGTCACCGTGGCCAGAGAGGCCCCGACGGCAAGGGACAGGAAGACCAGGCCCGTCTCGTGGCTGTCGAAGCCGTACGTCTCCTTGAAGACGAGCTGCAAGGACGCGAAGAAGGCGTACAGCACCGCAAAGTCGAACCCGATGTACAGACTGAAGAACAGGACGATGGGCTCGGAGACGAGCATGGCCAGCGGGCGGAGCATGGCGTCTCGCATCCACGCGCGAATGGCAGCGACGGGGTGGATGCGGTGGTGGGATCTAGTATCATGGCCGCGTTTCTTCGCTCGTCGCTGCAGAAGGACCTTCTTGTATGTCTCGCGCATGCCGAGTGCTGCCAGACAAGTCGCTGCGGAGATGAACACACTCACCCACTCCAGCCATCGCCATCCTTTGCGTTCGACGACGAATCCTCCGATAACGGGTGCTGCACCATCTAACAGTCAGAAATGATAGCGCAAGGATAAGTGGATGGATAAAAACCTACCGAGAGACGGCCCCAGGAACGGTGCAAGGAGGAACGTCACCGTGGTAGGCCCATACAGCGACGGAGGCCACATATCAGCCATCGTTCCTCCGCCCACGCTCAGCGCAGGACTGCCAAAAGCGCCGGCAAAGAATCTGCAGATGGCGATACTCGCCATGTCGGACGCCACGGCAGACCCGATAATGAACAGGATCGAAATCGGCAGAGACAGTCGGTAGATGATCAGTCGGCCAAACGTCTCGCTGAGCGGGGCCGCGATGACGGGGCCCAGAGAGAGCCCGACGCAGAAGAGCGATACGCCGAGGAGAGAGACTGTCTCCGAGACGCCTAGTTGCTCTGCGAGCTGTGTTGCCCCGGGGGCGTAGGCGGAGGACATGTATGTTCTACAGAGCACGTCAGATATGAAAGATATGCGCATGGGAAATACATTCGCACTCACATGGTAAAAGCATACACGGCAACACAGAGAGTGTGATATATCTTCTTCCCCAGAGGCCAGTTCTGAGGGTTCTCCGGGTCCTGCGGCAAGTCCCAGTCCAGGACTTGGACGACAGAATTGTCCCCATTCTGCGTGGGAAGCGCCAGTTCCACGTCTTTGCTATTCTCGTTGCTCTTCTCCATCGATCAAGTGTTGTCTTGAGTGGAGAGTCGTGTTCAGTTCGTGGAGAGAAAAGAACAGGCAGAGCACACAAGAGAATGGATGTCTGCTTTCTCTGAGTCAGCAGCAGTTTGAAATTTCGTCGGAATGGAACTCCTCACCTTTATCAATCTGGAAAGATTATAATGACATAGGGCAGTGGGATAATATGTAATCAAAGCAGCACGCCATTGTTCGTTCAGATTCAGACCAGCGAGAAAGAAAAATAGGGAAAAAAAAAGGAATCACGAAGAATAGTCAACAGCCTAGACTAGACTAATAGTTTGATCAATTAGGTCGTTGCTATTCTCGTTTTGACTGGCGTGGCATGCCGTCTGCGATTTCTGATTACTGAACATATAATTGTTGACCTCAACCTCGGTCAACGACATCCAGGATGGGACTGGGTGATTATTGATTGGACGGGCAAGACGTAATACCACTGAGTCCATTGTTCAATCATTTTTTTCTTTCAAAATGAAGTCGCCTTGGGATTGCATTCCTTGCGGTGATTATTATATCAGAAAATCGAGGACACCATGTGTTGATAGATTGTTAATTTGTCATCAGGCATGACCTTGTTTGTTCTCAGCCGATAACCGCTGACTGATGAGCCCCACTGGATAATTTGTCAGCGATCTTGATCAAGCTCCATCCTTCTGGATAACTACGGACTAATGTTATTAACAATAATTTCTCCTAGATAGGGGATTCCTTTAATTTTATGAACATTCTAATGGAGAGATTATTGATAATACTAGCTTGCTTGCCCTTATGTGCTCTTCTAGAGTCCTCAAGTCTACGTATAGATTTAATGGAAGATACGGAGTATAAGACATTTTCCTATTTTTCCTTCACCTGCTGAGAGTGAGAGATTGTCTGTCCCTCTTCATCGTCCGCTCGTAGGAGTGGTCGTTATGTAGCGTTAGGTTAGGTTTTGTAGTGTCTGTTTTATCTTGATATCCACGAGCGGAGCGAGTCGTTAAGGGCTTGTCTTGATATCTATTGCAGAATTGAGGATCTATAATAAGAAGATCCTGTCATCTACCAGCCATGGATACATGTAAATATGTTGTGCTACAAAGAGAGGCGCAAACCTTACGATATCATCTTATTGAAGAACTATGATTCTACTGTTCCAATGGATATTTCATTGGATAATTTTTAATACTTCAAGCAAGGCCTTGGCCAGTGCTTATTTCAGCCGTCTCTGAATCAGATTTACTTGCGAAAGCTCCGCAAAAAGATACTCTGCAAGGTAAATCGAAAACGAAAATTCACTAGCCTAACTGAACACCACCGTTCTGCACCTAGGTACACCCAGACAGAGAGAGAATATAGGATTTCCACGCCTACCAGCCAGCCAGACGAGACGAAGAACGAAACGAGCAGACCCATAAAATGAATTGAATAATTGCTTGACCTTGACGATATCCCTCCGTAAACACCCAGGCTCCAGAAGGGACATAAAAAAAAAAGACAACGCGCTGGAAGAAAAGGTAGGAAAGCAAGATAAAAAAAAGGCAACTGCCCGTATGTATGTACATACACCGGACGTAGACTGGTGCCGGACGTAAAAAAAGGGTTGGGGATGGGACGGCATAACGCTCTCCGATGATCATCTTCATGGCTGGCTAATCATGCAAGTTCCCTAAAGAAAAAAGAAGAAAATAAGAAAAAGATATACACTGCATGACCGCGACATGCCCTTTAATGACCATCCAAAAAATCCCAATAACGGGAAAAAAAAAGCCAGTTCATGACTTTCCCATTTGGAACTGCCCAAACACCCCTCCACCACCTCCAGGAGTGAGAGCCCCCGCGCCGGACTGACCTTGCTGCTGGGGTGTCTGATTTCCTGTTGCGTTCGACGCGTTGTTTGGCGTACTGGGCGTGCCAGCATTCGAATAGATGGTTGCCCCGTTCAGATTGGGAGTCTGCTGCGCCTGGTTGTTGTTGTTGTTGTTGCTGTTGCTGTTGTTGGTGTTGTGATACGTCACCGCGGGTAACTGGCCGTTCAATCCCCAAACTTGTCCCGAATACTTGGCCTCGTCGATGGTGCCGTTGAACACAACCTGACGCATCTTCCAGTAGATCTCTCCCGTGACAAGCGAGTCCGAGCCCGCCTGGTGAGCAATACCCACGCGCTTGACGCCCAGCTCGTCCGCAATGTCCTGCAGACCCGACTTCTGCCCCAGGTTGGCAATGATCTGAGCAGCTGCCGGAGTCAGCGGAGAGTCGTTGACAGCCTGATTCCGTCCGGCGTGTTTCATAAGGTATTTAATGTCGTATAGTGAAGGGAAGAAGATTTTCAGCAGTTTGTGGAACGTCTCCTCATCTTCAGGAAGAGGCTTGCAGAGCATGATCTTCATCAGATAGCCAAAATCGTAGCCGGAGTGGAAGGAAATCCAGTGGACATCATCCACCAGGACAAGGCCCGAGCTGATCAGCAAGGCGCCAAACTCGAATGGGTCGATACCATTCTTCTCATGCATGGCAAAATCAATCCCGGCTTTGGCTAGCATGCTCGTCGACTCCTGCGCGTACATGTCTTCTTCCAAAGAGAATTTGAAATTGAATTGCCACGTGCAGGGCGCCGGAGCGTAGTTGTTGCCGTATCCCTGTCCGTTAGCCTCGTTTGGCGTAGCTGGAGGGAGTTCTCCTTCAGGAGAAAATAACGTGATGCCCAGCTGGATCATCTTTAGGAGGTCGACGTTGCAGCGCAGGGTCTGGTAATGATAGTCGGCTTTGTTCGCGAAAGACCCGATGGGACGGGCGACAATACCGGGGAACTCTGTGTCCTAGACGATCTCCTGTCAGAAAGGGGAGGTAAGGCAGGGGGAGGAGCTCTTGCTGGACGTACCATGCTGATGTACGGATACTTCTCGACCAACCGCCTTAACACAGCCATCTCTTGTGCCAGGTTATGTTTCCACACATCACGTATCCGCGTCTTGATCGCAGATTTCCCCTCTACCATCAACCGCCCATCTTGCCCTTGGTGGAGCTGTTGCTGTTGCTGCATCTGTGCGCCTCTCACGAAGCCCATCTGCGCAGCATGACTGGCTAACCCTGTGCCCCCTCCACCATCACCAGCGCCGCCTCCAGCAAAGCCTCCTACCGAAACGCCGTTTGCCATCGCTGCCTGGTTGAGAGAGAAGGGGTTTACGTTCGAGTTCGAGTTTGCCGCGGCGAAACCGGGGTGACCACCGAGTGAAGGGGGAGGAAGACCGGTATTGGCGGATTGAGCGTGCGCTGCATGGTGTTGTTGTGATTGTTGTTGCTGCAGATGAGCTTGCTGGAGGTGAGGGAAAGGCGCATTCATGCCTGAAGGCCCGTATCTGCCCACCGGAGGTGGCATCTTGCTATCTGCAAACCAGTCTCTCGTCTGCGGAGGGGTTGGCGACGGGATCAGTCATGAATAAGGGTGGAGCAGCTGACCAGTCTTTCCGACCGAGGACGATATCCACTGTCTGCCAGACAGAAGCTGAACCAACACCGTAGCTATTGAGGAGAGCGCTTGTCGAGTCGAGCAGATTGGCAATAGCAGAGGCATTGGAGGGCAGACTTTCGCAACTTGGGCGGCAGGCGAGTCGCAGACTTCAGCAGTGCTGGATTGGGTTTAGCGCCCGGCCTCACGGGACCGCCGCCAAGCCCATTCCTGGACAGCTTCAAACGTCCTGCCTTCGCCCTTCTCTCTCCGCATTCCTCGTCGGTGGCTTTTGCTCCCTCCCTCCTGTCGACAGCAGTTGTTTGAGCTGTGGAAATCTCGGGCAGAGGCTCCTCATAGCCCTTGTTCAATCTCCTTCCTCAATTGACTTCTCTTCCCACGTCAATCGCACTCTCATCACACCACAATGCCGGAGCGAAACCCCACCGGGTTCGACATCAAGGAGTTCAAGGCTGCTGCCGATCCCTCGTCAGTCTGGGCAAAGAAGGACCCATGGGCTCGGAAGTACGTGAATGAGCTGATTTCTGGACTGCGTGTTGTTCAGTTCTGTGTCTGACTGACCTCCCTCCGCAGCGAGGCTTGGCGATACACCGGCCCCTTCACTCGATGGAACCGCTTCAAGGGCCTGTTCCCCGGCTTGGGAACTGCCACCGTCCTCTTCGCCGGATACTGCCTCTATGAGCACTTCTTCCTCCCCGAGGACCACAGCCACGGACATGGCCACGCTGCCCACGGTCACGGAGAGGGCCACTCGGTGAAATAAATCGATGACCCAACCAAGTGAGAACACAGAGAGATAGTGAGAAGATGGCAGCGTACTTGGTGTGACAGCAAAAAAAAAATTCAGACATTGTGTTTGTTTCTTTTCTCTACGACAGCGATCTTGATTCTCCAGCTGGAGAAGAACCGAGCCGCGAAAAGAGAAAAGGAAAACCAACAAATTACGGAGAAAGGACCATAGACCGTCTGGTTGTGTTGCGATGTGATGGGCCATCTGTAAATATGGCGCTTTGGTCTGGTTTGTTTGACATTCACGGGTGTATATAGTTACCTAACTTTTTTTCATCATTTCATTTCCAGTGTTTTTGCTACCTCCGTGCCTGCATACTTTACTAAATCGTTCCTTCTCTTTTTATCCGACACTGAGTAGTTGGACGCAATACGGGAGAGTTAGCAAATCCCATGTACCAGTATCGAAGAAATAGGATAACTTCGGAGCTTGGTTTGGATTCGCTCTTTCGTATATATTCATGTGTGTATTTACATACAACACAGGTTTTCATTTTTACACGCGTCTAACCTTGACCTATGTATTATCTTATTCCTCGAATACGAGCGCAACACCGTCGTCACCCGCCGTGACAATTCTTTTCCCATCGCCGCCTTGGACAAACCCGAGAATACCACCAGACTGTTCGCCTCCTTCGTTCTCCGTGATCCCGGTGTGGCCTCTCCACTCCTTGAGCAGTCCCTGGGCAGCAGTCGCGGTACCGCCCCGCGTATCCCACCGTCGAACCACCCCGTCCATTCCCACGGAGGTCAGGAGCCATGACCGTCCTTGTCCTGCGACTGCTGCGGCGGCGGCAGGAAGGCCTGGACGAGGCGCGGAGGCCGGGCTCGGGGAATCTCGCACAAACTCCACCTTCACGACTGCCGCGCCTTCGTGGGCCTCTTTGATATGTCGGCGCACGGCAAATTGGTGGGCAGTGTCGAAGAGGGCGATCGAGCCGTCCACAGAACCGGCTGCGAGGAGAGTCAAAGGAGGCGACGAGAATGACAAGCTCTCAACGCTCTCGGATTGGGCCTGGAGGGAGGCGAGGAGGGCGCCAGCGCCCGAAGTTCCAGCTGCGGCTTGTGCACTGCCAGCAGATGATTTGGACTTGGATTTGGCACCCGCTTTGCCCGATGCGGGCGCGGAGGTGGATGACGGGAGACGAGGCAGCCCAACAACCTTGATGTGGCCCTCCGCACCGCCGACAGCAGCAAAGGCGCCCGTTGGGGCAATGGCGACCGAGTAGAGACCGCCCTCGACAGCGAAGCGCTGGTCTTCAGGAGTGTATCCAACGACGGCGTTGGTACCCGCAGAGTAAGATATACCCGCCGCGGCAGCAGCGCCGAAGACGTCGTAGACAAAGAAGCTCCCGTCCTCAGACACCGTCGCGAGCAGTTTGCCGTCCGGTGTCCACGCACCTGCAGTGCAGGAACTAGTGTGCTGGAAGAAAGTCTGGATGATGGAGATCGGTTGCCCCGAGTCGGTATGGTCGATTTTGTAAACCCAGGCGCTGCCGTCGTTGGCGCCCAGGGCGATCACATTGCTCTTTTCCTCGTCGCCGTCGTCGCAGGGGCAGACTGCCACCCAATTGATCTCCTCGACCTCCTGCGCCTCTGCCACGAACTCCCACGTGCGGCCCGTCTTCTGGGCAGTAGAGTCACGCCATACTCGCACCTTTCCGTCGAGCCCTGCCGTCACGACGTAGTCGCCTCGCGGTTCCGTGAAGGCCACGGCATTGACCGAGTCTGTATGTCCACCAAGCTTCGCGAGCGGCTCAAGCGACTTCCTCTCGCCCTTGGGCTGCGGATTCGACTCGTAACTCTGCGGCAGCAGTGGGCGCTCATCCGCTGGCGTCGAATCGAAGATGTAGGCTGTATCGTCGCCGGACCCGGTGATCACGATCGACTTGTGAATAGGGTGCTGAGCAATGCAGAAGATGGAGTCGGTGTGGTGGTCGAAATGTGCGACGGAGTCGTTCTGGAGCGTGATCTCCTGGTCTTCCTCGTCCATCTGTTGGTCCCCGTCCGCGTCCCTGTTGTCACCGTCGTCGTCCGATTCCATGGGGTGGTCTTCATCTTGCTGGATCACCTCCTCTGCCTCGTCGGCATCCAAGTAGGCAGGCTCCTCCGCCTCATGGTGAGGGTCTGCGGAAGCCGACATTGCGCAAGAATATCCGCGTTGTCGCTAATAATATTGCTGTCGAATTAACGGAGTTGCACCGCAAAAAGCGGGAATATATACAGCGGGAAGGGAAAAAAATATGTTTGAACGGCGGGGTAACGGCGGGCTGGTAAGACTCCCCCTCCACTGATCAATTCCAGGAGTTTTTCGAAAAAAAATCAGTCCTAAAATGTGAGAATTAAAAAGAAAAGAAGTAAGGGGACAGAAAATTCAAATTCCTGTCCCTGCGATGTTTAGTAATAACACGAAAAATCAATAAGCCAAAGACGCCCCTCCGCGGCGGCTTAGAAATTGATTTCTCGGGATCCCGCATCACGGGCTGCAAACAGAACAAACAACAACCAACAACAGCTGCATGATTGCTAAGTACATACAAAAAGCATGTGAATAAATGAGGTCTACTGAGGGGATCTCCATATCGTATATAGATATATATAGCGACTACAACTTGACACCGGCCTTCCGCCTCTTGTCCTTCTCCTTGTCCCGGAGCAGCCGCCGCAAGATCTTCCCGCTGGGGCTCTTGGGGATGGCGTCGACGAACTCAACGCCGCCCTTGAGCCACTTATGGCGAGCTTTGTGATCCTCCACATGCTTCAGAATGGCCCGAACAGTCGCCGCGTCGTCGGGACCAGCAGCTGGCGATTTCACCACGAACGCCTTGGGAACTTCGCCGGCGGTTTCGTCTGGGACTGCGATGACCGTGCAGTCCGCCACGAACGGGTGATCAAGCAGATGTGCTTCAAGTTCAGCGGGGGCAACTTGCAGACCCTAAGGTAGAAATGTGTCAGCTGTGATGATCGTGAGAAGATATAAGTGGGGTAAAGATAACGCACCTTGACCTTGATGAGCTCCTTGATTCTGTCGACGATCCATACGTGCTCGGTTTTATTCGGACTCAATCGGATCATTGCCTCATCGCCGGTACGCAGCCATCCGTCTATGAAGCTCTCCTTGGTGGCTTTCTCATTGTTCAAATACCCCAAGACCACGCTGGGCGACCGAACTAAAAGCTCTCCGGGGGTGTCGTATTCTGTGATATCCTTGCCATCCGGGGTAATAAGCCGGGCCTCAATACCGGGAAGGAGGCAGCCGCTGGAACCAAACCAGATATCATCCACTGCTGTTGAGCAGACGACAGTAGCCGTCTCCGTCATACCTTATCGAGGTCAGCCAGTTTCATTGTATTCCAGTCAACAACCGTAGGAGCAAACTGAACTCACCATAACCTTGTCTAACTGCCCAAGTCGGATACTGCTTCTGCAGCTCGGCAGCTGTCTCCGCTCCTAGTGGAGCAGCGCCCGTGAAGATCCAACGAACACTTCCCAGGTCATATTTACTGCAAAGTTCCTTGTTGCGCAGCATTGTAATGATAATAGGTGGTACCTAAAGCGCAACAGTCAGCGTTTCCTATTTCAAAAGTGCAGGGAACCAGGAATGATTACCAAGAAGAGACATGCGATCCGGAATCTTTCAATGGCATTCAAGAACGAGTTGATCTCAAACTTGGGTAGAATGATCACCTGATCGCCTCGGTAAGGGCCTGCATGACAGACGACCACCAGCGCGTAGATATGGCTCTGCGGCAGGAGACCTAATGTGATGTCCAAATACGGGGTTTGCTCGGCCGGTGATTTGAGAGTTTCGCGATATTTGCTTTCGTATGTGCTAATCTGCAAGACGTTGGCTATGACGTTGCGGTGGGAGATCATGACGCCTTTCTGTTCTTCCAATCAGCCCTGGCTTGAGACTTCTCTTGAAATGGCTGTTTGACCGTACCGGTAAGCCTGACGTGCCACTGGAATAGCAGAGGAAGGCTGTCGTGCGCGCCCCTTGTCCAGGAGCCCATTTCAGCTTCTCCAGCTTGGGCAGTGACTTGCCCTCCTCGATGAGTTGGTCCACAGTCTTGAATTCTGCTGGCGCCTTTGCACCCCCCAGGATTTGAGCTGGCAGATCCAAGAGATAAATGCGGTTTCTAGAGATGCCTGCTTTGCCTGCTGCCTCCAGCGCTGTCTGAAGGAGCGGCAAGCACGTAAAAAGCGCCTGAGCCTTTGAATCAACCAGCTGGTGAGTTAATTCGGCGGCTGAGTAGGCAGCATTCGCGGGAGAAACAACGCCGGACAGCTTATGAATTGCCCAGAACAGCGGTATGGTATCAATCTACAAGCAGGGACGATTAATCAGTCATGACTGTTACACAACCTGCAGATTCATGGGTTCACCTACGGTATTAAGACTAAAGACACCTGCGACCTTATCCCATTCCGTGCCGCGGTTGGGCTGCCAGCCAAATTCCTTTGCGAGAGCACGGGAGAGAAAGTCAACCCGCTCGACGACCTCGAGGAAAGAGTAGCTCTTCCCGGAGAGACCGCAGGTGAACGGGTCGCGCGAGTAGCCCAGGGGATATCGACCATGGCGCTCGTCGAGCATGAAGTCGCAGATCGCTACATCGTCAGGGACCGGAGGCAGCGGCGGAACCGACGCGGGAGGATAGAAAACCATCTTGTTCAGGCTGTGGTCCCTCTGGGGGGAACCTTGCTCTGGTCGATCACAGCAGAATGGAGAGGAGGGTAGCAGTTGCACAGGTCTTGGAAACCAGCTTGGAGACAGAAAAGGGGGATCGTAACAGATGGCAAAGTTGTAATTGCAGGATACGATGTAGGTACGCGGTAGAGCTGAAGGCAATTATCCGTCGGGTAGAAGTCCAGGCCAGGTCGGAGGCATCTTAACGCTCGGTCCCATCCTAGGCAGTCTACAGTAACCGAGGGCATGGAGCACGGCCTGCTAGCTACGTCTAAGTCTAACCGGCCGCGAATCCCCCTCACAGAATGATGGGCCGCGGGAGGAAAGTCTGTGGAGAACGTCTCCTCCCCAGCAATGCGGGGAAAGGGCCAATAGACCGCCAACGTTCCCTTCTGATAGGCCCCCGGCTTTTGGAATCGGTGGCATCCCCGAAACCCAATGAAATCCGCACTGGCCCAGATTTCCCCCTCCCGATGTTGAGTACCGCGATTGAGGTCCAACCTATTTTCTTCAGGTCTATTGACAAGCCTGCATCGTCTTGGGGAATATCGCGGCTAATTCTACTAATGCCAGGCATGCTTGGTCCCTGGTGACAATGTCTGTTGTTATTTACCAAGCCACTGTGTAGGATATGACCTCTTATTTAGGATATCTTCAATTTATTCTACTGCCATTACTGTATGGTCTTAGACTTGTTCGTCAGACTCTTTTATTTATTATCTACCTAAAGTCCTGGACAAGTCGCCAGCTCTGCAAGTGCATACATGTGCCGAAACAAGGGCTTTCTCTTTCCCTGAAAAAAGGATTTGTTTCTCGTATAAATCGGAGAATTTATTCCTTTGTTTCTTTCCTTTGTCCTCGCTGCTGGGAACCCTGTTCAATACCGCTTTATCTTTTACAAAGCATTGAAACTTCCTAGCCAGAAATTTCAGACAAAGGGTGATGCCTAAGGAAAAGAAGAAATGATTTGAAGCATACAGTGCACCACCTGCTGAATTGTCTTTCTGCCCTACCGGCTTCTTGCAGCCCTGTGGCCACAACACTCGTCCGATAAGGAGAATGGAACTAGGTAGGTAGAATGTCACTGTTTGTATCCTTGAAATGTAATATTATTAGAATCTATTCCCGCATTCGTGGTTTCCGATTCCTCAACAAACTTCTTTTCCTCTCTGATTTTTTTTTCAACGATATTCTGCTGTTTGTTCCTATGTCGCTCTTGAAATTTATGTCGGATTTCATTCTCATAACGACACTTTCCGCTTGTATCCAGCCCCCGTCCACTGGTAATTATAGTTCCCTGGTGTATGTATCTATTTCATCACTCTGTTGTTGCGTCGGTATAGCCTATCCGATAACTGACAGAACATAGCGCTGAGCATGCATTATTGCATGCCCTAATTTTGCCATCAGACATTCTTTAAGCATGCTTTCACATATGCTATGTTTTGTTTTTCTGATCTTTGCTTCCCTATACAAAATAAAAGACAGTCCTATCGTGATCCTTTATGTATCTGTCTCTTTCCTCATGAGAGAACATTCCAGACAAATCAAATGGATACGTTCACTGGCTCTTTTTGCTTTGTAAATGCATGTCACGATTCAGTATTGCTGAGAAAGGCAGCTGCTGCGTCTACTTCATTGTTTCTTATATCTACAGGAAGATCATGTCACTCATATACAAAACCTCTCTGCCACTTCAACCGGACTACTGGTTTGGATTCTTTGAATATTGTCAACAGTATTAACCAGAGACAGCATATCTTCAGGGCATGTGAATGTCCTGATACATCCAATCCCTGGTTCAGGGGCTGATTTCTTCTTTCTCACACCCAATCGTATCATTAAATGATATCCTCTTCTGTGTCCACATCTGGCTGCCATGTATCTAATTTAGTTCACGGCTTCACCAGCTTGCCCTGATGACCCTTCACACGCATGCAATCATGCATCCAGTGCCATCATGCATCCAGTGCCATCCAATCGTTCACTTAATTTTGAATCGTGTCACCTTTGCTGAGTCGGCGCCGAGAACACACAAACTGAGTAGGCTGTTTAGCTCATTTCCACAAATATAAATATTTCCCCAGGGGCCCTCAGATTCTTTCTTCCTTCATTCACATCCTCTCTCTCTCTTGAGACACTGACTCCTTCTTCTCTCTCATCCTCCTCTCATCTTTCCGTCAAAGCTGCATCATAAACGTGTCACTGAGTGTTCAGGATCGTGTCAGCTTGTATTATGCCTGATCTTCCTTTCCTTTGAGCTTTCTCTCTGGATGAGATAGGTCTGACACAGTCCTGGGCCTCACTAGACACTCACCGGACGTGTGACGTGTTTTAGGCTCTCGGCATAGATTTTTTTTTACTGAGGATCTGTCTCCTTATCCTCCCTTCTCAGTCTTTGCTTGCCTCTACTTCGAACAGCCTCTTTCGTTTTTCGCACTATTTTTCAAAATTTCAAAATTTACAAAAAAAAAAAAAAAGAACAAGGGGGAAAAAAAAGAAAAAAATTCTTATTCTCGGTTGACTGCAGAGTCGTACATATCAAAGGCAGCCGCAGCGAAAAGCCTATTGGTTCCTGCATGCAGCTGCCGCTACCGTGGATGCAAACCCTAACGTCTGCCTATCAACAAGCTTTGCTCTTTCAGGTAAGTCATGATCGAAACACTCCACCTGGCCTTTACATGATATCTAATATTTTTATTGCATTAGTGATCCCATTTTCTTAAAAAAAAAAACTGTGGAAAGCGTCAATCGTCGAGTCCTCCCGACGCTCATCAACGGCCCAAGCCGTCCAATTCGATACCCAAGTTGTCCTCGATATGCATCGGTCCAGGTTTACCAGAAAGCCTGAGTTCATGCTTCGAACCATGGAACCGAAATATCTCATCGAGGCTGCAAGGATAGGCCGTTGGATGCAAGTCATGGCGTCACAACACAGAGAAATCCCCTCGAGCAAACATCGTTCACACTCATCCTTCATTCTATCGCTGCCACATAGCCGGCACTCATCAGCCTCTTCTCCTGGTCGTCAGCCCGAACAGCTTGTCGATCGATCTCGCCAGTTGGAGGCTGGGAATCAAGCCCATGTCATCGCGGAGAAATTAACTGCCGTCGTCAACTTTCTGAAAGCAGAAAGCCGAAAAATCCGCCGGATCTGCTTCTTGAAACGTCGACATATATATTAATATATTTATTAATATATATAAAGAGAGAAAGAGAGACGAATGATTATATGTATACAAATATATAATTATTCGTCTCTATATTATTCTCTCCGGAACATCTTCTACGACTTTTATTTATTTATTCAACGTCTCGATCGGCCCGGCCCTATTCTCATATTTAACGTTTCAATATTGAGTTTATGTATATTGAGCACCCGTCTTTTTATATTCATTATATTTATTATTATTGTGAGTAACCGATCTTTCCTTTGTGACTTCGCTTTCATGAAACTGGACACGATATGTCGGAGATGGATGGTCACGCTGACTTATATGGGTATGCGCAGACTCGATCGGCCTTTCTATAAGGCGTCTGTTGCCCTGTCGAGGGCACGGCCTTTTTTAGTTTCTTCAATTATTAATTATATTTTTTACATTACCCTAGTAATATAAAAAATATAATACAATATTAATACTATATTATAATATATAGGTACGTTTTCACACTTCACCCTGCTCAAGTTGAGTCATTCCATGACCACATGGACTGCCTGTCGAGTCAAGACCGCTGACAACTTTCTAGGGTGGAAAAGAGGTACGTATGCTGTCTTTTCTTCGAGACACAAGCACGTTGCTGGCCCAACGGCCGTGAAGGTCCTGCAATCCTGTTTCTCCCTCTGCCTGCCCTCCTCCCCCCACCGCTGGCTCTCTTCCCCAATCCGCTTCGTCGGCCTGGACCCAGCTGTCACTGCCCACGCGCCCCCGTGATCTCCCTCACCCGTCTCTCGATCACGTTTTGCAGTTGTTGAGTCTCGCGAGGTTCGAGGCAAGCTCGTGACTGCCCCGCCTTCCTTGTTGACACGATGCGCGTCCTTCCCTTCCCCCTTCTTTTCTTCTTTTCCTTCCTTTTCTCTTCTCTTCTCTCTCCTTCTCTTCTTTCTTCTCCCCAGGTTCACCGTGTTCGTTCGGACTCGTTTCTGATACTGGTTTCTGATACTCGTTTCTGGTTTTCGTTTCTGATTTGAACAGCATCAGACCTCTCCTGTGCTCTTTTCCACCAGTGGAGTCTGTTTCTGGCTCCTTTCTCACTGCTGTCCGCTGCTCCGGTCGTGCTCACGTCCTGAAGCCTCCAAAATGGCCAAGAGGAAGCTCGCTCAGGAGGGGCCCGTAGCCAAGCGGACACGAAAGGGGGGTAAGTAATATTACCGTGAATCTTCCAATCCCCCTCGTCTTCCAGAAGCTCCTGTCTTTCTTCCCTTGACGTCGTTGCCGTTAATACGTAACTTGATGCCCCGCCCTTTGATGCGTCACTGTCTTGATCATCTTCGATAATCTATACATGCTAACGACGCTCCTCTAGGAGAGAAGGAGGCCGTGGAGGTGTCACCGCCGAACGGGGCCCGGGAGCCCGTCTGCGGCGAGCCCCCAGCATGGGCAGAGGTTTGTGAATTCATCTCCTTGTATGACGAGTTCTATATGCTAACTGAATATCTCTGCTTAGTGTCGTCCTGACCTCTGCGACGCCCTTCCCTGGTTCCGCTCGGTCCAGGGAGGGGCGTACCATGTTGGGGAGCTCAGCTTCGGCTGTCTCATAGACGCCGACAGCGGCTCCCGGGCCCATGTTGATGACGAAACCATCATCACCAGAATGTAAGTTCCTCTACTTCCAGTTGTTTCCACTGTGTTGCTGACTCCTATAGCGGTGGGGGTTGCGAAAAGGACCCCAACGGCAATCTCATCCTCCTGAAGGACCAGGATGACTCCGACCGCGCCGTGGCATCCTATATAAATAGCCAGGCGGTGAAGCTCCCCGTGGGGCTTATAATCGGTTTGTCAACTCGCATCATGCTCTCTATAATGCTGTCTGCTAATATCTCTCCAGGGGATCGTAACCCCGTGCTGGGGAGGCAACTGCCTCATAGATATAACGTGATGGGCTACTTCCGCATCACTCATATATGGTACGAGAAGGTGGGCAAGAGGACCGGCGCAAAGATCCGCTTCCAGAAGCTGGACCTCGAGAAAAGAAGTTGGTGGGCCGCCAAGGGGTCTCCAGATCCTCCGCCGGTGAGCGAGCGAGAATTCTTGCCGCCGGAAAGCCAGATCTGTCCCGAATGCACCGTGTCGAGCCCGCGCGTATATAACGAAGGTTGGATGTGTCTCCAACCTTCCTGCTCCCAATTCTGGAGCATCAATGGCTCCCCTCCTCCCAGCGATCTGACCTACCATCCTCGCTTTCTGAGTGCTCGTGAGCCCCCTGATGAGGAAATTCGGCCACAGTATAGTCTCGTCCCTGATCTCCTCTCGACTATACCAGAGGAAGATAGAGATGCCGGTCTCTCTCGTATTGCTTGGAAAGGCATCGTCTGTCCAGACTGTCACAAATGCATATCGAGGAGATTCTGGAGAGGCTGGAAATGCACGGATCCTCTGGACAACAAAAGCAGCAGTCGTACCAGCACCAGCAACAACAACAGCCCCACGGGGAGCACCTCCCCCTGTACGTTCGAGAAGATGATGCCTATGCGTCCGGTTTCCTTGCGGTCGGTTGTTTCCGATTTCGAAATTGGCGCGATTCAACGCGCTGTGTTTGTCAACTCCAAGCTCATCCAGCCGAAGCGCGACTTTTCGGGACCATATGCGAAATACACATACGAGCTCAAGGATATCGGCACTGTGACCCACTTTATCGCGAATAGAGAAGTTCTCTCTCGGCCCAATGGTCCGAATGACCTTTTCGAGCAGTTGCAACTTGTCGATCTTGGGCTTCGTCGCTATCCTTTGCAGCAGAGCGTCGGTGAGTATCAGTATGCTCGCCTGTTGTTTTTGACTGCTGTGACTAACAGACAGCGGCAGTGGCTGGGACTCTAACATCGCACTTCGCTGTCAACTACGTATGTTTCTTACCCCTTGTTTTACAGCTGTGGATATCGAGCTAACATAATCCTTCAGGGAATGCCGTATAAATATGTTGTCTCCGTCGATTCCAAAGGATTTGATGAGGCACCACCTGAAATCATGCGGGCATTGGGCCGTCTTACTTGGGCAACGGAGCAAGCTGTCACTGCTACTGGCGATGAGTTTCTGCCTCCAAATGAGCTGTTGGCTTTGGCGTACTTTGAAGAAATGTCCATTGGCTACCATGACGATGGCGAATCATCTCTCGGTCCCACGATCGCAACTCTTTCTCTTGGAGCGAAGGCCACTATGAAGATCCGTCTGAAGGATAAATATTTCAGAGGCTGCTCCGCGTCAAAGAAGCTTCTCCCAGAAGACATTGTACTTCCTGGTTGTGAAAAGTACGACGAACGGAAAGAACTGAAGGCCAAGTTTGCGAACAAAGAGATCACCGAAAAGGAGTACAACGAACGCCGTCTAGAGATCATCAAGAGTATGAAGCGGAGGGAGGGATCTCCGGTTATCAGCCTGGAGATTCATCACGGAGACCTGGTGGTCATGCACGGCGCAGACATGCAAAAGTATTACGAGGTAAGGTCATGAGGTACTGATTCAACGGGTGTAAGCCAGGCTGACAAGATCTTAGCACTCCGTCATTCCGGAAAATAAACTTCGATTTGCCTTGACATCGCGGTACATCAAGCCAGATCAGGTAGAACAAAAGGACCTTCACAAGGGAAACTTCACACTTGGTCCCGATGAAGTCTACCACGGCCAGTGAGAGGCATGTCATACACTCCGGTCTTCCTCTTCGTCGACGAACAGCTCTTGACTTCTTTCTTCTCGCAAAAATATCATGGCCAGCGAGCCGATTTTTCTCTCATGCCTGCTTCGTGAACTCGCTGGGTTGTCCTCGGATTTTGCCCTCTCCTCGTAAGCTCAACGACGAGCCGTTGAGCCTTTCTTCATGGTATCGAAGTTGACAGTAAGCTGTTTGTTGCTCTGATCATGATACCCTATTCCCTCCGACTCCAACCATTCACGGCGTTGTCATGTCATGGAAGCTCTCGACGTCTGCCTTTGTTTTGCAATCTCACTACGACCAATGTGTCTCCTGTCTTGTTTTCTGCACTTGAAACCTCATTTACCCAGAGTCATCATCAATATTTAATTGCTTTCGACTGTCTTCTTTTACCGCGATGATACATTTGTCATCATCACTTGCCATTATGATGAGCATCTATGGGATCATTGCTGCAAGGGTTTGTGTATCTATTTTACCACGGATGGTCACTTACATTGTTGTTATTTTCGGTCTGGCGATTCAAGGCGTTTTCGGGAATTGGTGGATCTGCTTACATTCGGATGCAGGGGTGGCATGCAGGGTGTTATGATAGGTGCTGGTAAAAAGGGGGTTGTTGTTAAGATGTCTTTTTTTTGCTCGCCCTTTTTTTTCCCATGTACTCAAATAATCTTTTGCTTCCAAGTGGTAAGGAATGGTCATTTCTGCCAAGCCGTGCCTCGGTTTGCGGGGAACGGGTGGCAATGATGCCTCAAGATTGCCTTGTGCGTTTTGCTCTAAACACCGCAGAGAGCATTGTTTTTCATGTCTATTAAGAAAGTAACGTCTCTTCGAGCCTTCTCGTTAATCACGAGTCAAAGTAGATACGGCATGGAAGTCGTTTTCCATTTCGTCGAACAATGTGCACTGTATTACAGCGTAGTAGTCGATGTAAATTTAATGACGAGGTCCGTGCACGGCCATCGCCTGCAGACACTGCACAAGCCACAGGCAGCACAGCCTTATTTGGATTAATGCGACGGTGGAAATGAGCATCGAGATGGCAGCTCCATATCCAGAGCAATGTTGATCGTCACGAGAGCCGAAGGAATAGTCGGAATACGAAGAACTGTCCCCTGGAAGATAATTTTTATTGCGGAGGGGGTGCCGTGTTACCGAACGGGGCGACCGCGGGGAACCATGGACGAAGACTGGAGACGATCCCAACTGGAAAGCCTCACGAGTCCTCAGCCTTAGAGCGCGGGTCTGCCACGCCAAGTCTCCGATCCAGCTAAAGTCATGCTCGCGCCTAATCTGTTAATTATTAAATAATCGCAGCCTCGTGGGGATCGGGCGCGCACGCCGGAGCCAAGTCCGCCTAGTCCCAAGTGTGCGCTGGGGTTCGTCTGTGCTACTCCTCTGCTCATGGCTCCTGTCCTGCGCTAACGAAGAAGCCACCCTCTCGCCCAGGTCACCCTCTGCCTTGCTGACCGGCCTGTTCGCTCGTTCATCTCAAATCCTCCGTTGATTCTCCATTTTCCGTCCGGACAGTTCGAGCAGCAGTCTTGGGACCCCAGCGGCATGCCACTCACCGCAACGACCGCTTTCCGTCACCGTCTCTGATTGCGCACACCATCTTACGCCTGGATGAGTCGTGGACGAGCTGCCGCCTTCCACCCTCACGAGGAGCCCGGTTAACGCCTGTTCTGCTGCCTCATACGATACGCAATCGGTTGCTTCATCACCGCAGTCGCGCGACTTGTTCCTCCAGCTCCGTCGGTTGGGCCCCACGCGTTGCCCAACTTTTGCCTGCGATATCATCCTCTCCACGGTCAGGGATAATCGTTCGCCATGGCTCAGTACCAGCACGGACATCCGGCCTACTACGGCCAGAATAACTCCTCTGCGCAGTCGACCCCGTATCCCTCCCAATACGCCGGCTACTCTCCCCACGCGTCCCCGGAACAGCCGCATCAGCAGCTCAGACGGGTTCCCAGCTATGTTGCGGGAGACGATGCCCATTATTTCGAGGGCCGTCACGGCCGTAATGCCCCAGAGGAGGGTGCTGGCTATGGAGGCGCTTACAACAGTACGACCCAGAGCAACCTGGGATCGAGGCACTCGCAATTCTCGGCCGGCAGTTCGCAGCAATCACTCCCCAGCCGCGCGTCGTCTCATGGCTCTTCTGCCGTCTCTGGATACCAGTCTTATCAGCATCATGCGTCGTCCACGTCGCCGAACCAATCGACTTACAACCCTCAGCAGTACAGTCGTCCTCACTCCCTGTCGCAACCGCCTCCCATGTCCTCCTATAATCCCCAGGCGTACACCGGGATCAGCAGCGCACAATACAGCAATGCCACCCAGCCGCACCAGCCGTATAACCCCGCTGCGTATCAGTCGACTAACTATGGGACTTATGGGTCTTCAAACGTTCAACGCCAACCGACCGCTGCATCGCAACGATACGGTCAGTCGGCCGCGACACAGTATGGGCCTCCATCGCCGCAAATGCAGCCTCCTCCACCCCCGCCTCGTGGTCCAGATCATCCCTACGGCCCTCGTCAGTCTACTTACTACTCCGATTCCTCACCCAATCCGCAGTATGGCTACTCGCAGTCGCATCAGACCAGCCCCCCGTCTGTACCTCTTCGGTCTTCTGCCAACTACCCAGGCCCCACATCTCCTGTGTATGCTTCTGGGCCGCCTTACCCAAGCGCTGGCTCCGGTTCTCTTCCTTCGCGACAGCATTCTCGCGGATCACAGTCATCATCGTACTACCCCACGACTCCTACTGCAACGGAGCCTGTGACCTCCTCAGTGATCGAAGAGCAGCCACCAGAACCTCCAGCCCATATGTCGTACGACGGGAAGAGGTCAAGCGTGTCCAGAGGATCGGTGAATTCGCCGACATATCCAACTCCGCCTTCGTCCTCTCCGCGGCGGACAGACACCCTCACTCGACATCCACAGGCCCGACCTCTCCCTGGTCCTCCACCAGACGCGGAGGAAGAACCTACGTATTCAGAGGTTCATGATGGCATTGGAAGCATAAGGCGGAAACCAGAAGAGGAGATGGGCTATGAGGACTTGATGAAGGAGGTGGAAGCTGCCGTACTACAGGGGCGGCGCGCCAGCGCAAGTGGTGCAAGAGCAGCTCATGTAGGACACAGTGAGCATATTCCGAATCCAGACGAACCTGCTCCGCTTTTTGCACCGGAAACATCAACGCGGTCCCTGTCTCCTGACGTGCGGCACACCCACACCAATGGCAGCATAGCGACAGGTACGGGACAGTATGTGAATTATGACGCCTACAGTGACGAAAGTGACGCCGAAGCTGCGGCCGGTCTCGCCATGATGCAGATGGCAGACGAAGAGGAAAGAGCAGAAGCGGAGCGCCAGCGCAATCGAGAGCGCAGTGGCACTGCTGCTTCCATCTTCAGTGCGTACGGATCACGGTCATCGGACCGACTGCCCTCCCCACCGCCTCAAGAGGTGAGTAGCGACAGTGACTATGCTCAGTACGATCTTGCTCTGTACGGTGGGGGTTACGAGGGACATGTGCACTACGGCGACGAACCGACCGCGGGTCCGGAGCAGCCATCCAAGAATGATCCGCTCAGCTCGGATCTATCTACGGACGGACGAGTAAATTTCCCTGACGAGCAGGATTATTATGATTTTCCAACTGAAGAGTCGAACCGCCCTCTCCCGTTCCCTTCTGTCACCAGTGCGCGAGTGGACACGGGTGGCACTGGAGGCTTGTCAGAACCGGGGGCCGTCCATCGGAGGTTGAGCTTCGACGATGGCGATGAAGAAGGTGGCCTGTTGACGCCTGAGGGCGAGGAACGATCAGGAAGCCAAAGCCCGGAGAAAGGAGAGCCCGCTGATCTCTTCTTCCACCCGGGGATGCGGCCACTGCCTCCTGCTCCTGTTGAACCGGTCAACAACGCCAACATTCGGCCGCATTTGATCCCAGCTGGGACGTATCGGAACAAGGCACAAGGTGACCTGGAAGCGTATGATCAGCAAAGGCCTCTTCCGACACCCAGCTCTCCAGACTCGTACGGACAGACAACGCTGAACCCGTACCAAGTCCCGCGGTCGACATCCTTGTCGAGCCACAGTAGCACGCCTCGTACTGATCCGCCAACCAGATCCAAAACCGATGCAGATCGTGCGAAGTACAAACAACAGCAGCAGGACTTCCTGCGCCAGCAGACTGGTACTCTCGGGTACACTGCAAGCCCAGAACCCAGTGCCATCGCCCTCGATCTGCCCACGATACCTGCGGGCAGACGCAAGAAGTTCAATCCCGCTAAGCTGTCGTCTGAGCATTTCCGGAAATGTTCAGAACCGTGGGCGCTCAGTGCCATTGTTGCCTGGGTCAGAGAATTGAGCGAGGACGAAACAGATCTCAAAGAGCAGGCCATCATCGATGCAATCGTTGCACTGTTCACCCACAAGGTTCCGACAATGAACACTGCCGATGCTGAGACGCTGGGTGCCTTGGTCGTCAAGAACATGCTGGCCGAGGGAGCCTTGGTGAAGGAAGAGGAATGGGTCAAGTTCGGCCCAGGGACTTTGTCGGGCGTTCTATTTCAAATCACGGGCAGCGGATGCTACTCATCCCGGCTCCATGTGCAAGAGCCAGAGACTGAGACCTTCGGTCGCTGCTACTCGCACCACTGCATGAGGACCCTCAAGAAGATCAATCTCAAGGCTGAGATGATGGAGCCGGAGAAGAAAGTGCAAGACTGGGTGACCTTCTATAACGTCCCTAAGGAGGTGTGGGAATCCTATCCCAAGAAGGAGATTGATCGCCAGAACAACCTCCACGAGATCGTTACCACCGAAGATGCGTATATCGAACAACTGGATGTGTTGCAAGTGTTGTATCGTGATCAATTAGCCACGATGCAGCCTCCTATCATCAATCCCAAACGCCTCAATAAATTCCTGAACGATGTCTTTGGCAAAGTGGACGCGGTCAAGAAGGTCAATGAGGAGTATCTGCTCGCACAGCTGAAGTATCGCCAAAAGGAACAGGGCCCGTTCATCGTGGGCTTCAGCGATATCTTCCGAGAATGGATCCGGAAAGCTAAGGGGGCGTATGTCGAGTACGCAGCCACTTTCCCGCACGCGAACTACTTGGTGCGCAGGGAGGCGGAGCGGAACCTGCAATTCAGGCAGTTCCTCAATCAAGCTCGTGACAACAAAATGTCCAATCGATTGAGCTGGGATACCTTCCTCAAAGCACCTATTACCAGAATCCAGCGGTACACCCTGCTCTTGTCAACCGTCCACAAGAACATGGTGAAGGAATGCGAGGAGAAGACCAATCTGGCGCAAGCCATTGAGGAAATCAAGGTCGTTGCAATGGATTGCGACAACAAGGTGGGCGAGATGACCAAGAAGGTCGATCTCATGGAGCTGTCCTCAAAACTACAACTCCGACCGGAGATGAAGAAGGAAGTAGAACTGAACCTCGAGCATCTGGGTCGGCAGATCATTTTCCAGGGCGATCTTCAACGGCCAGGCACGAGGACGAGGTTCAACTTGGTGGACACGCGTGCTATTCTGTTCGACCACTATTTTGTGTTAGCCAAGGCCGTGACGAACCGAGATGTCACCAAGTCCTTGAAATATGAAGTTTACGATGTGTCGAAACTGCCTATTCCGATGGATTTGCTCGTCCTGGAGAGCACCAATGACGATCCGGTATACAAGTCTTCAGTGAAAGGCATCTCGGCCGTTGCTCCTCCGCCGGCCGCGAACGGAGGTACCTCCACCGGAGCTGGTGGCACGGCCCTCGAGAATATTAAAGATGATAAGATCCTCTATCCCTTCAGGGTGAAGCACCTGGGTAAAACCGGAACCTATATCCTTTACGCCCATTCGAGTCAGAACCGACAGGAGTGGTGTGAAAAGATCATTGAGGCCAAAACCAAACACGCTGCGTCTCTCTTTGCGCAGAACGCGGAGCCGTTTCGGCTGCGGGTGCTTGCGGATACAGCATTTGCCTATTCTGAACCCCCAGGACCTAAGGCTGTCATGATCAAGGGTACACCACTCGATCGAGCTATTAGAGAGGTCGAAGAGAAGTATGCCAATGAAGCCTCGAAGCCCAATCCCATCTGCAGAGCAGCAGTCAACTGCGCTACAGTCTTCCAGCAGCCGCCGGGACGGCTAATGTGCGCCGTTGGCACTGATTATGGAGTGTACATTTCGGAATATAACGACCCACGTGGGTGGGTGAGGGTAAGTGGATCCCCTTATTTCTCAGCTTAGAAATAAGAGCTAATATTTTTGTTGTATCCAGGCAATTCCGATCGTGCGGGTCACACAAATTGCAGTTTTTGAAGAATTTAACCTCCTGCTCGTCATTGCAGACAAATCGCTGATTGCGTACCATCTTGACGTTGTATGTCCTATCAGTGGCGTGCCTTCGCAGACATCACAACATGATTCTGCACGGAGGGCACCACAGAAACTGTCTGGAAGTCGCGAAGTTGGATTCTTTGCGGTTGGTCGGATGAAGGATCGCACGCTGGTCTTCTATAAAAAGCGAGATGGCATCTCATCTACGTTCAAAGTCTGTCTCGCCTTGTCTATCGATTGGATGATGCCTATGCTAACCGAACGGTGCAGGTCCTGGAGCCGGTACTCCAAAAATCAGCAACGAGCCGGGCGCGTTTCCTGCCGATGCGTCGTGGCCAAACCGAGTTCTTCCGTGAATATGACGAGTTCTATATTCCCACAGAAAGTTACAACATCAACCTGTTCCACACATCTCTCGCCATTTCGACGCAGCGTGGAATCGAAGTTTTGACCCTCGACAAGAAGCAGCCGTGGTCTGTGCCGAACCTGCGCTCCGAAACACCGGAAGCGCAGCCGTACCTGACGAGCATTGCGAACCGGATCAAAGATCTGCGACCGCTGGGGATGTTCCGACTGAGCGAGAGCGAGTTCTTGGTTGCGTACAGCGAATGCGCCGTGTACGTCAACAAGCACGGGGACGTCTCTCGCAGCGTGGTCATGGAGTTTGTCGGCCGTGCTCACACGGCATGCCTGTACGGAAGATTTTTGATCCTTTTCAACGAAGACTTTGTCGAGGTGCGCAACGCCATGAACGGGCGTCTGAGGCAGGTCATCCCGGGTCGCAATGTCGTCTGTCTGGACGACGGCGGCGCCATGGCGGGAACGGGGCCATCGCATGCAAGCAACTACTCCAGGTCGGTGGCTAATGGCCAGACCAGCGAGTACGCGCGCATTGGCCGGACCGTCAAGATCTGCATGCAGCACCCGGAGCATGAGCGCAGCCAGCTTGTTTTGGAACTGATAGAGAACGAAGGCCAGAAAGACTAGCCGCGCTGTCTACTACTTATTTTTAATTATTTCTCTTGCCTTTTTCTTTCTTCCTTTTCTTCCCCTTCGATGAACATGGTATGTTATCGTTCTAAACAAGCCCCGTCTCACCTGCTACTGCTCCTGCTACTGCTACACCTTGGCCAGTTAAAAAAAAAACCCTGTTGATCACCGTTTCTTCTTTCGATTTTTTTTTCTTTTTTTAACCCATATTTCAACCCAGTGATACCTCTACCTACCTACATATCTACGTTACGTACCTTACATACATACAGTACAACCAACCAACCATTTATTTATGATGAATGGATGAATGAATGGATGGCCTAAATTTAGGATTTACTTCTTGAAATTTTTTTTCTTTCTTGGGTAATTAATCGGCATAACACAGCAGCACGGCACGGCATGGCATTCATCATTGATTAGTTGATCAATGAATGCATACATACATGCATACATACATACATACACTTTATGTATCTACCGATCTATATCTATTTATCGATCTATCCATCTATGTATGTAGGCACGATGACGATGACAAGACGAGACTAGACGAGACAAGATGTAATTAATCGATTGATTCTTCTTGATTCGATTTTCCAGCGACCTACCTACGTAGCATGCCAGCAGTGCAAATTTGTCTATTTATTCATTATCTATTTATTAGACCTTTTTTGATTGATTCCAAGTCCATTGTTTCAAGCAATTAGATATAGATATAATTGTCTGTCATGTTTGATTGAACGCTCGATTCTCAGGCTGACCACAGACAAGTACATACATAACAGTACAGTACGGTACGGTACATGCAGGTAAAGGAGAGAATATCTATCTATTACAATATACTATTCTGATTCACCGGAATAAAATTGATAAATAAATAAATAAATGGATAAGCAGACAGATAAATACCTAGTTAAACAGCCGAACAAACCAACCTACCTACATACATACATACATGCAAACAGACGAAAAATCGGAAATAAAAAAAGAGCTGACTCTACGAGTCGAATTCTACTTTGCTGACTATCGTATGTTCTTCTTCTCCTCCTCCTCCCCCACCACCTCCATCATCATGATTATGGCTTCCGTCCGATACTTCATGAGACGACGGGTTATGCTCGCTCGGCTGATGCTGCTGTGCGGAATGCGCGTCTTTCCCGTCTAGCACGGACGCCGCCTCGGCGCCTTCCAGGATGTCGCGGTCTCGTTCGCGGACTCTGCGACGCTCCGGGTCGATCGGGTATGCGCCCGCGCCCCAGCTCGAGATGCCCCCGACCATGGGCGTCGTCGACGAGATCGGGCCGTCATCGTCATCCTCGTCGTCCTCGTCGTTGTTGTTGTTGCGGCCCAGTGCGTTCCGCTCCATCTCCCGTTGGGCCTCGTCCATCTTCTTCTTGACTTCGGCGGCCATGCGCATCCCGTCGGAAACAATGTTGTCCAATACTCCCCGGAGGCCCTTGTTGGGAGGGACGATACCGCCCGAGGCGCCGCCAACGGTTGCGCCCGACATGGCATTGGCTTGCGGCTTGGCGCCGCCGATGTTGGAGAATGTGGTCAGGTTCAAAGAAAGGGATGAGGATGGCGCCAAGGATGCGGGATTCGGTCGATCGGACAGGTGGAAAGACTGGGGGAAGAAAGATTCGAAGAATTGCTCGAGGAGTTCGTCGGCCAAGATCACCATTCGGAAGGTCGGGAGCGTAATGTGCAATGGGTTGTTCGGGTCTAGGGCCGCGTTGGCGGATTCCGCTGCGCTTCGGCCGGAGGGCGAGGTGACAGCAGCCGACGACTTCCCCCCTGGCTTGGGGGTCGAGGGAGCAGCTGTGCTCAATTTCTCTGCCGAATTGGGCTTCTCCTTCTCATCCAGGTCGAGAAGATCATCTTCATCATCGTCATCACCAATCGCAAAAGCGTCTAGCTTCTCTGTGGCACTTTCTGTGCTCTCCTCTTTCTTAGAATCATCCTTAGTCTGATTCTGAGGGTGGCTAGGGTCGGCGTATTCGAAACAGCGTCTGATAAATGAACTGACACTGCCCAGAAATCGTTCATCGACACTGAGTTTCACCTTGTCGCCCGACAGGCTGCCATCCACAGCCTCTGGCGATTCACTCACTCTCAAAGCTCCATCGAATCCTCGCCTCGACAAGAAGAGCAGAGCCTCCGACATCCTGAGAATGCCTTCCCGATCTACCTGTCCATTCCCGTTGTCATCGTACAGGTCGAAGAAGTAGTTGATGGAATTCATGATATCCCGTGTTCCCTTTAGACGCGCCAAGCCATTGACAACATTCTGCAGGCTTAGTCCTTCGCTATCGCTTGACTTCCACTTGCGGTACAGTCGCTGCATGAACTCGTGGTCTGCCGGCTCCACCTTGCCGCCCCATTTGGAATCAGACTTGCTGCGGCCTCGCACACTATAGTTGTCAGAACTGGAATTGTTTCTCGATTGACCGGGTGAATCCGCAATCGCCCACTTCGCCGTGGCCGCCAAAAACTCCCGGAACGCATCGTAGTCCATATGGGTAGGGCTTGGCCCGAGACCGACACGCCCAACCTCGGCGTCGGCAGGAGGGCCCAGGATGGAAAGGCGCTCTATTTTCTTCTTCTCCTGCCGCTGCTTCTCCTCTGCGAGTTGTTTCTGTCTCTGCTCCTGGTCGTAGAGTACCTGGTAGTAGCGATCATAGATTACTCCCAGGTCATCCATACTCAGTTTCTTGCTCTCGGGCCCTAAATTTCGAATCGAGGTTCTCTTGGCGAAGCTCTCGATATTCTCCAACACGGCATCTTTGTGTTTGGCACGCTGCTCCGTGATAACACTATGAGTGATTCCCGCAAATTCTTTAAAGGCGACCACCATCAGCTCCTGGAACCGGGTTATCGCTCTCAACTTCGGGTTCTCGGAACGCGGATGTGCCGATTCGTCCAGGCGAGAAAAGTACGACTTCAGGACGGAAATGAAGGATCCGTCATCGTGCACGTCCAAAAGCTCCTCACCGTTGATCCGTAGAATGGCCAGCCCCACCTGGAAAAGCACTTTAGGCCCTTCGAGGAAAAACACATCCAAGACGCGGAAGGCAAACACGAGAGGCATAGAGTTAATATATAACGAAAGGAACCAGGGCAGGGAAACGACGGACAACTGCACGTCGGACTTGACCAAATGGTCCCACAGGACAGGCATCGTCTTCTCGACGAGTGACTCGAAAACCTTCTGATCCAGCAGCGTGCCGTACATAGTTGTCGAGTAATATCCAGGAAGCAAACGGTCACAGAGAACCGACAGCAAAAAGAATGCTTGTGCCTCGGACATATAACTGGCAAAGGGTCAGCGCATGAGAAGGCCTAGTTCCCAAAGAACAAAGGGACATACATCAACAGAGCTGCAACAACAATGTTCATCGCCTGGCAATAACCAACTTGGGCATTTGTCCAGCTGTAGGCTGTCAACACCCTCCGCAAACGCCCGATACCTTCCTCGCTCTGAAAACCGGGATATTCGGGAAGACTGCGGTTCAAATCCTTCTCGATCTCGTCGATGGCCAGAGACTCTTTCCCCGAGAATTTCGCCAAGGTCTCTTCGTAGAGTTTAGGCGACCTCAAGCGAACGTAGAGAGAACCGGAAGTGAGCTCCCAGATCTCTCCCCGAAGGCGATTAGGCAATCCAACCCGAATAAGTTTATGGAATGTTGGCTGGCGGATGAGAGTGACATTACGCCCGTTCTCTACACATCCCCAGAGGTTAATACGCAGCTGAAGAGAGATAGATCTAGGAATCGGAAATCAACGTACCCCTGAAATACTCGGCCCACAACCTCATCTTGCTTCGATCCCTGAGTTTACGGGCATCTCCGGGATACCGAAAGACCATGCCCAATCCCGCATCGGGCGGCTGTCGCGGTGGCTGATCGGACGACTCCTCACCCTTGGTCTTGGGTGCTGTCAAGAGGTACTCCGAATAGGCGTCTGCCACCACCATGCGCAGATTCTCGATCTCTTTCATCCCCTCCCGCAGCCCTTTCTTCAGTCCGTCACAAAACCGTTCGCAGGCCTGCCTGCTCCCGAGCAATTGGATGATGAACCGTTGTGGGACGAAGGAAGGGTCTTTAGCGGCCGACTGTTTCCCCAATGCACCGTTCCACGTCGTCAGCGCCAGCGAGAAGACATGGCTCAGGCTGTTGAGCCGCTCTACGCGGCGAATGGAGCACAGTGGCAGGGTGAACCCATTGCCAGAAGGGCCCGTCCCATGGGTCTGACCGGTGAAAGTGGTCGCAGCACTCAGACTGGCAGAGGGGGCAAAGCTCGTGGGTTGCGTCGAGAAGCACAGAAAGCGCTCGCTCAAGTGTAGGCGGCCCGTATAGCGAGTCCCGGAGCGTTCCGCATCTCGAGACCGTTCTCCATGCGTCGCCGAAGATGAAGACGGGGGAGCGGGGAGAATGAGCTCCGCAGTGATCTCCTGCAGCGGATTCTGCGAGTCCGGGAGGCGGAATTGCTGGCGAAACAGCGAGGCCTTGGACGGGTTGCGATCCGAGTTTGAAATGGCCGGGATATTGAAGTTGGACGGATCAATGAGGGACTGGGCCTTCTGGACCAGAGACGAGAATTGGAACATGGTGCTGGGAAGCAGCAGACAAGGCTGGAGAGAATCACACTTCGATCGATACCTCGCTAACAGCCTCCTCCGGCACAGTGGAGGACAAGGTGGTAGGATAGCCCAGCAGAGCTGGGTCGAAGCTCCGACACGGCTGGTTCAAGGCAGGGTTCACGACGGGCCAATAATGTCATACGTGGGGGACGTGGAAGCAGGAGCTGAGATGGCCATAGGTCATGGACCAAACAACCACCGCATCGTTCATCAGCAGTCCCTCGGGAGAGCGAGAGACTGGCGTGGAATGAGCGTGAGCTGAGGCGGAGACGGTCGAGACTGATAATAGCTGGAGGTACCGCTGCTGAGAACGGATGTTGTTGGCGGACGGAAGGCTTCCCGCGGAGGATCACCCGCTGGGTCACGTGTGCGCTTCTCCAGCAGGCTGAGACATGTCAAGACTCGCAACTAGCGCGCCCCCTCAGCCTCAAGCCCCGTTGTTACACACTGCCACTTGCCTTGCAAAATCAGGTACATCTACTGCATGTCAGTCATGGATACGGCGAGAATGACGGCAACAATGTAGCAAGGCATATGGGTGCGGAGCCCGACTGGGAAGTAGACTACCTCAATCTAAGCCTTGGCATAGCCCAGTCGAGCAAAGAGAGGACAATCTACTACGAAACTGCTAACAGCTCAATAAAGGTCAAATACCTAAAGTGCATACAAATCACATTCGTCCCGAAGCTACCTACTTGCAACTGATATAAAGAAACCAGGAAAAGAAAAGAAAAGAGGGAGAGACAATTGGCTCGCCAATCCATGGTGCTCCGAAATGAAAACCCTTATAATACTCCCATTCGGCCGATCCAGCAAAAGTTGCACAGTAAGAAAAGGAAAAAGAAAAGATATTCAGCTCAAGCCATCAGTATACCCCGTAGCAGCCAGACCTCAGGGCAGTTCATCAACCCGTACCATTTACTTCGTGTCCGCCGGTGGAACGGCAGCCCCATGCTCCTCGTCGCTGTAAGGGGGAAGTTCCTCAGCGGGAGGCTCCTCCTCCGACATGAGAGCCGCCTTCTCCATGGTGCTACCCTGCTCCACGGTGGCAGCAGAGCGGCTGTCGTTGGTGCAGCGGCGGTAGCGGAGCCACAGGAAAACGATAACCTGGCCGACAAGCATTCCAATGGCACTTGCGGCAAGGCCGGCGAGTACACCCAGAACAGCAGGAACCACAATGAAACGGACCACACGAGAGAAAGTCCGGTGCCAGCCATGGCGGTGGTGGGGGTGACGGTGGGGACGGCCAAAGTGATGGGGGCGGTGATCAAAGTCCGCGGGATGCTCACCATGAGGACGGTGAGTGAGATGAGGCTTGCCGTGGCAGCCCTTACCGCGGAAGGGCAATTTGGCGCCAACGCTCATCATCCGGGCCTTGGCCGCAGCCATCAGAGCCTGGATACGAGCAAACAGCAGGCGTCTCAGGCAGCGTGGCTCTCCACGGCACTGGCTCCAAGAAAGACGGTCAGCGGCAGTGGCCTCAATCTCCGTTCGGGCAATGAACAGTTCACCCGTAGCCGTCTTGATAACGGCGATCGCGAGGGTGTCAACAGGAACAGGATGGCCTGCAAGGTCGAGGACCGTGAAGCGGACGGACAAGAGTTCCATGTCATCCTGCGGAGGCATCAAGGGCATAGCCTCAAGGGCAAAACCCAGGCTAATGGGGGCGGTTTCCTGCCCATCGGACTCTCTTCGCTGCACGGCGTTGACATTCAATGGAGGAGGAGGTAGAGGGAAGACCTGGTCGTCATTGACGAAAAGAGCGTTATCCTTGGCGGAGATGTTCAAGAGCTGTTTGTCAATCTCGTTAGCAATCAGCTCTTCCAGCCAATGGACGGCAGGGGGCATATCAAGCCAACTCACCAAGGACGACTTGACGCCATCAGTCCAGCTGATCTGTCCATCCGGATGCACCTCGGGGAAAGGGCACTCATCACAGGCCAGGGCGACCTGTTGAGTGCGAGCATCGTGAGCTTCGAAGCGGTGGAGGTCCTGGGGCGCAGGGGCATTGTCGACGGCATGAGGCTGGATCTCAGGAACAACCAGGAAGGCCGAGGCGCCCAGCGACAGCGCGCTGGCGGCCAAGACGGAGCGGAGAATCATGGTCAAGACCGCTAGAAGACAATAGACATGAAAAGGTCAAGGGAGGGACTACGGTCAACACGAAAATAGATGGATCGGGACGCCAGTGACGGGAGACAGCGATGGGAGTTGATGAACTCGGGATCGAGCAGAGGGGGATGATGGCAGGAAGGGGGCGGATGGAATGTCTGGCTGGCTGGCTGTCCGGCGTGACTGGAAGATGCGTAAGCCGCACGGCGGACGATTGCTATTATTGGCGGCAGACTCGTGACTGTGGTGACGCAACCCCTGATGGGCGCTAGGAGGCTTTCGGCAACGCTCAGCCCCTCCATCCAGCTCCAGCGAGGCCAAAGCCAGGCAGCAGCAGTCGTGATAAGGCAATTGCACTCTGAAATTGGTTCCTGTGAAGCAGTGAAGGCTGTGATCTGACGTCCTCCGCCAAAGCCATCGATTGTGTTACACTGGCTGCAGCAGAAAGTCAGTGTCACGTGGAATGTCATGTGACTTCAGACATGGAGAAGTACCACAGACCACGATCATTGAAGCATGGGAACCTGGACAAGATTAATAGGATTCTCGCGAATAAGGACATCATCAGGTGGCTAGGTGTGTAACATAAGTCGTATGACTATACATCGAATGAATAGCATTATCATGAATTAATAGTGATACTCTCATCTATCCAAACACCAAGTACATACGTTGTCAACTGGAAACAGAGAGATAGACATACACAGAGTATATGACATCCTAAAGTTTGGATTTCTTCTGGCCCTTCACGTTGGAGACAGCATTGCCTGAGAGGAGAAAGTCTGGATATGCGAAACTGCCACCGATCGAGCTGCTACTAATACGCCAGGATGCTCCGTCGACTATGACCAAAGAAGAAGAGTAACTTGTTAGTTTTGGTTTGTTCAAATATCTCCTTGGATCAAGATATGAAATATAAAATGGAGAAGTTTGGAAAATACTTACCAACAAGAGTCTGGCCATTCACGTAGCTTCCAGCCTCGGAGAACAGATACACCGTCGCATCAGCAATGTCCCGCACAGAGCCGAATCGGCCCAGAGGCTGCTTTTTCGTGGCTTTCTCTTTCTCTGTGGAGGGCACGAGACGCTCGACACCCTTTTGATAACATGTCAGCTTGGGTATCAATCAATCAAAAAGTGCAACCTGTGGATCTTAAAGCAGGCGGGAAATATCCATTATGGAAAATTTTGGGAATAATACCTCTGTATTCGCAATCGGTCCCGGTGCGATAACATTCGAGGTCACGCCCAGAGGACCAAACTCGAGGGCGACATTGTTGGATAATGCATCGACACCGGCTTTGGCGACGGAGACGTGTGTCTGGAACGGAATGCCCGTATAATGGATCGTAGCACTGACAAAGATGATTCGGCCGCCAGTGCCTTGTTGTGATTGTCTTACTGTAGATACGCAAGATATCAGTTAGAGATAAAAGGCCAAAACTGGGCATGATACTACTCACAACTCTTCGGATCCACTCTATGCTTTGCGGCCGACTCTGTCAAGTAAGGGATGGTCGCTTTGAGCGTGTTGTAAGAGCCGAGGACGTCGATATCCATGACCGATTTGAACGCATTGACGGAGAGCTGGTTGATCGAGGCGAGGAAGTTGCCTGCTGCGCCGGCACTGGACAGGTTTGTTTTCCGGTCAGTATTCCATTATTTACTGTCCTGCATTCTGTCTGTCCGTATCATCGAATTGCCGACGTACATCACGAAATCAATGCCTCCTAGCTCCTTCACACAGCGCTCCACGGCGGCTTGCAAGGTGTCGAACTTCCGCACGTCGACAGCCCCAATGCCAATCACTTTGGCACCTGGTCGCGCCGTGGCGATATCCTTGGCCATCCTCTCAGTTTTCTCGACATTTCGCCCAACTATGCACGCGTTGGCGCCGAGGTGGACGAGAGCGCGGACCTGCGCGCTGCAGATGGTTCCGGCGCCGCCGGTACAGAAGACGACCTTGTTGTCTGGGGAGGGAATACTAAGTCAGACCAGCCCGTCATAATGGAGAGAAAAAGAAACAAGGCCGGAGAGGGGAATTGTACTGAAAAGGCCGTCCTTCCAGACGTCGCTGAGATAGTCGGCCTTTGGGATCGACATGGCGGAGGTAATACTGAGCAAGTAGCTTAATGCCAATAGCTGAGCTCAGCTCCGTAGCGATGCAGCAAATTAGCACGGAATGAATGCTTCTTTGGAACCTTCCAAGGGAAGCATACAAGAAAAGAAACAACAATTTGTCAATGTCAAGAAAGATGCCCAATGCCTGGCTGGGCGTTGGATCATATAGCTGATCGCCGATCAGGTATTACGACCGTACGGGGAAGCTTAACGGCCGTAACACCGACCCCACGCCTAAGTTCCTCCGCAGCCGCGGCCCGACAGCATCGAAGATCCCGAATTAGAAAACGCTCACAGCACCGAGGTTTCTCTCATCACGCGCATAGCATAACAGTCATACTAACTTATGCAGCATATGTCTGAGACAAGACAGCAAGTCCCATTCAGTTACAGCACAGTATTTCTTTCCTATTTCGCAGCCACATCGCAAGATCCGCTTGAAAACTTATGCAATTAATTCATTTGACACATGAATTCTAACTCGGGGATCCCCTCACTTATACATACACGATAGTTTCCACAAAAATACTCAATGAATCGGATGCATAGCATATGAGAAGAGGCGGATGTCACTTTCGCAGGTGAAGAATGTAGAGGTGAGATGAGGCAGCTGAGGGGAGGAGGGAGAGGAAAATACATATTTAAGGCTGGTGCGATGCCTCCTTGTTGGCCTGTTATAGATTATATCGACTTTTGGTCAAGAAATACAGCAAGAAAGAAAAACATGAAATGAGAGTCCTCTTGTGAGAAGCCGGCTCCCACGGAGTCTCTATAGTCGGGAGGAGAGCATAACTCGGCCTCACGATGTGGCACGGCAGGTAGAAAGAGGTGACAGTTCACGCACCGTCGCCCCACAGTCCGACAATGCCCATCGCCAGCGCGACACCAGAGAACCAGGCCCTCGCGCGCTGCAGCTTGCGCTCCTGCTCCATGTCCCGCTCAACCCTTTCGCCATTGACGTCCGATTCCGCCTCGACCACGACCAGGTCCTCGTCCTTCTTCGTTGGTGTCGCCGCCGTCTTCTTCTTGAGAGTCAAGAAGGGCACGTCAACGTCCTCAATCAGCGTGCGAGCCCAGGCGGCCAGACCCTTGTCGCGGTTAAACCAGAAGTCCACACCGAACGCGCCCAAGGTGGACGAGAGGCACACCCAGATCAGATAGGGATGTTTCCGACGTCTGGGCGAGACGAGCCAGGCGAAGAGAAGACAGGTGTTTGTCAGGTTGGCCAGGCGAAGAGCGTGCTTGCGGGAGCGTCGCTTAGCGTCTTTCAGAGCGCGAGAGGCGTGAGAAGCAGTAGGGAGTAGTCTTAACGAGGGGATGGTAACAGTCGCCATGGAGTAAGACAGGCCCTGGAAAATCAAACGATGTTAGATATCTATATGGTCTCCGACCTGCTCGTGACGGAATCGAAGAACGAAAAAAAAAAGCGGAGACAGATTCAATCTCCTGAGCGAAATAAACAGAGAAGAAACTGCTATGCTAGATGCTAAGATCGAGATGAATCAAAAACACCTACCGTCAAGAGCCCGAGGGACACCGTCCCAACGAACTTGGTGACCGTAATCGGGCACACCATGATGAAAAGGTGTCGAACCGGAAGAATCTCCGAGGGCAGCAGCAGGCGACTGCGCGAACGATACGATCGACCCGAGAATCCGACGACAAAATACGGAGTATGGGGATCTTTTTTCGTGGCAGGAAGGCTTAGCAGGCTAACCACGATGTCCGGCAGGGACAGTTATCGGAGCCAGCTTGGATGGAACATGATGGATGGAGGGATCGGAATGCCATGGATGTTGTGACGTCGCCGCGAGCTGTCAGGGCCGCGCGCCGTTGGTGAATTGAGCAGCGCTGATTGGGCGGCCTAATTAAACACGGAACCAACGTGGCAGCCAATCATAAAACATGGACCTGGAGATGGATAATGGGCTTTTTAAATAAAAAAGATCTTGGACTGATTTTTATTCAAAGAGTGAGTCAATAACGAGATAGGGAAGTGTCCATGAGGCTGATTCTGCTGTGAACCTCTCACTTTACCCGACTGTCCATCTGATCTGAACCAGACAGGGAAGCTCAAGGAGTGGAAAAACTCGCTAGACCCGGCCTTTTTTTAACAACTTGACCTGACTCGACCAACAAGGCCAGTGTAATCCTTAATCGACTTCTCACTTTGTTCGATTTCTTTGTGTGGCCTGGTTGAATCTGATAGGAGGTGTTTATATTTATGTTTATTCCGTTTTTCCCGTTCTTTGTCTTCTGTCTTTCTCCCCTATCCTGCTACACAACTTTGCACGGCTTCTGATATTGTATCCAAGAGCAGGATTCCAGGTGTACAAAAAAAAGACACATTATGCTGGAAAAGAAAGTCATCATATAACATGCATCAACAAAGAAAGAGAGTCTCTGCGTGAGAGCTACATCAAAGCTTCACCTTTAGCAACCCCGCTTCGAAATCCATCTTACTGTCCTCTTTCAACACGCGCTTGAGGATCTTCCCACTGGCAGTCTTCGCAATCGCATCGACAAATTTGACGCCCCCCGTCAGAGCCTTGTACCGGGCCAGCCGGTCGGCCACATGCTTTTTCACCTCGTCCTTTGTCAGCCGCTGGCCTTCTGGTCCGGGCCGTCGCACGACATATGCCCGTGGATACTCGCTGTCTGCTCGAGGGATCGTGACGCCAATGACAGCGGCATCGATGATCTGTGGGTGTGATAGCAAGACGGCTTCCAGCTCGGGGGGTGCGACCTGAAAGGCGCGCACCTTGATCAGCCCTTTCTTCCGGTCGACAATGTACCATTTACGGGTACTTTCGTCGCGGTAGGCGATGTCGCCCGTTTTGAACCAGCCCTCTGAATCAAACGCTTCTGCGTTCGCCTTTGGGTTCTCAAAGTATCCCGGGGTGATCGTGAGTCCCCGCACGCAAAGTTCACCACGGACCCCGTAGGCAGAGATGTTGTTTCCGTCGTCATCGATCAATCTATATGACAATTTGTGTGTCAGTGGACAAACAGTTGAATGAAGAGGTACGAGCACAGACTTGGCCTCAAGATTCGGGATCAACCTCCCTACGGAACCAGTGTCATCGTGTTAATGAAACATGGTCGCTATGCCGGTCGTTTCCGTCATTCCCCAGACCTGGGTGAAAGGAGCATTGTCGTCCAGTAAATTACTACAAGTATCTAGCAATTACCTCACCATCAGACGATGCACCCTTGCCACATTCTATTCGATCTGCCGTGTAACCGTTCGATCACCGCCGCAATGATAAATCCTCCACTTGTCAAGGTGAAGGAAAGAATGGTCATCAATTCTTGGATAGCGATCTAAATTTGGAGCTAGGAGCCTTACTCTTACGGGTATATATAAACCTATCTTCTATACTATTAACCTAATCTTCTTTACAAAGATCATGAGCTAATAGTTATAGCTTAAAGAAACAAATCCAGCACATACGCAACCCCCACCTTCGTACTTAGGTAACTAACCAACCCTATGCCCGGATAAAGTTGATCGATTTACCAGAGATTAGACAGGTGGTTCGCTCACGTACAGTAAATGCCATTATGCACTAATACTGTACGTCCATACTGCAGTGACCAGTCAGTAAGCTAGTCAAGTGCGTGTGACAAACCCTGCAGGGCCCTGCACATTGAATGGATAGTCGAGAGTCGATCGGAGATCCCTGGACTAGCCTTTCCTCCCTAGGCAAATACTACGGTGCCGCATTGCTCGCTATGAGGTCCGCTCTTCTCCGTACCAATGAGCGGTGATCTATCATCTGTCACAAATTATAGCTATCCTTGCCAGGTATCTGGTCTTGGTACGGAGGAGTTCGTATTCCGTTCATGAGATGGCAAGACGAACTGGCTTCCAGAATATCTCCACTTTTATTTCGGATAATATTACCGTATTATCGTTTTTATTACGTTCAGCATCGATATTTGGTAATTGATGGTTGAGTGTAGCCGAGGCTACCTTGCGGGGTAAGCTGTGACTGTAAATTAGGTGAGCTTACGAGAGCTTATGTGGGCATAATAGTATACGGAGTATTGGAAAGCCGAAATCGAAAGTCAATACTCTGTCTTATTATTGAACGTGGGGAAGGTAATTGTTGAGGTTGGAATAAATAATAATATTTATTCACAGCTAACCGTCCATTTAATATTTTCCAACAAGGCAGCTATGTCCGCAGTCCTGCAGTACAGGGTCCTACTTCTATTAACGCTGCACTAAGGTCTTAATATTATGCACTCTGCTCATGATGATCAAAGAACGCTGTACTTAACAGTGCATAAGCACTAACAGCTGTGCTGAATTTAGGGCTCCATCTGCTTTGTTACCTGTTTTAATTTGTCCTTAATAAATCGCAATTTAGTACGTATTCTCCAACAAGCAGCGAATCACATAGCTGCTTGGTAAGTCCTGATCGCGCCATTGGTTTAGTGGTAGAATTCATCGTTGCCATCGATGAGGCCCGCGTTCGATTCGCGGATGGCGCAGTTTCTTTTTTCCGCTGCTTTCCTTGATTTAATTTTTGTTTTTCTTTTTCTCTTTCTTTTCTTTTTATTTTTTTTAAATCTGTCCATTGCATAGAGCGTCTCTGCAAAAGAGGGCTGATTTAGTTGTCTGGTTGTCCGTGACTTACGCTTGTTTGTCTGGCTGGTCATACGTCACCCCGTGACGCAGCTGGATGACCTCGCAACATCCATGGCGCTGCCACCGCACCCTTTCTGCAGACTCACCACACCACCATGGACCGTTTAAACCTGTATATCCTCACCTTCAATTGCGCCCGCAATCTCGTCCCCACTGACCGGTTCGCTTCGCATCTCTTCGACGTGCTTCCGCAGTCAGATGCATGTCCGCAACAGTCGGTCGCTCCGCCCGAACTCCTGGTGCTCAGTCTCCAGGAGATCGCGCCGATCGCCTATGCTTTCCTCGGTGGTTCCTTGCTAGTTCCATACTTTGACGCCTTTCGCTCGGCCGTTGACCTTGCTGTCGCAAAACGCTGGTCGGACGACGACGTCAAGTACGTCAATGTCGCCACGAAGAATTGCGGTCTGACGGGAATTATGGTCTTTGCCCGTTCGGATCAAGCAGAGAAAATCTCGTGGATTGAAACTGCGGAGGTCGGTGTGGGAGTCCAGGAGATGGGTAACAAGGGTGCCGTAGGAGTGCGGTTAGGCTATCTGGAAAGCGACCGCGGAGACGACACGGTGGATTTGACGTTTGTCGCAGCACATCTCGCTCCAATGGAGGATGCGGTCGACCGGAGGAACGAGGACTGGAGGGGCATTGTGGAGCGTCTGGTGTTTTCGAAAGAGGGCCCCAACGGCGGTAGAGAAGGGATGGATGAAACCGAGGAGCAGGATGAAAGTGCAGCCTTGCTCCAGGATCCACGTCGCAGTCAATCAGGCATATTCGTGCCTACGTCGCACCTCTTCTTTGCAGGCGACCTCAACTATCGCACCTCCGACCTAGGGCCGACGATAAATGATCGCGCTCGATTCCCTCAACTGAATGCAGACTCGGATAGTCCTGTCCATCACTCTCAACTGTTGAAGCACGATCAACTTACGAGAGAGATCCAAGCTCAAAGGACCCTCCATGGCCTGACAGAGGCGCCGATAACCTTTGCCCCCACGTACAAATACTCTCTGGAAGCGCGACTTGCTGCAGCTGAAGGCAGACAGGACGAGCTGAAGGAGTGGAAGTGGGCCAAAAACCGCTGGCCCAGCTGGTGCGACAGGATTTTATATCTCGATCTGCCGCCATGGATGCAAGAAGGTGACCAGATTCAACCGCATGGCTATGATGCTCTGCCACTGTTTCCCACGTCGGACCATCGTGCTGTCGCCCTATCTGTGTCGGTCCCGTTGAAGCCCATTTCACCGCCTGCCACGGCAAATCCCAGCGACGATATCCGACTATCCCCTCCATTCGCCATTGACCGAGATTGGCACAGTAAGAGAGCCGCTGCGAGGACCAAGGAGCTTCTCGTGGGCGGTCTTGCGTATCTGGGTCTGACACGGGAAGGCAATGGCCTCCTGCTGGCCACGACCTTGGGTGTTGCCGGAGGCTGGCTTGTACTCCGGTCGATATTTGAAGGATGAAACTAAACTGTCCTGGTGTCTAACTTGCTCACACGATCATACCTTTCATCTTCATCCGGACTGGTGGATGCTGGAACTCAGCAAGTCAGGAGTTAGCGGAGCAGCTGCCCCTAGACTTGCATGAATGCTGGACTTGGACTCCTTGTGATGCAGTGACAGTGGTATCCGGGTCGTTGAAGCTTCATATACAATTCCAGCCACAGGCACGCCCTCCTTCCACGGCCTGTGGATGAGGTAGGCAAGCCAGATGGGTCTTAGAATGATCCTTGGCAGAATCTGAACTTGTGAATTATGACAGCGAGCAAGACTCCTCCATTGAAGAGGAAGAAAGCAAGGAGAGTTTATAATACAACATGTCACTTGCAGAAGTGTACAATGCTCTATTTCAGATTCCATACACTACAGCTGCATGTCAGAACATCTATTAATTAATTTTCCTGGGCTTGAAATACAGTCCTCAAATGCGACATGATGTGAATCAATCATATATGTGATATGATGTGATGATGTGATGTGATAATGACAACCGCGGTGAATGATTTCTGAGAAACGAGAGAGAGACAGAGAGATGAATGCAAGCACTGGAATGTAATGTACATGTACGTATGCATGTATGTACATACTGCACTGTACCTACAATTCGAGGCAGACGACGACGACGACGATGACTAAAACCCGTTCCGGTCCACGCCGTTCTCCGCGTACACCTGCAGACTGTACTTGGCGAACTTGCTGCGGGCGCGAATCCGCTCACCGTAACGGGTGAACAGCGACGGGACGATGCAGAAGACAGTCGCCAGGCTTGCCAGCACCGAGACGGCGACGTTGGCGCCCAGGGCGCCGAACATGCGCGGCGCGAAGAGCGGGAACGTCGCCGACAGGATCGACCGCAGGAACGACAGTGCTGCGAACCCGCTGGCCGCGTAGCTCAGGTAGCTGTCAGCCAGGTAGCCGGCCAGCACGGCCTCGAATTCGTTCAGCGCGTACCCGATGAAGATGAGCGCAACGGTCGATGCCCCCCAGTGCACGCTGACCACGCGTGGCGGGATCGTCCAGGCGAAGCACCACAGCGCGGCGGCCAGGACGGGCGCTCCGATCGAGAAGCCCGTCAGTTTGTGTTCCGGCAGCAGGGGCCGGCCCTGGCGCTGACGCTGGGCGATGATGTGACGGTCGAGAATGCGGGTGAAGAGGCTGGACACGAGACCAATGCCGATGGCGATGAAAGGCAGACAGGCGTGCCGGGGCTCGAAGCCGAACGACTCGTAGATAGGCGGCAGCGCCTCGGTGAAGAGGTAGCCCAGCGCGACGAGGAATGCGCTCATGGTCGACACGGTGAAGACGATGGGCTCGCCGAAGAAGAGGCGGACGGGCCGGAAGAGCGCGACGCGGGCGAAGGTGCGCATGTCGGGCGTGTGATCCGGGTTCAGGCTGCGGAGACTGTCGATGCCGGTGGCCTCGCGTAGTTTTGCGACCTCGCGACCGAGCAGCAGTGACGGACGAGATTCTCGGATGAAGAGGAGCAGGCCGGCCGTGATGGCGTTGACGATTGCAGCGACGTAAAACACCCACTTCCTGAGAGGATGTTAGAAAGGATACGCGCCAATCGAGGACGATAGACCTACCAATTCAGATCGGCCGCGATGTAGGTGCTCATGATGGGCCCAACGACCAAGCCCATGTTAGCGAACATGCACCAGAGAAAGACGGGCCAGACGCGGTCCTTGGAATTGTACATATCCTCGATGCTTCCCGCGACGACGATGGTGGGGATGGCAGAGAGGAAGCCGGTGGCGAAGCGGCCAATGACGACGCCGGCGAGAGAGGGCGTGGCGGCGATGAGCACGCAGAAGACGCTGTACAGGGCGGTGCTGATGACATAGAGCTTCTTGCGGCCGAACGCTTCCGAGTAGGGAGGGAACACGATGCCCCCGAGGGCCTGACCGAGGAGATAACTAGGCGAATGAGTGACGATGTCGAAGAGAGGCAGAGGATAGACGTACACAGAGACGAACAAAAAGATGGACAAGGTGGAAGGGATGCCGAATTCAGACTGGGCGTTGCTGGCTGCGGAGCTCTAGTATGGTCAGCAAGGACACCAGTAGACCAGACGCAATCCACGTAAAACTTACTCCTGCAGTGCTAACCGCAGTCCTGTAGAGATAGACGTCGGTCAGCACGAAGACGAACACGAAATTCCAGACTCATGTCTACGTCTGTACTATACATACGTGAAAAACTCAAGAAAGATGATCATGCCCGTGTCGAAGATCTTGCGCAGGGGGCGCCAATTGCGCGGATGGCGCCTGTTCGAAGAAGACCAGCGGATGAACTTGCCATCGGGTGTCCATTCGAGGCCGAAGTGGTCGAGACATTGCTGGAGATGGTCTTGAGAGTCGGTGTGAAGGACTATCGTCAATGGCTCTGAGAAGCCCATTCTGTAGACAGAGACACAGAGAGAGGACAAGAAGACTAAGAAACTCGTTACTTCATCTCCCTCTCTCTAAATAAATGAACGGACGGACGGACGATGCGAAGGAGCGGGAAGGAAGGACTAAACGAATAGTATATTATAGATAGAAGAATAGGCAAAGAAAACAGAATGAAAGAAGAGTAATTAATTAAACTAAAGAAAAGAAAAATCTATGATTCTAAACACCAAACCCGACAGACCTAGTCGGGAGGAATATAGAATATATGAATCCTCAGTCTACTCATCTAAAATAAAAAGAAATACATACAAAAATACACCTTATCTACGTACTGTACAACAAGGTCATATGATAGGTCCTCGCCAGTCCAGCTAGGGATTTGATTGATTGATGATAGGCCCCAGCGGGGACAATCATGGAGCATACATATTTTGGAATGGGTCTGTTGAGCGCCGCGCGCAGATCAAGGGGGGAGGATCGAAAGATTTTTCATCCATTTGATTGCCGAATTACCGAGTGGTGAATAAAAATTAGTCGATCTATGGATCGATGGATCGATATCAATATATATCGATGGCTAGCAACAGAATATGGGTGCATTACATAGATCGATGGACTGGATAATGGATGAGAGGAAATCATGCAGGTAGGGAGGTTATTAGGTTAGTAATAGGTAATAGAACGAACGAACGAAGGTACTTCTTCGAGGTTTGTTTCAACAACTTCATTCAGGATGTGCATGCAATTAGTTCATCACGATCGATCGAAAGAAATCCGATGATTCCGTCCATCCGTTCGGCTACATACATGTATCTATCTAGATATCTAGGGATAAAATTTAGTTTAGTTTTAGTTTTAGTTTTAGGTATCCCTATCCACATCTATCCACGTATAATATCTGGCAGGGGAGAAATAACGAGAGAAACAAAAAGTGGAAACTTTCAGTCAACCAGTCTTCTTCTTGACTTGAGTGAAGTTGACTCGACCAATTATTTACGAGCAATATAGCTAACTAAATATGTACAGTACTGTTGACATCTCTGGAATGTTGCCTAACTCTGTCTCCAGTCTCTCCACTTTGTCCTACGTATGTATGTACTGTACTAATGGATTGATCGGCATCTGTCAGGAAGTTAGTCATTTCATTGGGCGGGTCTTCTTGCCAGCGATAAGGACATTTTTTCTTTCTTCTCCACAATCTTTATTCAGAGTATGTTTCTTGCATTGCAGATCTCTCCAATTGATACACTGTCAACGTGTACAGTACATTGGGTAACGATTGGTGTCATTCTTGTTTTTTTCCTCTTCCTTTCAATCAAGTCTACATATTCTATCAGTGTGTTTTCTCCTCCTCCTTGCTTGATTAAGGTCATTCTTCTAGGATACTCTATCTATCTCTGTCTCCTAAGCTATCCCTGTCTTCATTATCGAAAAAAAGAAGTCAATTGATATGCCTTAATCCGCAACTCTCCAACGGATAGATGGATAGACTGACGTCGAAGACAGGGTAAGTACTGTACAAGTACACACATATGGACAATGTGCTAGATAGATGCCCATCCATAGCTAATAATATATTACTCTGTCATTTATTTACTATCCTTCGCAGTGTTACCAATGTATATATAAGTGTTCGTATCCCAGGTGCAGGACTGGCATGTTCACTTACTATATTTGGTTTAGCGTCTTGCTAACCCTATCTACATGCACCATAACCTAACACTGACCCGACCTGACCAGCCGCTGGGAAATATGTACAGTACAGTAACCTAGATCACTATAACAAGACGAGAAGGGGAAAAATCGGTGTAATTCCTGTTAGCCGCGGAAATCGCGGTATATGTAATTTCGACTGCAGTCGCTCACAGCTAACAGCTAACAGCTAGTTATGTAGATACAGTACATATATAAACCCCTCGATTTCCGAACGTTTAGATGCGATTTCGATATTCAATACATGTAATATGTATGTCTTAGGTACTTTATTGTGAGACAGCTAATAGATCCTCTTTCTACAGTATTATATGTATTTTTTGACTCTTTTTTAGCGGGCCTAATGATGAAATCAGAGGTGCTGTACGAGGTAGAATAGAAATACTCTTTGGGGGGATATCTCCAATCGAATTAATGATAGTACGGTAGCGTATGTATGTACATAGATAATCTATCTACATTGGTGGACATTGTAAGAAAAGGGGACTGTTATTAAAAAGAAATAAGAGAAAGACAAAGGAGAGAATTTCTATTCCAAAATGAAAAATCTGATGTGATTGTAAGAGGCCTCTTTGAAATGAATATGTCCACTCAGCTGAATCTCTTGGAATTAGTAATTTCTCAGAATTATTCGTAAACTCTCCGAAAGACTGCTTAGGTCATGTCCATTGTTTCGGGCTGTCACGCTTCCTTCGGCCGTATGTACTGTACACAACATAAACTAACCCTTGTTAGTCGTCTTGTCAAGACAGCAGAGCGAGCACTAACTTACAAGTCAAACAGCAAATGGACCTGGGGTTGCAGGCGTCACTCTTCGCCCCAGCGACGAGATCCTGGATCTCCTCGTTGGACTATCCTTCGAATCTTGTTAACACTGCCATGGCGTCGACATCGAAACTTGCTCCGCCTGTAGTAGGAATATGGTTCCAAGTTTTTCTTGGATGAAGTTAGTAATGATCAATATATATATCGTACATACGTAATATGGATCCTTGGACCAGACCCCATTGGCACCCGTATTTGCGCACATGGATGTTTACAAACCCTGCTTCGCGGAACTATCTCTCAAGGTACGGTCGTGGTAGGTTACCCTTACTTATAGCACTGCATTATCAACTTCTTGAAATCCTGATGGAGTGATACCGAACATGGATGAAGTCGAACTGTGTGTTTTTATATCCCATTCAGATTCAATCTCATCAACTACAAATCTCAGATTTGGCGGAACCAGTAGATATCAACGATTGCTCAACAGTGATGGGAGTGCGGACTAACTGGACGGCTGAGTCGGATTCAGATCGTTGCCAATGACCTGGATCTCTCAGGCAGACGCCTTTTCTCGTGGTAGGATATTTGCCGCCGCAGAAGGGAACTAATCGGCTACGCAATGAGTCCCTGACAATATAGTCTAGTGGAACGGTTTACCAGAATCAATTGCCCATATCCCCGTGCCAGCTGCGAGGTCAATGACTCGCTAGAATCATTATCAGTCGTCTAAGAAATATTAAAGTCGTGATTGTTCGCCAAGGATACTTGGATTGCGAACATAGGTATCCACTTGAATGGAGATTGGCATGATCGTACTGAGGAGAAGATTCGGTTTGTCGGTTTGTGTCGTATGGCTGCGTAATTCTGGGCTCGTGTGTAGTGGACTCGTTCTTCGTAGTAATTCCGCCATTGTGAGTTTGGTAATAGCAGAACGAGTCCGTGGTAGTTGAGCAATGGACTTTAACGTTGTCATCGAGTGCATTCTGCTCTCTATGATCCAGGCATTGCTCCCTAGTCGGCACTAATCCGATTTCTGCCGGCGTATCGGCGCCCTGAGCGACAGGCCTAGGTAGATATGTAGGTACTTGTGACGGCGTCGAGACGGCTGCATTAGCGGCAGAAACGATCATGACCCCGGATGCAGACGACCAAAAAGGGCAATAAGGTTACTCGGCCAGTGGGCCGCCATTGGTCGCCTCAACGTTCGCACTGTTGCTCAACAAGAAAATGATGCTCTGCTGGACAAATCTGACGAACAGACAGCGAGGATGAGTCAGTCGGCAACTTTGACATCTAGCTGCAGCTGTGCTATGCGCCCTGTCATCAACGCTGAGTTGCAATCGCGCCGATCATGACGTTCGAGGCTCGCTGCCGTCGCAGTATGTCTGGAAACCGGGCAACTCACTCGCATTTCTGATGCCGTGCTGACAAATTCTCGCATTGCCACTGCTCTCTCAGACCTTTTTTCTCTGCATGCTGAGATAATTAGAGCTCTTGCTGCTCTTCCTCGCGTTCTGGATCTGCCGATCGTCATTTCTAGACTCTCTTTGTCAGTGCGATGAAATCAGATTGTCTGGAGAACTTGAGCTTGCCTGTCGTCAAGATCAATGAGATAGGATTTCATTGAGTAGTGTCATGTCACTGAAGGGTTCTCACTGCGTAATACGACGATGTTGACAGATGAGGAGAGGAGTAACGGACTGCAGGATTTACGAGGTTCTCCGCAGGAAGATATCCACGATGGAATTCCTTGGTCAGGTGATGCGCAGAACCCCTGTCGTTTAAGCAACAGCATATTTGCCCAAGGCAAAGGTTATTTGATAGGTCCGTGTAGCATAGAAATATTCTTTTAAAAAATGACTTGGTTAAAACAGAAAATGAATTAAATTACAGGTCTGGTATTGATCATTTTACTGTAAGTATCTGTACTTATCCCAGAGTAAATCTTGAAAAGAAGAAAAGAAATTCTCAGAATCACAATTGTCAAGATTATCTGCCGTTACAAAGCTATCAAGCTGTTATTGAACAAGTATACGCACAGCTAGAAAATGCCTCAGAAACTACAGGGCGCACGTGGGAGACGACTTGCTGAGTAAGCAATGAGCAGCGCGATATTCGAATCATGGCAGAGATGGCCCCCAAGTGGAGGAGCTGCTATTCTGGTTGAAAGGCTGCGGTGGCTGTGGCAGATCTGAAACGCTTGCATGTTGGGTGCTATTTTTGACATTGTCAGGCGTCGATGTTACTTGGTCTTTGTCTGTACTCGACAGATCCCGCCGCCAACATGCAAGCCAGCAACATATTTCATGTACTCTTTTTACGGAGAAGAGCCCTGTGTAGGGCATTTGGCCCCTTCTGTCGTCTAGACCACGCCTTGACATGAAGGGCCTGTACGACTCTTTAAGAAACCGGCCAATGCATGCCCAGCCTTGCGGTTGCCCTGTCATATCTGCCTGGCCTTGTCCAGTCCGCCTGACCAGCCCTAATCCATGATTCCGACGTTCTGGACCGCGGCTCTGCGTGTCCCTGCTCTGGTTCTGGCTTCGTATTTAGGGAGTATATCTGCCTGGCTTTCTCTCTCGTTTCTCTTTCTCCTGTCCTGTCTCAGATCGTTTTCACTAGCGAACCTTGTTCTCGACGGTCTCCTTCCGCATCCCGCTAAAACATAAAACATCCACTGCCCCTTCGTTTCCGATCCATTCAGATCTCTGCAAGCAGACGTCATAGATCCGGCCACGATCTCGAAGGTCGATTTAAATTAAAGTCTTATTCAAGTCTCACCTTTGGTCCCTCTTTACTATCCAAGTTCGATCCTCACAGAGCAGCTGCACGCACAATTCCATCTACTGCGTCGAGTTTGCTAGTCCTGCTGCCAATCTCGCCATGTACTCCTGCGCGAACTATCCCCGCGGATGCCGCGGTCGCGTCAATGTCCCTGGAGCAAAGTGTTCCGACTGCCTTGTAAGTCCTGTCTCCATACCTTTCACCTTCATGTGCTGATTGCTTTGACTAGTCCTTGAATCTGCGACGTCCTTCGTCTCTATCCTCTCCCTTTGCCCAGAACCGGGAGTATCGAAGACCCATCCGGACGGACCGTCAGTCTCAGGGAGAGGACAAGACCAACGAGGTCTGATTTAACCAGGAGTGACAGCCCCGCCGGCGAGCTTACGCATGAATCATGCTGGCAGGCTATCTGCACGACATCCTTCTTTTCTCTCCTCTCGACAGGGCTGGAACTGACGGGAGATTGCGAACTACAATGCAACCTTTTTGGGTGGAAGACCCTTTTTTCTGACGAATCCACGATGGAGATTTCGACGGCGGGTCCTGACTCCAATGGAATGGAATCGGAAAAGGGTCTACGGGAGGACTGTTTGTTCTTTGAATTTTTCCCGCTGGCGGGCAGCGGGGCTTGCGCTGGCTATACTATTCTCGATGACGTGTCCGGAATGAATGCCGTCTGTTTTGTTTTCTTGCCCCTTTCTTCATCTTCATCCTCCTTCTTCCCCCTCACTTTGTTGGTATGACGCTTCGATGATATCCCTCATTTCTGTACTATTTCGTTATCTGTTATCTTCTACAAGTTCTTGTAATTGTCCTCATTCTTGCAGCCGTCTTTGCAAAATTTCATACGATGATGCCCACGACTCCACCCACCTGGACTGTTTATCACCAAAATACTGACTGTACTACAATACCCACAATGAATATTTTGTGTTTGTTTCTTCTCGCCACTGCGGAGTGGTGCAAGATTGGAGATGGCTCTTTTTCCCGATCTCCACCACGGAATGCCCGGTTCCGAATTTATAAGTTTTCAACGTCTGTGGCGCAGCGCACCGCCAGCGCATTATCTATTCCATCTTGACCTGAATTACTCCTATTCAGGTGCCGTTTCCATTGGAGTGGACAACAAAGCTGGTAATCTGAAACTGATCTTCGGCCAGTACTCCGACGGTGTGGTGCAAGTGCAACCTTGCATCCATCCGTTCCAGCTGCCGGCAGACGGTACAGGATGGATGATGCATACTCTGAAACGGCCATGCGTAACTTGGGTGGGACAGAGAGTAGTAGTACAGAGTACTCCATAGACTGGTGTACAGAGTACTCGTAAAGCCGAACGTCAGTCCCGAGGTTCTGGTTTCCAGCCAAGCCACGCCAAGCCAACAAAGTCACACTCAGGCTGCCCACCACCAACCAGCGGCTAAGGATTCCGAATGCGGTGAATGGTCAGCTGAATCTGAAAGCCTCAACTCATGCGTGCTTATTCTTTATCCTGGTAGGAGTAACTCCTGATCCTGGACTGTCCACATGGATAGAGTGTTGGTATTATTTCGTTCTGCGTACATGTACTCAGTAAGAATCTTCTGTAGTCCGTATGCACTCTGTACTCTGTACAGGACCTATGCGATGTACAGAGTACTGTACAATGCTACATACAGTACAAGATTTAGGTAAATAGATAAATACTTTTTTTTTGGCTACATACATGTACGTATACTGGCGCAGTACCTTGTACTTCGTACTATAGATCTAATCAATTTCAATCGAAGCGTGACCCTTTTTTTTTCACTCGCTTACGTACGACGTGCGTACAACACAAGACACCTCCAATACCCTAGTAACTCTAGTGTTATTGACCATGTTATCAAGTCATCATTATCATCGTTAGAGATTATCGCCGTTAGCTAGGTAGCTAAGCTAAGCAAGCTGCTAGCGAGGACTCTAGTGTGCTTGCTGTACACACACATACATGCAGCATGCCTTACGTCCTTATGGTAATAATGGATTTTTTCCCCTGACATCTTGGATTGGATTGTTTAATTAGATTAGAAAGGCTGGAGTTTAGGTAGGTAGGTAGGTAGTACAGTACATAGGTCTCTTGTACAGTACATACTTACCGTAAATGGAAAGACAGAAAAATTCAGATAAGATCAGCTGAATGCACCTCACCTCATGAGGCACCTAAATTCTTTTTTTCCCCTTTTCTGGATTCAAATGCCTGGGCGGGAGCCAGGCCATCTAAAGTACCTATACTAGGGTACTCATACAATACTACCTAGGTAAATTCAGTCTACCAGCTGTAAGTAAGTCAGTCAGTCATACTGCCAGCCAGCCAGCCGGATGGACGGCTGGACGAATGGAATTAAAAAAGATCGGGGGAGCAGCGGGTATTGGTGTAGGTGTTTATATACCTTAATTAATCAGGTAGAAAAAAAAGTCAATAGAGCTGGGCTAGTCATAAAGTTCCTCCATGATTCAGCTACCGTAGTTCGTTTAAGATGTGAATATCTAGGGATAATTAACTTTGCTTTACTAAAGTCTCCCGTAATAAGTTACTACTAAAAATGAAATAATTATATAGAATTAGAGATTACAGCTGCAGGGTTAAATTTCTAAATATCGCCATTACTATTGGAATTATCCCTACAAATAAGTATCTTTTTGGATTAGAGGGAGCAGGAGTGATCTAACACGTGGGAGCAAAGGTAGACTCAGATAAAGTGGGATAACAGGTCCTATTGGAATATTACAAGTTAGCTCTAAATTTTGTTCAGCGCCTTATAGAAACTCATTTTATACAGATCTGTGCTGAGCTAGTCTGTCTAAGTTACTGACCTGCCAGTCTATTTAGACTAAATTAGCCTTTATAGACTTATCTTAGTTTAGAGATAGGCTCCATTCTGGCAATTTGTCTTTCATACCAGATATGTGTGTACTGTACATACCTGGCTGGCCCAGGTTGATCCAGCTTTCTGATCAAAAATAGGCTTATAAAGATATCGAACAATAGACACATACATCTAGGAGAGATGATTACTTTGAATTATCGCATAATTTCTCTCCTTTATGGTTCTAGATAACTATCTACACATAATTATTGTTGATGCTGTCAATGGAATGGGTGCAGATGATCTACTTCGACTAATAGCTAGAACTTCTAACTGACATTACCAAAAAGATAATGGTTACCAATTAGGACCTGGACTGATGATAAATCCAAATTCTAAGTTGGTTGACCTGATTCCTTCCCGTTGATCTTCTTAGATAGTTGTTTGCTTCACAGGTTAGATTGACGTATCCCCAGACTCTGACAGATACAACAGTGAATCCTAAGTCTAAAAGGAACTGTATCAGCAATATATGGGTAGATCACAAGTGCCAGGTGGCCTAGGTCAATACGGCATGAGTGTACAAACTGTCTTCTTTTCCATTCAATTAAGCCTATGCAGAGCTCCTAATTAGGTCGACGGCAACTTCCTGTTGACAATTGCACCCCAGGCTGCGTCCCTCATTCACTCAGATCTTCTCATTCACTTGTCCCTGCCCCTCAGTATTTTTGGCAACATTACAATCCCACGAGCCTCCTTCCAGGAAGCTTTCTAACCCCTTGTCATCCACATCTTGCTCATCTCTTGTCTCAACTCTTGGAACATAACCGCGTTACAAAAACAGTGCTGACAAACCTTAACGTATCCGAGGTCTTTTAACCTCGCTGCCAATCGCAACTATGCCTCTAGAGATTGGAATCGAGCTTGAGCTGCTTGTGCGACCCAGAGAGGAGACCATTCCAAGCATTCGTGGCTTTTTGCAGGACCCCCCATCCACCCTCACTATTTGCTAAATTCGCGAAAATCGGCAGAAGTCATATGACTTTCTAGCTGTTTACCTTAATCAACACAATATTCCGACTGTGCTAGACTCCAAAGATGTCCAGTACAGTACCTGGATCATTTCTTCGGATGCGTCGATTGCTGAAAGTCGGCCATTTGACGGTTTTTGTAGGCTGTCGTTCCTTATTCTGTCCCATTTATGTAATATTCTGTTTTCTTGCTAACATATTTATTTGAAGATGAAGTCGAGCTTATTTATCTCTCGAGAACTCAAGTCAAATGAAAAATGGCAGAGAGAGATCCAAGCAGTCTGGCAATCCCTCAATTCACAATCTTTTTTTTTCTTTTCCAATAATCATAATAGGTAATATACATTACATTATATACGCGTATATAACTCCTTGTATGCCTACATGCAGTCAGTCCCGATTCTTTCCTTTCCTCATCATTTGTAAGCTCAATAATCAATCAATCAATCAATCGGGACGATGATCTCCTCCACTTCATACTCCTCAAAGTCAAGCGCCTCGACGCTCCCGTCATAACTAACCAGCGAATGCAGCTGTTCGAACGCGCTAGGAAATACAGGTACCACGGGGTCATTATCCCTCCCCGGTAGTTCCTTGCTAGGCGGTGTGATGATGGAAGGTGATGACGGTGACATTGCTAACAGCGACGATAGTGGCATCGTCCGGTAAAACGGCATCTTCTTCAGCGGCAGCCCCACGAACCGCCACTTGACGGAGCAGATAAACCGGAAGCTGGGCTCAAACTCCGTCCGGCAGGGACTCTGGGTCTTCACGTGGACCATAACTACCGCGTTGGTCGCCCACTCGTCGCACAGTGCAGGGCTGACGTCGCAATCTGCAAAGGCGAGTCCCGCGCCACCAGTCTGGTTGACACGGTGGGTGTGGTAGAGCTCAATGAGCCGGTCAAACGCATTGTTGTAGGCATGGCAGATGTGCGGCTCGTCGACACAGTTGGGACCAGGGAGGGTGGGGAGGATATCTCCCATGTAGCTGTTCAATCTTGTGAACGCAGCTCGGAAACTTTTCTTCCAGTCGAAACTTCTAGCCTGGGATGATTTGCCCGGACTCGTGGTCTCTTCCATCTTGGACGTTCCCCCGATATATATCCAAAACTCCTGCGAGGGATACTCTGCCGTGCCGTCCTCGTACAGCTGCATCTGCTGCTTCCACGTGCCGCTCCACAGCTGCGTAATGTCCTTGATCAGGGGCACTCGGCGCTCATTCCACGACACCGGTCGCTCCGGTCGCACCTCCGTCGGGACTTCCAGCATCCAGGGCATCTTTTTCGCGAAAAAGTCCCATTGACTTTCAACTTCACGATGATGCTCGAGTTCGCTAAAGTACTGCAGTTCATGCTTCTTGGCGATGAACATGGGGATCGCGAGCAGGAGGAAGAGCGTCATCATCGGCAGAACGAAGACGAGCAGAATGAAAATGGAGACACATTTGCAGGAAAGAATGGAGAAGAGAAATGACTTTCTGCGGCGGATGTCCCTAGGGGGGTGAGATGGAGGAGGTGAAGACATGATTGATTATTGGTCGATCATGGATGGTAAGAGAGAGAGGCAATGAATATAGGTAGTCAGCGCGCTAACTGACGATCATCAGACAAACAGACGCGTTATATCCTTGAAGCCATGCTGCAATTCGCAGAGAGTCATAAATGCGATCGATCACGTTCGGCTTTTGCGCATGATTTGACTTGATAAGGCAAAAGAAAAAAAAAGAAAGGAAAGGGGAGATTTCTCCGCTTTTTGTCGAACTTTAAGGCTTATCCTGATAGCCTTATTCCCGCTCGAAAGCTGCGACCGAACTAAGCAGGCACCATCCAGCCAATCATGTCACCGTCCCTTTCCACGATGACCTCCCCCCACACGATGGCATTCCGTGTATCTCCTTACCACTCTGTAGCAGCGACGACAATGATGATGAGCCGTGATGGCTTCAACACCATTCGACGTAATTCTCCGGCCTAATATGCCTACGAATCCTAAATAACTTGTTGATAACCACCCGCTCTTGCAGACATGACACATGGAAGAACCCTCCAAAAAAAAGCCTAATTTGAAAATGACATCTGAGACTGCAGTCAACCGAGGACCCAAAAAACGAGGCTTTCTCATCTCAAAGAAGCATGTCAACCCACCTTGAGAATGATGTCAGGAAGTAGAGTGAAGGTGCAGAGGCTCGTTGCTTGGGAGCCAGAACGGGCTCCCAAAAACTCCGAGGGCACTCATTCCAGAAATAGAAAATCTCACCATACTGTTGGCCATGGCCGGATCTGGACGTATAAATACGCTCAATATTGCCGTCATAATCAAAATAAAGATTCTATGCTCAGACCATTAATATGCACTTAGAAACTTTGTGTTTTATCGTTTTTCACCGGTGTCGCGCTGTGCAAGCCGTCTGTTCTTGCCACGCGGAAGTCCTGTGGCGCAGATCAAGCCAGCAGTCACTTTCACCCTCATCATGAACAAGGCTCATGTAACTCTCTCCACTACAGGATTGCGCCGGAGGACTTTGCATCCTTCTAGGCAGTAATGGAACAATCGCTGGCAGTGTAACGTTTCAGTGTGCTATGGCCACAGGGATGTTCTGTGGTGCTGATCAAGTTTGTGATCAGATTGCTTTTCACAATGAATAACGCTGACCCGTCTACCAACTCTCCAGAACTCTCCAGGATTGCTCTGAGGGGCCTTGCATTCTGGTAGGCGGTGATGGAACAATCGCTGGTGGTGTTCTGCCAGCTCGGCCATGTCCTGGATTGCCTGCAGGGTTGGGAGACATCCACCCAGAACATAGGGATGGACACGTTCCGGTGGTACGGGGCAGCCGTCTCTGTGATATGCTGCCCATCGTTCGGGGGGAAACCAGTTTCGTCCATTCTCCTTTAACTTGGCAATCCGGAGCTGCTCTTCGAGCGACAGCTGTCGATCCGATGACATGATGTGTGTATTTTATGCGACTGATTTTTTTGCTGCACAAGCTCTTGTTTCTTCCTGATGGTTACTATTAGCCTCGTAGTCAGTGGGAAATGAAGCTCACCATGGTAGTGATAAGCCCCAGCAGAGCTATGTGGTGTGAACAGCGGTGGTGGCAGTGAGGACGACGGTGATGATTGATAAAATGATAAGTATCCAATCGACCTAGATTAATTCTGTGGTACAGATGACACGTGATTTTAGGTCCTTTTCAACTGTGATCTATTGCCCACTCTGTACAGATATTAGTTCTGCAATGCTGTACGTATATTTATTGCTTTAGTAAATATCCCATTAATAGTTAAGCATAAAATCTTACCTTCTGTGCTCTTGAGTTGGTAAGGACAAAGAGATGTTATTACAATGCTGCGAGTTGTCTGCGTCTTTACCTAGATAAGTAATAACTTATCACATGGATGATGACTCAACTTCGTCATCCAACTAGCCGTCATGTTGTTAAATAGTACAGGTTACATTACAAGAGGAAGGAGAAGATCACGTAATATTAAACTGATATATATTTTTTCTCTTTAAGTTAGTTATACTGATAATTTAATTTGAGAGAGTGATGTTTGCAAGACACGACAAGAGAAGACTGCCACTATTTAGTTAGAAAATTTCTAGTTTGTTGAAGACCTTTTTTTTTTGCATCCTTCTTCCAGGTCAGTTACTTTCTCTCAAGCAGCAGATTCTTCACTACTTATGTACTGTCTCATGCTATACTCCATAAAAGCCTGTGATAGTGGGGACGGGTCGGACTATTAACATTCTTCTCCAGTAGACCGTACTCAAGGAGCAGCTTTACTACTGCCTCATGCCCATTTTTTGCAGCCCATGATAATGGGGTTAAGCCACCTCTATCTTTAGATTCTGGGTCAGCATCTTTCTCAAGGAGCAGCTTTATCACTTCCTCATGCCCATACTTTTCAGCCCATGCTATTGGAGTAGTCCGATCAAAATCAATCACTGCTCGTAGGTCTTCCCGTCATAGACAAAACTTTACCTACGTATTCTGCTGTATACAGTTAGTTGGTAAATAATGTGTTTCAGGACTTAGTTTGTCCTGTCTAATATACAGGTTAAGGCGTTCTGAGGGTATAGAATAGAATGTAATGTCTATTGAATAGCACGTCTATCGACCTATTATAACAATTAATCGGCACCCTCTTCATACAGCAAACCTCCTTTCTTAGTGCAATCCTGGAACGTTCAGTCGTACAACCGCATTCCCACTGTTGCTACTCGCGTCGTCCGCCGTTCCATCCCCATTCCTCGCTCTCTCCTCCGGCTGTCTCACATACGACCCAGGCTTGTTGTTCTCTGCGCTCGCCTTGGCCGCGTTGTACTTCTTGAACGCCGTCTCGACAAGAAGACCAACCTCGGTCCGGTCACGCCCAATGATCCCCGCGGCCAGCAGCGCCTCCGTCTCCTCGATCCAGTCTTGGATCTTGCGGAACTCGATCTCGTCCTTGCGCAGCCGGTGCGGCAGGCCCTGCCCGTTTATCAGCGCCAGCACGCCTGCAATGACCGTGTTGGCCGCCCCCAGCACGGTGATCGCCCGGGTGTGACGGGTCGACGTCGGCCCCAGCGCCGTCAGCGAGGCGCCAATGATGATTTGTGCAAAGTGGCAGAAGTAGACCGTCAGATTTACGGCCCAGAACAGCCGCGCCTTGGCCCGCTGCTCCCGCAGCACCGCGCGGTAGATGCCCATGGCCGACTTGCGCCCTTCCTCCATCGTCGCGCCCTCGTGCGACGGCAGGTGGTAGTTGATGCCGATGGCGCGGCGGAAAATCACCAGGTTCTCGTCGTTGGCGGACCGCACGGGGAGGCCGGCCACGTCGGGCCAGGAGGAGTTGGTGGCCGCATGGCGCACGGGGGGATTGTTGTTATTATTATTATCAGACGAACCAGCCTGGGAGGGGGTTATCTGGGGCGACCTGGAGATCAGCGGGGTATGTTCATCTATGTTTTCGTCGTCACCGGCCATGGAGATGGAGGAAACTCAGGAATCAGCGCGCTGCTTCTCGGTCAACTGTGGAGATAGTAAAATAAAATGACGGATGAATACGCAGAAGAGGGAGAACAATGCGCGTCACGTCTTCTTATATCCATCTTCTTTGATGTCTGAGGTCAGCTGGTTCAGCCGCGTGAGTTGGATTGGGAAGGCGCGGCAGCTGATCTCCCACGGGACTGCCTGCCTGCAACCGTGGAAGTCGCGATTACCCGAAATAGTATACAGCGGTCAGGCCACCCGCATGTCCCTGCGACCTGCATATTTTGCAACTTCATTATTCGACAGTATGATAAAATATGTTGATTGCTTGAGGACAAATCAAATCAGCTTTCACATATTATTTTCTAGTGGTTTTCTTAAAGCTAGCAGCTAACGAGATGATATATTCCTCCTGAGTGTGCAAGCGAAAGAACCGGTCCTCATTAAGCTATAGTGGATAACTCTCCGGATGACATATTGGTATGACCAAATCTGACTCTTTATACGAAACTACAACCAGATATCCTCTCCAAGAATCTTCTCACATACCCACCGAGCTGTCTGCGTGTGAAGACTCCAGTACCTCTCGTCCTCATCCTCATCTTTCGCTTCTTCGTCTGCCTTGTCCTTGCCATCAGATACAGCAACGTCTCCATCTGCTTTCTCTCGACTCTGTACCCTTCCCAACGCCTCGAAAATGACGAGCTGATCTCGCATGAAAGCATCCACGCAAGGCTTATGTTTCTTTCTCTTCTGGCCATCGTCTGCTCCCTGAGGTAATTCGTCTGGGTGTAGTTCTTCGACAAATCCTTCCACACATCGCTCGACAAGCTCGTCGAGCACGCTGCTGCCCCCAGAACCGCCGTTAGAATTCCGGTTTTCCTGACCATGCTTGCCTGTGGTCCTTCGGCCTCGCTTCCCGAACCCTTCAAACAGTGCGTCTCTGCCCAGTTTAAAGCCGTTGGATGTATGGGCCACCAATAGGATATAAAGATGGGTATGATGATGCGTAGTTTCTGAGGTGTGCGTTTTAATTGGGATACTGATGCCTGTGTCTGCATTTGATGAATCGCCGTCAACGTGAGAGTCATTTGAGCTCGACCGCCTTGGAATCACACTCTCTGGGAGACGCTTTAGCGCGCGAGCAACAGCCTTGAGGGCCTTTTCCTCGAGATATTCTCGCACAGTCATTGACTCGGGAGATCTTTCATCCCATTCAGCCGATTCGTCGGACTCTAGATGCTCTGTATTCCCCGAACTATCGTATTGTCTCGATTCATGAGACCTTCTCTTGTCTTTTCTTTCTCTTTTCCTATCACCGCGAAATTCTCGACCTCTCAGAGAAGTGTCTGGTGCCAGAATTGTGATATCGACTTTTGTGATTTTCCCCCTTCTGTAATGACCCAAATTTAACAGAGGAAATCGGGATTGAGATGGAGAATATTCTCCATCCACCTCTCTCTTTTGTTCTTCCTCTGTCGCAGTTCCATCAACCCCGTTAGGGCCATCCGGTTGTGCGTCAGTCTGTGACTCTGTTGCCTTATCAGATCCTAGCGGGTGGATAGTAAACGTCACGGTGCCCAAATTCATAGGACCTGTTGACCAGCCACGATCGCGGAGATTGACAGACAACCGGGGAAATCCTAGTCTCTGCAGGTTTGGAACAAAGACTTGCTTCTCATAATCATACGAAGGAGCGCATGAGACATTGGTGCCCCCAGTGATGTTCAACCTCACAGGTCCCACAGATCCAAAGCTGCTGGCATGCAGCAGGTAGGGATACAACGCCTGGAAGATGAGGAAAATCGACCCAGCAGTGGACAAGCGGATGTTGTATTCAGGTCGAATTGGTGGCTGGCCACTCCAGGGGTGAGTAAATGCAAGAGATAGCTGATCACCATCGTCGTCCACTGCGCTTCTGCCTCGAGGGAAAAATGTCAACGTAGTCGACCCTATCTCTCCACCAGTGACCTCGCCTCCACACGTCTCGACGAGCGATTTGACTGCTGCAGCATGCGATCCCTTCAGTCCAGTCTTTCCCCGTCGGTTTCCTCGAATGTTTGTGATGGTGATGGGCTTGGCAGTCAGCGCCGACAGAGCGAGGGCATTGCGAACGAGTTGCCCCCCACCTTCAAGGGTTTTCCCATCGAGATGGATTGTCCGTGCTGCTGCTTCTGCTGCTTCTGCGGGTCGATCGCGTTCTGGAGTCTCTGGCCTTTTGCTCTTCTGACCTTTTGAACGGGCCATATTGTGATTGGATCCGGCTTCGACACCCGCAATCTGCATTCAAAAGCTAAATTTCAAGAAACTTGGAATGCTTCCGCTTGCTGTTCCTGATATAGGTATACTTCGACTACCTACTTATGTAGGTAATGGTTATGTAAGGGAGATGTCACGGAGCGCACCATAGACGAGATTGGTCCTTTATATCTCTCAAACTCTACATTTGATGTGATGATTCCTAGGTGCGTGTAACCTCTAGTACACTAAGTTAATTAGCGTTGATGACTCATTCACCCCTGCCTACGGCTGTGTTGATCTGAATTCTTCAACATTTTTTAACACGAAAACTTAAAAAGAAAAGACCAAAAAAAAATGAAAGAAAGAAAAGAAATATCAAGAGGGAACCTCCTTAACTCGTGACTCACGCACTGTAATTTGTAGCAGTATTTACTAACAATCACTCAATATTGCCAAGCCACAACAGGTTACAACTCAAAAAGCCTAACTAACTAGGTGCAATTCGAATTCAGAGTGAGCGCCTCTTAACACTGAATCTGAACTCAATTGTTGGCTGCGATCGCAGATCAAATGGGAATTATTCCCATAATACAGTCCAATGTATCCTCACGAAATACGGTGTGGTTTCCCCCATGCTTGTTCGAATCACTTGAGGTTCCAACGCACAGCCTCGTATTGGTTGCACTGATTTGTTTTCCATTATTTTGAAAATTGAATATCATACTGATTATGGTTACTCATCCGGAATCTAGAAACAAGTCCTGCTAAGGAATCTGCTCCTGATAATGCAATACCAATTCAGTGCGCTGCGCTCATCTTGCTGCTCGCTGGACTTAATTCTCCAAAGTTCACCGTCCAGATGGCTGTTTCCTGAGCTGTCAAGTCGAAATAGAAGCACGTGCGCATCTTCTTTGGCAGTTGCCATGCCGCACCTCCGTTCCTTCCTGTCCTTTCCTGGATGAAGATTCCATTCTCCATTGCTCTAGGCAACAGCTCCTTCCATTCTGCTTGTTGACAAGATGAGGAGCTCGTCGATCTCCCTTATTTTCCTTCTGTCTGAGAATCTCCTCTCTGCAGACTTCTATCCTCTTATGGTTCAATGCGTCAGTGTTTCTACGCACATTTCCTTCCCAGCATAGCCTATCGTTCAGCTCTTTCTGCAGCATAATTCCTGCAATGGCGTCTGATACAGGATATCGACTCAGGCGGGCCAAATCCGCACCGTCTGTCCAGAAACGCCGTCAAGCTCCCCCGTTGCCGGAGCCCCTGGACCCCGAAGTTGCAAAGCGCCATGCTATGGCTGCTGCCTCTCATGCAATGGCACAAGCCCGGGAGAGATCTTCCAACGGATCCCGAAGTTCTGGCTCTGGCGACCAACCGGGAGGGGATGAGAGGCCTGCCCACTTTTCCATCCCTCAGCGACGCCGTCCTTCGAGCATTCGGTTCACGGACGACGACCGTCCTGTCAGCCGCATGTCCGTTACCAGTATTTCCACACCACGTGTAGTTAACCGGAGCTCTGAGAATGATCCGACAGCCGATTTGCCTTCGATCCGCGAATTCCAGGGTTTCGAATGCGAAGAGTTCTCAGCTCCATCGTCCTACCGGCGTCTCCGGAAGGCCCGGTCGATGTTCTCAACAAGACATCGTGGAAGTACTGTTGCACCAAAATCACCGAAAGAAATGAATCCTGCAGAGTCCCAAACGAGTGATTCATATAGGAGAGGCGAACATAATCGGGCCTTACGACACTCGATATCATTCTTCCATGGTAACGATCCATCCTCCCACCCTCTCCGACGCATCAAAAGTCAGAACGCTGCAGTGAACCTTGCCCGTAGTCAATTCCTCGAAGACCAGGAAATGGGGATGCAACAAGAACGACGTCCATCCATTCTGTCCAGGAGATCTCGATACGAGCAAAAGCCCTTCAGGAAGACGTTCAGAACAACGAGGGAGATGAGCCCTGATGATGACGCGAGTCCCGCCGGAACGAGGTGGTCAAGTGGTACAGGACTTCAGATGAAGGCGCGAGCCTTCTCTATCACCATTAAGAAACGTTTGAGGCGAGTGTTCGGGCGCTCTCAATTCACTGAGGAGCATCCTCCTGAACCGCAACCGCTTGCTTCTCCGTCAAACTTCGGTGATTACGTTGCAAACAGGTGAGACATGCATCAAGACTCCACATTTTCTGAAAGATTTCCTCCGCACAGCCAAGCTAATGAAACCCGCAATGGGTATATTATTAGCCAGGTCGTACGCGATGAGAATCGGCCGCCGACACTACGGACAATGCGCAGCTCGGAGAGCATTTCCACTTCTGTTTCCCGTGTTACGAGCTGGACAGACTCCACAGCTGGGAATACTATCACGACAAGGCAT